ATTTTTCACTTGCAGCTTTCACTTTAAAGTGCAGTGAAAAGCTTTAAAAATGGAAATTAAAAAAACATGTGGTGAAAAATCATAGGTTGCTGTGACGAAAACTTCATTAACTAGACCGATTTTAAGCACTAATTCCTTCGAATTGGATTACTTTGGAGATTGAAAGCTGCAAGTGAAAAATAGGCAAGTTAAAATTACAAAAGATTTTGATAAGCCGAAAGAACTTAATAAAAACTAAACACTTTCACTTTTACATCGTCATCAATATAAAACTAAATGACAACGTAATTTAAATGACCACATTTCACTACATTTAAATTAAATAATTTTCAGACGATGTTAATTGTTCAACTTCAAAATTTAGACTAAGAGTTAAAATCCTCTCCTACTTTCTTCTCATCTTATGGTTTTGTACTAAATAAATTTATCTACCAAAGTTTTTAGTACTTAACATTATACTACCTAAGTAGGTAGATCTCATATTTTTAGAGCGAGCTTTACAGAAAGAATTGTGCAAGTGAAATTAAAGTTAAAAAATTATTTCCTAACTTCAAGCGTATACCAGAAATCATGTTTGTATTGTCGAATCGTTTTGAGTATTTAAATGAAATAACTTTTTAATCACAAAGAATCAGATATTTTGTAACAGAAAAGTCAATAAAGCTTTATTTTTTAAAATAATTTTACGTTTAACAAATTTTTCATTCTTTTAATTTTTTGATTCTTTTCAGTCTTTGTTGAAATTATTGGAATAAATGAGAAATGTTTCAGATTAATAATTAATGAGTGAAAAAATTGTCTTAAATATGCGTTTCTAGTCTTAACTGTGACAGTAATATAATTGTAAACCTGGAAATATTAAAAAGCAAGTAAAAAGTTCCGTTGATTACATAGAACATAAATTTATTTAATGCCGCAATGTTGCGCATTTTTATTTTAATCATTCAATTTCTCTTAAAACATATTTTCTTGTTTAATTTACACAAACAATTCTATTCTATACTTTTGAAAATCAAAATTAACAAATTTTTAAGTGAAGTGAAAGTAATATTTTCTAACAGGTAATTAGGTATAATAAATAAAATAAATCACAAGATAATATTAAATGTTTTGAGTTCGACTGGATGAAATATTTTTTATGATAATTGTGGGAGCATAAAGAGAGAGAGAAATATAAATGAGTAGATTGTTACAAAGAGAATAAAAGGGGGAGTCTTGAATAGACCAGTAAGCCAAACGCTTGTGTTTTCCTTTATTATTATATTTCAGCGTATTAATCAATTTGTTTTAAATGTAATTCATTCTTGATAGCTTTCGAAACAGCGAAATTTCTTACACAACAAATGTAAAATATTTTTTCAGACAGATAATTCTATCAGTTGATCTGTTCCACATTAATATTAACAGGTCTCAAATATCGTGATCCTGAAAATTGAGGACACTCCAAGAAAAGAATCATTCAAGGATATAAAAAATAATTCACAAAAATCAGAAGCACAAACTGATGTAGATTTTACATCACCTCAGAAAGGAAAAATGGCGCTTGATGAATTGGATGATTTAGGTTCTTGTCGACAAGTCAAATCCACTTCGCTGAATGATGAAACAGAAAATAGAAAGAATTCAACACAAATTCTTAAGCTTCATCGCCAGAAAATGCTTCCACTTGGAAATTGATGAAGAAACTTCTTACTCAGATATGGAACAACGTCTAAGAATCGACAGCTTGGACCTCAGAAGAGCCTTCGCGGACGTTAAGTTCTTAACGAAATCATTTAATGGACAGATCGATTCACTCACTTATCTTCATCATTTCAGTTTCGCTTTGCAACAACCCACAAGAAATAATGATGTCTTCCGAACCACAGCAAGTAGAACTGATGTTGGAAAATTCTCAGTAGCCAACAGACTGATGTCAACGTTTAACTTGGTCAATGAGAATCACCAGTGGCTCAACCAACAACCAAGCGACACCATTTTGAAGCGCGTCGTCAGACAAAAATTGCTTAGTTCATAAGCTTGCGTTTTTTTATGCTGATGGAACGTTTTTGGGGGAGGGAGTAACATGGAGCTTGTCCCCAGAGGCTCCTTCCGTCAGCACTTTTTTCTCAGTTAATTATTTGAATCAATACTAAAATTGCATTTCATGAAATCATCGAACCCGCATTTAAAAGACAACACTTAATTAAAGTTACAAGACATTGATTTAAAGTACAAAAACATTAAGTTAAAGTTAGAAAATTGTTTTTTTTTTTAGACCATCAGTTAATTAAACTGATGAACATGTCACGTTGATGAACTTCATCGATAATGATGTGAGAATATCTTGCCATACTTTTCTCAAAGATTAACTTTTGCAAAACAACTCCAGTTGTGCAATAAAGAATTTCAGGAATACAATCGCTGTCGGAAGGCATAGACACTTTACTTAATCCAACTTGATATCCAACTTCTTTTCCTAAAACTGAATTTCGTTCTTGAGCGACGCGAGTTGCATTTGTAATTGCAGCAATTTTACGTGGTTGAGTTATGAGGATTTTACACTTAAGCTTTCGCTGCTTGCAATCATCCAATATGTATTGGGGAACTTGAGTTGTCTATTAGAGTAAGGAATTCAAAATAAATAAAAATAACTTAATATTAAAAATAAAACAAATTCTGACCTTTCCACAACCTGTTTGACCTTGAATTATTATGATTGGACTTTCTTCAATATTTTGTATAATTGAGCCACGGTATTCAAATATCGGCAAATCATCGCGATGATTTGTTTCTGAAATTGATTGTCTTGTAGTTTCTAATGATAATCCAGAAACATTTATGCTTGCGAGACTGGAAAGGTTTGCATCCAAGAAATTCTAAAATTAAAACGTATTGAAATTAAAAAATCAAATTCCTATAATCTTATATTAACTCACATTAGAAATTTGTTGACGCCATCGTTCCAAAACTGGATTCACATATGCATTATTAGCATAATTTCGTTCCACTTTTTGCTCAGATTTTGGAACTGTGACAATAGATGAATTATTAAATATTTCTGGCTTGTAAAAATTGATTTTCGGCTCCTCAAAGTTTAAGAATGCATCAAGTGCTTTTTTCACATCATCCCGTTTCTTTTTGTAATCAGATTGTGCTCTGTCATTACTTTTCTCAGGAATTTCCGCCATTACTAATATTGAAGAACTGATTTTCAATCTNGTTGTTTAAATAGATTATTAATCAAAAATATTTTTGAATAAAAAAGAAAGAAATGGAAATAACTTCACTCACTGATTAAGTCCAGTTCTTCAACTTCTTTTTACAATCGAATTAAAAAATGTTTTCCCATTTTTAATTATCTATTAATTAATATCGTTGAAGTAATAAAATCATTTAAATGATAACCGAATCTTACTTAGCTAAGCAAGTTTAAGAATATGAAAATATTAAAAAACAAAAAAAAACTTCATTAACGATAAAATTATTGAGAAAAAGCATTGCTTTACATTGTGTAGTTAAATGACTTAAAAGATGAAAGTTAAAGGAAGCTTATGACGATATCTGGCGATCTTATTCTGCATCACAATCACGCAAGTAATCAATCACATTTTTAATTGTCTTTAGCTGTGCCATTGATGATGCTTCCGACTGATGAAAGAGAAAGTTTTAAATTTCAAAAAGAATTGATTAGAAGAAATGAAGACTTACGCTAACTGTGAGATTGAGAAACTCGTAGTATTGCATCAAAGTGTTGACCATTCCAGTGAATTTTCCATCTCTTAAATAACGTCTAATGACAACTTCATTATTCTGATTGTCCATGACAAGAAATCCAATCAATGTGCTTGTTATGCTTGCAAGAATTGTGTGCTCCATATGAGAACCAGAATTTTGAATCACTAATAAAAGATTAATTTTATTAAACTCGATAATCAACTGACGTTGTTTCTAACTTACGTGTTGTCACTGCTTCATCTGCAGTCTTCTGTTTGGCATCACGTTCTTTGGGATTATCTAGAATCTCATCAGTCATCTTTTTAATCATTCTGTGAATTAATTGAAGTCATTTTAAAATTTATTTCAACAAATATCAACTCGTCACTCTCTCTCACCTGGCTTTATCTTCACAATTATAAAAAAATTCTACAAATGATTGAACTGCTGGTTGCTTTGATTGCGTGTTAAACTCTTCAACAGGTACAGCCAACTGCATTATACTCATTCGATTTTTCTCGTTTGATTGAACGAGATTATTCAGCAGTACGAGTGTCTAAGAAAACAAATTGTTATTATAATCAATTCAGTTATAATTGAAAGGAAAATCTTACGAGAACTGAGAGATCAAATTGATGACGTTTAGGAACGTAGCTTGGTCCAAACAACAATAAATTTGTTGTGATTTCAAAAATTTCTTTTAAATCCCCGAAGAAAACGCTTCCGATAGCTGCAAATAAAATTGAAAGAGAAGTCAATGTAGCTACTTACGATGATAAAAAAGAAAATTTTCTTACCACGATCATTAAACGGATGCGTTAAATTAATGATGACTTTAAGTAACGGAATCAAAGCTTCTCGTATTGCAACGCCAGCTGATTCTTTTGGTGATTTCTCAGTCGTTGGATAAATCGTTAATTCAGTGTGCATTAAATGGAAGAATCTTATGATGGCTTTGACAAAAACTTGCGACTTGTAATGCAACATATATTTCTGATTCTCTTCATTGTTACTCGTGACATTCTCGAGAATTCTCAAACATCGTTCAATCTTATTGAGCTTTTCTAAAAGTGATTCAGTCCACTCTTCAACATATTCAGTTATTTGATGACAACATTCACAAACAGTTCGAATGATGTGCTCAATTCCACCTAAAACACGTAAATCTTCTTTCAACCATTCACCAGCACGTTTTGATGTCAATGATAAAAGACTTTCCATTGCAAGTTGAGCTGCTGTTATGTTATCCAAATTCAGATGAATTGATTTTCCTTGACTTTGAATCTCTTCGCATAGTTCACGAACTTTCTGTTTACGTTCAAGATGTTGCTTGTTCATTGCAATATCTTTTGGATATTGTTTATCACTTCCTTCACACTCAAGAAGATTCAACATCAATTCAAGAGATCCTCGATCCAAATCCATCTTTAGTGTGTCTTGCGATAAAGCAAACATGACCATTGCTGTGCAAAGACCTAAGCTAGGATCATTTGGAGCATCCTCAAGTGCCTTAAAGAACTTCGGAACAGTTCCATGTGCACGAATATGCATTCGAAATGATGGCGTCATACATTTAAGTGCAAGCTGGAGAGCTGACAAACATCTGGTGGCAACTTGAGTGTTTGGTTGAAGTGCATCAAGTAAATATTCAACATCGTCGTCCATTTCTTGAAATTCACCAATTTCTTGTATCTGATGAGCTTTCTTGACATTTCTTACAACTTGATAATACTTTTTAGCATCACGATCACACTTCAATCCCGTTACTGTCATTCCGTCTTCTTCAAACTCATCACTCAACGCTCGATTTTGTACAACTGCAGTGTTTTCAACGTTAACATTTCTTGTGAATCGTGTAAGACCTGAAGGTTCACCATCAAATGTTGCAGCAGTTGAATTTGTTGATGATATTGTAAGATTTTCAGGTTTCTTTGTGGCATCAATTGGTTCATCCATCATCTCAACATCTTCATCCCATTTGTGCTTATAAAGATTCAAACGTTTCTTATTATTGTCTTCATCTTTCTCCATTGCACGACTCTTAAAAATACTTCCTTTCTTTTTCGATATCAACAGCTTTACGCCGGGATTATCACCAGCTTGTGGCACTTCTTGTTTCTGTAAATGATTATTATTAATTGATGTCTTGTGTGGACTTCTTGTAATCATTGTTCTTGTTTCATGTGGTGCTGATGACACTTCCATTGGAACTGCTGATTGCTGTTGTTGCAGATGTTTATCTTGATCCCATGATCGCTTTACAAGTTTCTTATGTTTATATTCAGGCACTGATGGTTGTGCTTCTGTCGTTGCTGCTGCTGCTGCTGCTGCTGATGATGATGAAGATTGTGACGCTGTTGATGGCATTAATGAATGACGATCAACACCACTTGACAATGAACTTACATCCGATGACGATTTTTGACTAAGATTTAAAGCACTTGATTGATCCACTTGATCTGATGATGATGCTTCTGGTGCTAAAGGCTTCTCATCTTCCACAGTTTGATTTTTTCTCTTGCGAGTGAAGAAACGAGGCACGGGAGCTGTCGAATTGGAGCTTATCGATACTTCTTGAACTTCCGATGAAGCATTTGATGAGTTTGAAGTGTTGTTGCGTGTATTTCTTGTAACTCTTCCACTTGCCAATGGTGCTTTTGATGACTGAATTTCCACTGTTGTTGAAACTTTCTCATCAACAATTGCTTCTGATTCTTGTGAAGGTTTTGTGGAAGCATTTCTTGTGTTTCTTGTTTTCCTCGTTGGTGGTGGCGGTGGTGAAATTTGTTGCGGTTCAGGTGGGTTCAAAATAACATCAGCAGCTTTCTTTCTGCCACGTTTACCTTTCTGAACCAACAACTTTTCAGCTGTTGCAGTATCCATTGCATTGTTGCTGCTGTTATTTTCAGAACTTGACGGCGGAGCTGCAGCCACAGAAGCTTGAGAGACTCCATCAATGTCACTTGTTAAAACACTTGAACCACGACTACGAGCAACGCGACTTTCAGCATTACTTGTGGCAGTTGTTGCTGTGTTTTGAGAACAAACACTTCCGAGAACTGAGCTTTGTGAATCGAATTCTGAGACAAGCGGCGAAATACGTAAAGTTGAAGGTTCTTGTTGTTTACCTCTACGACGAGTTGTTCTCGTTGGTGGAGGTTCTTGAACAGGCTCTGGTGGTTCTTTCACTTCTTGTTGCTCTTTCAAACTATCATTGTAAGATCGAATATAATCTTTCTTGATTCTTATCTTTAATTTTTCTGACTTCGGTTCAGGTTTCTTGAGCGTTTCCTTCTCCTCAGATGCTTCACCTGTTAATACAGCAATCAACTCGTCAGTCGTTGTCAACGCCGATTCTTTTGTCAAATTTTTATTTTCATCTCCACTTGAATTCCCTCCACATGCTGGTGATATGACGTTATCTTCATTATCCGTACTGATCAACCGTGAAGTTCCCTACAAGCAAACAAACACAAACACAGATGAACATTGAGAAGTTTTATAAGTTTTACAATTCTTGCTATGCTAACGTTCTATGATGCTCAACAATTATGAATAATAACAATGAATGGAAACAATTTCTGACTTTCATTCCATCTTTGTTATTGTCTAATTAAACTTACGTTAACTTTTAATAATTTGTTTTGGTAACATTTAATTGTTCTTTGGCTCATTTCAATTTATTTTTCTCGTTTTCTTTTTTAAATAAATATCACGCAACGAAAAAAGATGTTTTGCCTTTGGTAATTGGATTGAATTGTATGTAAAAGTAGGAAGAAGCTTAACTCGGTCAAAAACAATAAAGAAGACAGAAGAAAAATAAAACAAATCACTTAACAACGAACACTTTCGGTTACTGTTAGAGAAGAAACCCTTTGAATACTTTTTTTTCTATTTCTATGCATTGGTGAGTATCACATGGAAGTGAAATCGTTGTCTATGATCACACACACAAACAAAAAATATCTCTTAGAATAAGAAATAAATGTGGAATGAGTGGAGGGGAAGGCAAATTAAAAATGTTTGTAGATAATTGAAAAGGGACGGAAAATGTTCGTATGTATGCAACACTAACGTAAATAACTTCAATTATTAAATAATATTAAAACAGATGTTGAGTTTACCTTAGAAATTCGTAGAACAATTGGTGGATGCAAAACAGGACTTTGTTGTGGAACTGGAACTTCCATTGGGACGATTTGTGGTTCAACTTTTGGTTGTTTGTTATCAGCTGATGTTACTGTTGCTGGTATAGCATGCTTTGGAAGTATTCGACGTTCAATTCTGTTATAGAATTCATCTTCGCCAGCATCTTCGTTGTAATTCACACATTTTGCACGAGAACGGCCTGAAGTTCTTGTTGGTTCAGCACATGATCGACCTCTTCTTTGAGGTGACGGTGTTTCTGCTTCTGATACTTCTGACTCAGGAGCTTCTGCCTGAACAATTTCTTTTTCTTTTATTTTCTTTTCTTTTTTCGGTTTCGGAATTTTTTCAGGTTTTGGTGGCTTCGGCGGCTTTTCCTTCTTCACTGTTGCTGTTTTCTTTTTACCTCCTCGTTTTTGCACGGGCTCAATTTCAGTCCCGCCTGAAACATTCTGAGTGCTCTCTTGATGATGTTGCGAGATATGATTCTGATAAGATTGTTGCTGTTGGTATGAACTTTGCTGTTGATGGTGTTGCTGTTGTTGCATCGCAATTTGCTGTTGAATTTCTGCTGGCGGCGCAGCATTTCTGCTCTTAAAAAATTTACGAGGTTTAGGCACCTGTTCTACTGTTATTTTATTATCATTAAGTTCATTTTGCGTTGATGGCGATTCTGCTGAATTCTGAATTGGACTTGTTGAACTCAATGCGCCCATATCTAGAAAGAAAAGCAATTAATTATTATGAAAAAGCTTAAATGATGATAAAACTTACTGTAGCAAGATGAACGAATCGATGTAAACTTGCAATCGCCCCATTTCATTACAGTTCCAATTGCCACTGAATTTTTATTTTCTTTTTCGCGCAGCAAATTATCCAGTGGCATCACTGTCTGTGCCCTGCTAGTTTTATTCCAACGTGACATGTTTATTCAAATGTTTTTTTATCCAAAGACGTCACGATTAATATTCTTACAAAAATTAAAGTATTTGCTTCAATCCACGAAACAAAACCAACAAAAAATATTTTTTTCGTTTCTACATCTGTTTTGGTTTTTGTTGTTGTTTTTATTTCAACAATTTTCGATTATATTTTGCAGAAAACTTGTATTTTAACACGTATCTACACAACAAACCTTACTACAGAAGAGCATTAGTTGATAAAGTTCAATTAAACTGCTATATTATGTTCTAAAAGTGAGGAAATAACGTAAAATTCACTTGAAAACTGAGAAAAAATGAAAATTTTTTTCGCAACAGATTATCTGTCGTTATTTTACTGATTTCCTATGAATCTCGACAAATATTATTAATTTCTTTATTAGCATACAACAGACCATGTAAACATTCACACAAGAATAGTCTTAACACTGATTTTCTTTAATTCTTCGTTGTTGTATTGAAAGTTTATTTTTTAAGCTGCTGCTCTATGCACAGTTTTATTTTCAATAAAATATTCTATGCACAAAATTTTACTTTCTATAAAAAGATAATTTTGAATTTTTTCCGTTACATTTTTATAAAACGTGAAGCTTTCAACATTTTATTGAAATTTTATCCTTGGGCAAATGGTGAATTGCTATTGGTAGCAAGGAAGAAAACGCCTCTTAAGCCCATATTTCCAGGTTCTCCACCCATAGAAGCGCTAGCTCCTTGACCAGTAGGACAGTTTCTGCTAGTAATTTGTGCGAAATTGGCACAGGATCTGCTAACAAATCGATTGCTGTTAATGGTTTCAGCGAATAATTGATGAGCTCGTGAATGAGCACATTGTCCTGAAGTGTCAATTCCACACCCTGGTTGACTGAAAATATAATCGTGTATTGAACACTTCTGAAAGATGTTTTAAACAAAACTCACTTTCCACCCCAATTGGGATAAAAATCAGCGTGTGCTAATGGCTCAGAGAAACCCATTTGTCCGATATTTGTTCGTATACCTTCAGTATAAACTGCATCATCAGCAGCAAATCTTGCGTTTGGATTATTTAAGCTGAAAAGTGGTCCAGCAGGATCCAATGCAAAAATAACTTGGACACGACCTTGTGTCACTCGCTTCCCGGTCAAACCAGCAATATGAGCGCCTTTACAAACAAGTTAATTGAATATCAAAATATTATTTTCTCTTCATTCTTACCTAAAGAATGTCCAGCAATATTGACTCTATTCATTTGAGTGTTTCCACTTGTCACCAAAAAGTTTAAAAATCGTGCAACGACATCAGCGACGAGAGGTACACGATTTACTGCAGTAACGTAATTAATTGTCGCTGCTCCAATACTCCAATCAACACTTTAAATAGAATTTACTTATCTTTCACTGGAATTAAGTAAATAATTATTTGCTTACACGATAACGTTAAAGTTTCCCCTTTGAAGATAACCAGCAGTGGAAGCGGTGTTAACTCCTGAATTCGGTCCAGAATTAAAGCCGTGAATTAACAGTCGAACTGGATGTGATGGGTTGAAGTTTGATCCACTGATAGAAGCAGTTGTCCAAGTGATGCGTTGGCCTGAAGTGGGATTAGACCTTGTGAATAATAAAAATGCTGTGTCGACTTCCGCATTGAAGAAAGGTTCAGGTTCTAAGGAGTTCGGCTTTGCATCAATCAAATGCATTCTTCCATCACCATCAGGCATCAAATTCCATCGATAATCAATTGGTGATGCGAAGCAAACTAGGAAAACACGAAAATATTTTTTTTCCTGATGATAGATAAGAAAATATTTGCCCACTTTACCGTCAATCACAAAAATAAGTCCAAAAATAGTCCAAAGCTTCATTCTGAAAGTTCAAGAAATATCTGAATGGCTTGAATAACATCGTCGTGTTTAAATAATGAAAATATTTGAAATCTTAAAAAGGTTTAAAAAGCAATTCTGATAAGATATTTCAAGTTTATCAATCTTATCGGAAGCTCAGATTAAGAAGTATAATTCACAAGTACACAAAAGCATTTTGGAACTATGTAGAACTAAAAACGTATTAATGATCTGCCATAATAAACACGATGTTTATCTTGAATTTAGAAATTTATATATAAATTATGTGCCTAGAAAACAAACAATGAAAGCTTTAAAAGCTTGAATTAATATTCTGTTGATTCAGTTGTAAATTGATATTAAAAATATTTCTTTTCATAAAATATTCAAAAGATTTATCTGTCAATTAGATTGAAACTGCAAAAGTAATAAAATAGATAAATGAAAATGCAAACAAATCATTTTGATATTTTCTATTTAAAATAATTCATTCAAGTTAACTTTATCAGTTGGGATTGGTTTTTCACAACCATCGAAACATTTTCTTTCTACTCAAAAATTAAATTATCTGAAAATGTTTATGAAGATAATAAAAATATTTCAAGTCGCTGGAATTTATCCAGTTCGGACATTCGAGTTAACAGTTTATCAAAGTAACGTGGAAGAAAAAAGATTTTATGGAAATTTATCAACTTTCTGGTCATTCTTCAACTTGACTATCGTTCTAAGTTTGATTATTGCAATCGGAATGAATAATCAAATATTTTTCTATGATGAAAGTTCAATTGGAAATTTGAGCGACATTTTAGTTTATTATTCATTGCTATTCGCTCATCTTGTCATCATTATTGAATCGCTTCGAAAACGAAAGCATCTTGTGAAATATTGGAAATTTTATACCAGAAGTTTGAGAATTTCTAAAATGTTTCGTCAGAATATTTGGATTAGAAAGCTTTTTGTGAAAGTTTTGATTCATGCAACAATAACATGTTTGTTTGAGTTGATTATTTATATTGGCATAACATCAGATAGGGAATGGACGCTCTTCTGGTCTGCTGAAGTCTTCAGTTTGATGATCACTCGACTTCATAATCTTTTGCATATATTTCTTATTGATGTAATATTTTTCACACTTCAAGATATGAATTCACGTCTCAAAAGTGACATTTTATGGTTGAAGGTGATAGGAGAAGACAAAAAATTCACTAAAAAGTTTCTCTATAAAAACATTAAAGCCATCAAAACTCAATTTAAAAATGTCATGGAGATGGTTCTGTGTGTCAATCGATACTTTCGTTGGACTCAGGTCTTTAATATGGGACAAACTTTCATTGAAATCACTTCAGAACTTTACTGGGTTTATGTTTTTTCAGTTAAAGTTGATACGGAATTTTTATGGGGTAAAATTGTGATAATTGCAATTCAATATTTTCCTAAATTAAGTGAGAATAATTTCAGCTTGTTTGGTGCCTTTTATTCCATCAATTATAATGTTGTTCACATTATTCGCTTCAGCTACAAGATGCATTAAAGAAGCTCATGAGAAGCTCGCTTTCAACATTAACCACATTGACGTCTTCATTGATGATCGAGAATTGAGATCACTTATAATGGAATTTTCACTTCTTATTGCACAATCACCAAAATACTTCACCGCAAGAAATTTCTTCATAATTGACTACACTCTTGCTGGAAAAATGTTGTCAGCTGTTTTGACATATTTAGTGATATTTATTTCGTTTGAACCAAGATAGTTATGAGCACAAAACTTTCAAATGACTTCTGTAAACAATAAAAGTTCAAACATTTCAATCATTGTTTTATGAATATTTTATTAATGGCTTTCACTTATTATCGTATACAGTCCATACTTAAATAATCTGTACAAAAATGCAGAAATGTTAATTATTAAAATCTATCCAGTTACGTTTTTTAAAAAAGGAAAATTAAGGTTTATGTGAATTTGAAACTTATTTCTATTCTTTTTTGAATTGTTTCTGTTTTGATTACCAATTTATGTTTATAAATTAAATCATTTTACAGGAAAAAAAAGGAAAATGAAATCAAAATTTTTATTCGTTCTTAACATTTAGTATGGCAGATAATTTTTCTTTCCTTTTAAAGTTAGTCAATTTAAATCGTGTCGAAAATGTTCTTCAATCTCACATCTTTAAGTGCTTCTTTTCATGGTAATTTTCCTTTCTCTCAATATATAAATTTAATTTTTTTTTGATAGTTTTTTACGTATTTTTGGTTACACAATCAGTTGAAGTAGAAGAAAAATAAATTTTCATTAAATTTTATTTCAGTATTCACCACTTTCAAGATCTTTCTAAGAAAGATTCTTGAGATATCTTTCAAAGTTATTGCTAATTTTCATTTCATTTCTTACACTCACTAAATCAAGATTTTTCTTTTTATTATCTTTTAAGTAGCAAAATTTTTTCTCATTTTTTGATTAGCCAATAACAAACTACACTTATCAAAACTGATTCTAATTATTAAAGTTATATGTAGCTGATGATATCATTTTTCCTTTCTTATTTAGATAGTTATTTCCTTGTAGATGCATTTAAATTTAACATTGATTGATAACCAGACGAATTAAACTAAAAAAATTTTCATTTTCGAATAACGAGCAAACCATAAAATTGCACGAAACATTTTCTTATTCATTTATTTTGATGTTAAATATTATTTACGTTGTTACCATCGATCTCCAAAAAAGCAATGATAGCAAAAAAAGAATAGATGATAATTCATTATTTACATTCATTCAATAAAGCTTGTAATTGAATCTTCTGTCAAGTCGGCAGATTTTCAGAGAAGAAGCCAAATATTTATCTTTACGCGTTAGAATTCTATTTACAAAAGAATTAATTTTTCTTAAATTTGTTACTTTTGGGATGTTGTAACGAGAGAATCTTAAAATTACATGAGCTTCGATCATTTCTTTAAATGTTAAACGAATTTTCAGATTCTCTCGTTGATCATCAATGAATGAATTGCGTCATCATCATCATCATTATCATTATCATCATTATAAAATAAGTACACTACAGGTTCCAAATAATTAATCATTCTAAATTCCCACCCTTTCCCTCCTCAACTTACTCACTTTATAAAATCATCATGGCAAGTCATTATCATCATCATCATTAATTTATTTTACCCGACTAGAAAAGAGAGCAAATTTTGTCATGTTTTCACTTAAAAATCCTTCCGCTTTATGTAATTCAAATAATGTTTAAATAATTCAAAAGTATTCAATGATTTGGTCATTCAAAACAGCTGCTGCGGATTATTGATCTGTTGGTGGTATGCACTTGTAATAAGTAACGTAAGGATTTTCAGTTAACACAACCGGCCGTTATATGGGCCCATAATCACTCAATGCTTGACCTCCTGGATGTGAAATTGATGTCATTTTTGCAGTGGAGACGACCACCGAGACCGCCCTCGCATCTACTAAAGAACCATTCTCGATTGTTGTGCCTGGGCCGCCTTCACAAATCTGAGGTCATACCTAAATGAATAAAAATTATCAATAAAAAGTTCCATAAATTTATCAATTTAAACTTACATGACTCATTGGATGTTTCAAAACATGATGATGTAAATGATGATGACTTGTTGATGCCATACTGCCCATAGTTTGTGCATATGGAGCTGTCAGTAGTGAAGCTGATGCTGCTGATCCTTGAAGTGTTGTTGCCACGTAAGGCTGAGGTAGTTGAGGACGTGGCTTAATGAGAACTTGACCAGCACCTGAATGGTCTGGTTTTGTGCCACATAATCTTCTCCAAAGTTTACGCCATGATTCGAGCGTTTTTCCTGACCAAATCCAAATTCCTGACGTTATGCCACAAACGAGTGTCATAAAATATTTCAACATGAGAATCTGATAAACTGGCTGTATCCGCCACTCGTCAGTCTGTTCAACACAAGGACACGCAAGTGTTGTCATCCAATCATCATGGAAATTCGACTCGTAAAGATGACAAGCGATGACGATGGTAGCAGGAACTGTATAAAGCACACTAAATATTCCAATTCGTATCATGAGCTTTTCAAGTTTGTCAGCTTTCGATCCAGCTCCAATTCCACCTTGTTGTTTAATGACTGAGCGTATGCGAAAGAGAGAAACAAAGCCAGCAAGAAGAAACGTTGTGCCAATGACGAGATACACAAAATACGGTGCAAGAACAAAATTTCTTAAATGCTCAATTGAAGTGTTTCCAACGTAACAAATTCCGGCCAATGGATCGCCATCAACTGCTGGATGAACCAACACTGAGATACTTTGTAATGTTGGAATCAACCAAGCAGCAAGATGGAAGAAATGTGAGATTTTACTGATTGCTTCGTTGCCCCATTTTAATCCAGCTGACAAGAACCATGTGAAGCTTAAAATCACCCACCAAATTGACGATGCCATTCCAAAGTAATAAACTAAGAGAAAGACAATCGTACATGAGCTTTGGCCAGTTGAAGAATATTTTATGACGCGACCATCGCAAGCAACTTTTTCATGTCCTATAAAATGCTTTGTCAAATATCCCATGGACACCATGAAATAACAAGCCGATAAAAACACAATCGGTCTTTCCGGATACTTAAAGCGCTCTGTATCGATGAGAAATGTTGTCAAAGTCATGAAAGTGCTAACAGCACAGAATCCCGACCATAAAGCTATCCAATAGTAAGCGAAGTCCTTTTCATCTTGTGAGAAAAACGCTCCTGAAAATAAGAAGAAAGAGTTTTGCAATCAATAAAAGTTTTTTTTATCTTTTGTTCGAAGTTTATCAAACAAACCTTTGCATGGAATTCCACACGAGTTGACGCTTCCAACTTTACCAACTGTCGTGTTGTACCAAATGCTTTCTTTGCCCAAAGGAACTAAAGGATAACGACATTTGCAAGCACAATCGCGATTCTTTTGATCGTTGGCCATCGCTTGTTGACATTTTCTATCGCCTTTTGGACATTTCTTTGTTGTGGATGTCGATGACCCGCCATGATGTTTTTTATTGCTATTCATGTTATTGTTATTGTAGTTTGTATTATGATTATCATTGTTTGATGAATGTTCTTCTTCCGAGTAGCTTGGATGTTCCATACAAAGATTATCGGGATCGCCAAGCACTGGAAGATTCTCGCAGATCATCCGATCCGGCCATTTAAAGCTGTACTTCTCCATTATTGGTTCACAACCTTTCCTAGCTCGTTCACAAACTGAACGGCAAACTGGTAATGGCTTTAGATAATCTTCGATACAAATTGGAGTGTACATTGAACACAAGAAGAACTTTAAATCTTGTGAACATTTAATTTCAACAAGAGGCCAGAATTGATGCACTTCCAGACCAGCTTCTTCTTGCGTCTCATGATTCATTTCATTTGGAAATTTCGTCATGTTATAGCCGATACTTCGACACATTGGTATCGTTATTTCCTCGCATCTTGGATTACCAATTTTCTGCGACGGCATTGATATGTGAACCTCCATGTCAGCACCATCATTCATACTTCCGCCGTTACCGTAATATCCTTTTTCTGCTGATGCAAACAATATCAGCATGAATAGAAGAACGAAGGAAATATTCAAATTCTTCATTGTTGTTTTATTCTTTCTTTTCTTTTCTTCTCCCAAATTGCGTATCGGATTTTTGTTTATCTCAAAATGCCGGGAAATTTCGCCTTGGATGTTTCAAGACTCAAATATTTTATTTTTTGCAATCTGTAATGTAACAAGAGAAAGAGAAAAAATAATTAGTATGTTTACAATCACTAAATCTATCTTCGCGCAGCAAGCTCGACTTCTAGAGATTCTTTTAGAGTTTCTCTCTCCCAGCAGTGCTTCCATTACACAATCAACCGACCTAAATGAAAATCAATTCAATGTAATTTTGAATGGAAATTCTTAAACAATTTTACGTTTTTTTTTCTTCGCTGTTTTGCTTTTAGATTAAAACAAGTCAATGGGGGGGAATGTGAATGATATAACTTTGCAACGACTTCATCTTAAAATCACCTGACAATCAGTTTTCGGGGAACGTAATTAAAAATCTATCCTCGTACTATACGTACACATGGTATCAATATTTTCAATTCAAATGTGTGTAAACAAATCGTTAACACAAAATAAACTCTGGAGGTTGTTGTAGATATGTACATGCATACACATAACAGCATTGCGAGAGAAGTGGAGTGTATAAATTTACAGAAATTGTAGAAGCAAGAACACCAGACGCAGTCAGACCTTTTTTTAACTCTTCGCCATCATAAAACTTACAATTTTTATGTTTTTCTCTCTCTTCGCTTATCCAACGCTATCGATTCACATTCGATGAACGAAAGACACATAAATAACAGGAAAAAATCATCGTTAACATTCATCTCATGCATTAAAATGCTTTAAATCATGGACAGTAACAAAAAATAATAATAAGAAATTATTTAAACAACTCAATCAATTATATTTGCTTTCGTTTTATACTATTTACTTTAAAGTTAACGACTACTTCCTGAATAAAGCATAGAAACTTCTTATTTTAGTTATTATTACTAAACAATGTGAATGCATTGAAATAGACAGGAAAAATCATCGAAAATATTATGCTTTATAAATGAACAAGAACGAGTGAAAGAGTTGAGTCTATAAACGAGTTAACTTGTTAATTTTTACACATAGAGATAAAGATTCTAGAAGATTCATGAATCAAACATATTTAGATAGCCATAAAAGTCTAGCAATCAACTCAAATCGTGATCTATGTGAGAATGAAAATATTTCATCGTCATAAAATCAACAGCAGAAGCAAAAGGCAAAAAACACTGCATGTTGTTTAAAGGATGTGCCTGTTGCCTCAACACTGGACAGATTCACATTCACATTCTTTTCTCTCAATCGCAGTCTATTATGAGTTGAACGAATATAAAGCACACATGTGTTTCATTTCGGTTTCCTTTTTTTCCTACTTTGAACATGTAGATAGATATTAAAGGTTCTCTTCGTCTAAATGTGAGTGCAACATAACTAACTGAATAAGAAAATTGAAGACAGAAAAAAGGAACAGAAAGATGCAAACGAAATACGTTCATTTACACAACAGTTTTCAGTGTTTTCTTTTTCTTGGTAGAGAAAAGCTATAATTCATTATCATTGATTTAGTTGATGGAGTGAAAAAATGTTACATCTGTACAAACAACTTTACTACTTCGTGTCTTGTGCATTCAAATCAACAATGAAGTCGAGTGTGAATGCGTTTATGAAAATGAATTTAATGTTTTGGTTCTCAGAAAATACCAAAAGATGATTGAAATGCAACATTAACTGTTCCTACCAACCGCACTCACTGGAAACTGCATTAATTAATCCCAATTGGATATTTATGCAGCTAGAAAATTGACTGAACTTCAACAAGAGATCATCACTCAACAATCGTATGAAATTAATGTCGATTTTTATGTGAAATAATTTCAGTCACATTTAATGTGAGTAAAATTGCTTTTCGCATGTTAAAATGCCGTTTCGAGAGAACAAGTTAGATGCCTGCCTCATTGAGATGATTTTCTTTATCGTTGATAGATGCTTTAATGATTTTTACATCCTCTACTTTAAATTTAAAACCAGCCAACACCATAAGTTTCCTATGATGAAAATTCATCTCTAAATAGAGATTTACGAGATCGTTTTCTCTTTCTTTCTTTCTTTCTCGGAAATGATGGAAAAGTCAGCACAAACGGCTATTAAAATGCATTCATATGTGAAAAGTTTTTCGAACAAACTTTTATTGTTCACGAATTGGTTCAGCATGAATTAGCTCAAAGCAGCCATTCCTGGGAATTGTTATGCGAAATTCGTCAGATTGAAAAAAGAGAACTTTAAAAAGTGAAGCAAAATGTTTATGCAACAAAATGATTATTAGATTTGTAATATTTTTAAAACTCTGACGATGTAAAAGAAGAATTTTTCAGCCGGATAAAGATCGAACAAAGCATTGCCTTATAATAAAAAAAAACCCACCAGCCACTATCAACACATTCGGTTAAAGCCATGAATGTGAAATTTGATGCTTAAATAAATTTTCGCGCATAAGAAACGAGAAGATTTTTCGACACTTTGGAGTATCAGATTACATAAAAATTTCGCACAGTGACACCTGCATTCCTTGTTCTTATACCAGAATGAATTGTCGTTGTTCGACGTTTGCCTTCGCTCACAATTTCGTTTCGCAGAGAGAATAAAAAACCGAAAACCCGCAGAATCACTTTTGACAACGACATATATTTTACATTCAATATTAGTGGATATAAAAAGCTCAATAAAAATTTATATTTTATCTTCATGTGGTTGACGGAAAGTTGTTGCTTTGCGTTGTCGTTTCACTCAAGAGAAGGAAAAAAATATGATGCATTACCTTCATATGTTCATGTTTTTTTTTTCTTTCTCTTCTTATTCCACCATAAGAAATATAAAATAATATCATACGATCGGAATCTGTAGGTAACGTAACGTGAAACAAGAGACAATTTCATGAGAAATTGCTTGTGGAACCCAGGAGAGATGAAAAAGCCCCTGTTGAGTTCTGCCTTACTATCTAAATCAACATAAAATATGTCAAAATATATAAAAATTTGAGACTTTTTTTCTTCATTCCTTCTTCCTTTTAAACTTCTTTCCTTCAGTTTCTTTCATTCTTCTTGTTCTTCTCATCTTCCTACATACTATGCCTGCATGGTGTTATGTTGATTTTTCCCAATGAGTAATCAAGTGCTGAGTGATTGTGCAAGTATTCGTTTCAGAAAATCACAAACATTTCAAGACGATTTTAACAAGTCAGTTTAATTATTTTTCCATATGTGCATAAATTCTTAACCACCCATCACTTTTAATTATAATTCTTTTTTTAATTTTAAAGAGGTGACAATGACATTCACTCTCTGGGCTGTTCCAACATTGGACAAGGCAACATAACTCATGTTTTTAAATATAAAATTACTTGTTGGTTTTCATGAACAAAAAAGAGAAGAAAAAAATATTTTTTTATGAACCGTAGTTGGTTTTCTCTGCAGGTTAGTTAGTTACTTGTTATTCTTGTTAATGCCTTTTTCTTCTTCCAGTTATTTTCTTCTCAATCTCTTTCTCTTTCCCTAAAAATTGATGTTTATACATATTGCCTGTGATTTCTTAAGCACACACATCAAATGTTTTCTTTGGTATTTTGTTCACGATAATTTTTCTGCTTGCCGCAGTGGTTTCGATTCGTTTGCCTTGTCTTGTTAGCAACGGAATATAAATGTAGTATGAACAAGAAAACAAACAAATTAATTAATATTCAATCATTTGATGGCCAAGAGGCTTGTCGAAGAGCAGCGCTTTGTACGTTCAACTAAGTATCTTCACGTCTCCCCAAACGTTCTCCACATGTATTATGTTATGTCTTGCTAACGAAAATAAAAACAAAAATTACTCAATCATGCGGAATCTTGATGCCTTTCCACCGTTCAAATTTGAGTGATGATTATTCCTTTTGAACAACTCTAACATGTCAAGAACCATCGAAAACATTTTGAATTTTTTGAAAATGAAGGAAGAAAAAACTTTTTTTTTTGTTTTATTTCTTGAATCTTGCCTTAAAAATATCTACTTGAATAATTCATGAGAACAAAAATCTCTTTACGTAGTTTATAAAAATAATAAATTGGTATGAATTGTCATGTAACAATTTAAACAACCGAATCAGAGACAACAAGCTGGGATAAGAGAGTGAAACGCCAGTAAAATAATCAATTTATGAAGTATGACGAGATCTCATTAAGCGTTCACCTCGTTTAAGTTTACGTTTACCAAACACAAGTGAGCTCTTGACTATAGTGAAACGAGTTGATTCGTAGAAGGTAACGATGAGGAGCGTTTGTCTTTATGACTGTGCACTTCTTGGTGACTTTTACAAAAAAAAGAAATGAAATGAAAAGAAAAATAACTTCACAACAATAAGTAAGTATTTGGGAACCTCAAAATCAGGTAGAAAAATATGTGACGATGTCGAGTTTAAGATGGGATTTCCTTTACTTAAATATTCCTCCTACAAGGTCATTGTGAAATGCATTTATGTTCATTCTTTTCCAACACGAAATTTTGTATTTTTGTTGACTTCTTCGAATGAAGAAATAGACGAAAAAGAGAGTGAGAGGAAAAAAAGTTAACTTGAAAATTTGTTGTTATTATTTAAATAAAATAAACATTCAATTTCCTTGCCGATACCTCCCGTAGCAGAAACAAAAATAAATTCCATATTGGGCCGAGCTCAAGAACCTAAGAAACAAGAGGGAAAAAAAGCACAACAAGCAGTAACAGATAAAAATCTCAGAGTCTCCGTTGTCGCTGTTTTTATTTCTTATATTTTTGGTTGCGTCTTGTTGCTCGTTTAATTTATTGAATTCTTTTTCTCTCTTCATTTTCACACAAGCCCAAATAAATATCTGTACAGTCACAGCTCTGTAAATTACAAACAATCTTAATTAAATCATCTACTTCAGTTGCACAAAAAACTTATTCTCGATTGATTTCTTCTGATTTCACGGCATTTGGACATTTCATATGTCATATGTCTGTTACTGTAATTTAAATAAAAAATACATTTTTGGAGTTTGTTGTGCAAACATCGAGTCTTTATTTATCAAGACTGAACGATTTTTTTTTAATTTTATTCTTTTTTTTTGTCATTTTTGACTTCATTATTTTATTCGTCGAAGAAGAAACATTTGAAATTACTGAATTCTTAATTCGTTCGACAGTTGTTGGAAACTTTATTTTTCTCGTCAGTCGTCACGAGAAATGATCGAACGGTGAAGCAAACAAGATAACGCGAGACAATTTTTGTTTCTTTTGCCATTGCAAGACCTTTTGAGGTCTTTTATTAACGATTTCAAAAGTTTTAATTAAAAGATATTTATTATAACTTCTTTCTTGTTTTAATTAATTGTGTACAAGCTGATTAAACTGATTTGCAAAGCAGGTTTCGGAGAAAAAAAATTATTTGCTTGCGACACTTAACTCCACTTACTTATCAAATTTAGCATTGTTTAATGTTCATTGAATTCATTGAATTCACGTTATGAAGTAAAGAGAATGATTGTTGAATTCCAAAATGTCAAGCTAATCGATTTTCAAGACCGAAAATTCCTGGTAAGGATTTTTAAGACATTTAGAATGAATGTTAAATGATCGATAAGCTCCCACAACTTTCCACATAAGCATTCCGATTATTTATTTCCGATTAATTACCTAAATCGATTTCGTCGTCTCATAACCAGAACCAATTCTTTTAAAAGTTTGAAAAAACAAATAAAAACAAGCAGCAAGGAGAATTGTAAATGGTTCGATAAGAAACTAATAATTTTTTACACATAACAGAAAGTCAACGATATCGCGTGTTTCTTTTCCGTTATCAGTTAACGTTTTGTTATCGTTTTTCTTCTTTTAACTTAAATTCACAATTACCTTTGCTAGTTTACGATGAAAGCTGCTTTGCGAACTCTTTTTTTAATTCTACAACTATTAAAAGTGTTTTGTTCTGATGAAGATATTTGTCATTGAAACTTCTCTTATATTCACTTCACTTATTTTATGCTCTTTGACGTGAACTTATTTATTATTACGAGAGCTCAAAGTACTTTATTATTTTTCATTTTTTTCCTTTTTTTATTATTCGCTTCAAAAATTTTATTATGAAAAAAAAATAGCTGCACTACTCTTCACATCAATTGAAGTCAAGTTTGGATTTCTATAGGGCTATAATAGTTTTCGTCTCTCCATAATAATATGAACTTGCATGTTATTCTACTGTCACCAATCTACGATATTAGTTTTTTTTCTTTTCACTCCTTCTGAGATATAAAAATGACTCGACGTCTTCTTATGAGAAAGATCTAAAGCATAAATTTTGCTGTTGTCGAGTGGAGAGTGTTTGTGATTGCAGATAGCAGATTTTCATAGACTAAGAGCACATTATTATTTCATTCTTCTTTCAGTTTTACTTATGTCTAGTGTCTGTATTCTCATCTTCTATTTTCTCATTTTCCCAATGAAATTAGTTTTTCCGTTTTATATTAACCATTTATGTCTTCTATAAACCACACTAATAACACACAGATATCCTTTTTATGTGTTGAAAATTCAGGAAATAATTTTTGTGTTTATGTAAAAAATCAAAATTCTTTCATTTTGTTGCTGCCAGCCAAGGTAACGATTTTCTTCAAATTTCGTAGTTTAAATCACATAACTAAACAAAACCGACTATTATCTTATTAATTTCATTCAATTACACTAAATTAAATTAAATTCATTCATTGAAAACTACTTATTTAATGAAATATTAAAATATATTTCAGCGGAGTAACTTCACCGTCTTATTATATCTGAATCCGGGTTGCAACTGCTGTGTTTTGGTGTTCTTCGGTTCAAAAAATTGTTTACGTTCGGAAGAACATGGAAAGAGAGAATGAAGGGAAGTTTTCTGAGAGTTTCTATACAAATTCTCTTGAGATTTCGTTTCAGTGCAACATAGGATTGTTTCCTTACGTAATCTTTAATATACGTTTTTCGATGTTACGTATTGGGTCTACGCGTCCCTTAAATCATAAAACTTCTCCAATGTACGTGACGTAGGGTCGACAATGAAATTAATAAAAACTTTTTCAAGAAGTTGCATGAATTTATTAAAATTATGAATGTGCATAAAATATTGAATCATTCTCCAATGGATATTATTTTTCAGAAAAGATATATTCGGTTAGGAAACATTTAATTTTTAATTCATTAAATCCAAAACGGTCAAGAATCTGAGAACTATCATTTTTGGCCAATCAATAAAACAAATATTAAAGAAATTTTTAAATGTCACAATACAAGACAATAAATAAAGCGTGAGATACAATCGGAAACCTAAGAAATCTTGTTTTTTTTTCTTTCTGATATAACATTTCTTTTTCTCAAATTTCAGACTCAGGTTTGTGACAGGGACACTGGCGTGAATGTTTGTGTACATTTATTCTGGGTGCAAGTAAATCGATTAAAAAGTCAAAGCAGGTAAAGCCAAAGATATTGGAAACCTCTGCTTTAAAAAGACGTTAAAATAAAAATTTTATTTTCGACAGACCTGACTATATTCGCTTTAATTTATTCATATTTTGTTCTCGTCGTTTAAAGGAATGAAATGAAATGAAATGATCATCGTAGATGCCTACATACCTCGATCTTCTTTTACTTATTTGACTTCTTCTTGATATTCAATTTTTTGAAATTTTATATTCTGACCATGTTTAATGTTTGTTTTGTGATAAAATGCGAGAGATATAAAAAAGTTGAAATTTCCTACATTAATCAATTGATTATAATTGATTATGTTTTCTTTTCGCTCCATTCACCTAACATTTGTTTGTTTTATCGATTTCTTTTTTGAGATATGCCACCTAGTTTGGAGTTGACTAACTTGTCTCATGTGATGTGTCATGGATTTTATTAATCCGGTAGTTTTATACGACGTGTGTAATTATGCTTGTAAGACGACAGCAACTGATAAGCAAACAAAATTGAAGCGTTTAGCTTTATGTCTGTTCAAATATCACCTCTTCTTTGAATAAAAACTGAAAACTTCCCATCGCATGTCATTTCTTTATCTTCATTTAAATGCTTTCAAATCTTAATCCCGTCTCGAGTCTGAATTCCAAGAATTAAAAGTATTTTATTTAAATTAATTCGACCGTTTGGTTGTATTATCAGTGATCTTTCAATTTTAATTTTCGGCAATTTCTTATTCACGACATAAGAAAATTTTGCATAAACGATTCGATTTCATGACAAAGCTTTGTAAAGGCACTTTAGGAAATAAAAAATTCTGCAAGTTTAACCAGAAGTACAAACACAAAAAGGTTTAATTATATTCACGTCACATTCCTTTCAAAACAAATTTAAATTCTACGATTCCCATAAGTGACTCAGGCAGATAAACAAAAGCCAACTATTTTCGTAAATCAATATCAGCACATGATCTGATATCTACCGATGTTCATCTTTTATCAATCAGAAAATTTGTGTGGAAATGTGGCGACTAGCACTACATTCAAATCAGCTATCAAAAACCATCAAAACAATATTCCCTCTGTGAATTCCAACAGTGAGAATCGAGAGTTTCTCATTTCACGTACTATGTGTGCTCTGAATTTTTATGTTAGTTCTTGCCTTTTATTGAAAAATAATAACATTTTGTTTCGCAGCAGACAACATTTGTAAAAGAAACAAGAATCGAGTGATTCAGACTGACTCACAGTAAGATAAATAAATATAAATACAAATCAATAGAAAGTCTTTTTTCCATAATATTATTGAGAGGAAGAAAAGGAATTTGTTGCGCAATTTTCGAGTGAAATATGCATACATTAATGTCAGCCTGGGGTTCAGATTAACAGCTTAATTTCCATAAGTTTAGTTTTTGATGCTGTGAACCTTTTTTTTTTACGTCTTTTGTTCCTAAATAAACAAAAACTGCTGACTATCAATTAAGAATTTTATTTATTTGAATGAATTCGAGAAACTTGTTTTGTTATTTTATGAATAACGCTAATGCAGAATAATTGAAAACATGTTCGAGTTCTCACTCGACTTGAGTTTCATATTTCATTCGTCAAATGAAGCACGAACCACCCCATGATGCTGACTTCATAGAAAGCAGATATTTTTATGTAAATAAGTTAATCTCCAAATTATTTACATACAAACGAGTTTAAGAGCACGAGACAAATTCTGAAGATTTATGAATTTCAGGACCATCTGGTCAGCCTCATTACTTTGTACTTTTATACTTTCGTTGAAATTTAAATAAACATTCTATGAATCAATTCATTTGCCTTATCGCAACATTTTAATTTTTTCTTTCCGTTTGATTTCACTTTCTAACTTCTTTTCTTCATCAAATATTATGTTTCGTGCGCCTTTCCGAGTGTTTTGACTTCCAAAAGTAAATATTCGAGTTGGAAAAACTTCTGAATGGAGAATGGAAAATTTATTTCACCTAAAATGATATGAAAAGAAGCAGTAAATAAATTGACGGATTTATTGTTGCCTTCACTACATGAGAACTTCAGCTTGCAATAATTTACAACTTTTAAAAGTACACAAACTTCTTTCTTCTATGTTTCATGAAGATATTTTTGAAAGGCGCAAAATTAATTAAAACAAATTAAAGATATTTTATAAACATAGCAAAGCTATGTAAACATGTTCATATATGTATGTAACTGAGAACAGTTTATAGCAATAATAATCATATAATTTATATGTAAATGTTTATCAATTAGGAAACTAATTGTTTTGTGTACCGCTGGGAATTTTTTTTTCGTTTTTGCTTTGAAATAACAAAATGAAATTCTTGAATTATTTTTTTACTTATTTATATTTTGATTAAAGAAGAAAATTGTGCAACTCACTACCATACACCAACCGCATTATGCTTCGCTTATCCTTTCCTTGGCAATACATAATAATTCTACACCAATTAATTATTAATAAAAATATGAAAGCATAAAATTATGTAAGGCACGAATGTTAGTAAAGTCCTTCTCGTTGAATGTACAACGCTTTTATTAACTATTAATGTTTGTTTACGCTCCAACTTCTTCCCTTAAATGGGAAGAAAAATATTTTTATAGCGCTCCATAAATGAAATAATGAAGTTTCCCCTCGTATAAGATTACTGAGTGAACATAAAAATTAGTAGTTAATGGCTCTCGAATGCTTCGTTGATAGAAACTGTAGAGTTGGTTTGTGATAGAACTTTATCAAATTAAAACTATTAAGGTTGGGTTGGGAATATCCCTACAAATATGTAGACTATATAAAGAGTAAAGAATTATCCTTTAATATTCATTCTAGTGTTACGAGCTGAGAAAGCAATTAAAAAACTGTAAATTGAGTTTTCATTTTTCATTTCCACGATGAGATTATTTCCACTTCAAAAAAGGAAATCTTTTGATTTAAGTGACGCAATAGTCATAAAATGAATTGCAAAATGAAATTCCTTTTTCCTTCATTCAATTCAAATTTGCGTTCAATTTCAATCGATTGAAAGCGGTGGCAACAAGAAAAGCACTTGAAGAAATAAACATTATTCTATATCGACTCTTCAATATCAAAACGAGGGATGATTTCGTTTCATTTCCATCACATCTCTCAATCTTTAATTCTAGTTTTCGATGTGAAGAAGTCTGCAAGTGATTCACATTTTTATCTCGACACTCAATCACTCATTTATTTGTGCGTTATCCCTTCTACTGCCATCATCAAAAGTCTATTGATAGCAAAGTCGGAATACATCATTTGAGCATTTTTATTTATCCTCCCCGACACCTTCCATAACAATAAAAAAGCAATTTCACCCTATTTATTTGCCTTTTACGATATATTTTATATACGCATTGATTGCGGTATATACTGAAATCGAACGAGTTTAGAAGAACACGAATAGATGTGCAGTATGAAAAGTGTCCGAAATATTTAAGGGTTTAATATTTGACCGTATAATTAAACAATCTCGTGACCTTCTCCGGATACTTTCACTGACACTTGTACAGAAAGAAATGTTAAAAAAATGTTGACATTCGCAGTAAAAATGACAAAATCCTCGTCAACGTCCAGAAAAAAAAGAATGAAAGTTGACGACAAAAGAAAAGCAAGCAAAAAAGGGCGCACAATTCACTATGACAATAAATAGAGATTAATTAACGTGTCATTTTTCGTTCCGCAAAAGTAAATCATTAAGAAAGTAAGACATTCACAAAGAAAAGGAATATCATTGGAACAGAGCATTAAAATATCTCAGTGATAGCGTGAGGGAGTAAAAAAGGGGCAAAATGAAAATCCCGTACTACGATTATATGAATGAAGTGTCATAGATAAAATAAAAAAAGTATAACTCTTTAATTTTGAGTTGTTAAAAAGTCATTTTGTTCAGATTACGACAAGTATTTTATGACTGACAAGTTGCAGTAAAACATTTATGATTGTAGATATTTTCCGAGTGTTATAAAATTTCTTTTATTGAATCATTAAGAACAGCAACAAAGTACAAACGATCGGATGTAAATTCAGTTTAGTTTCATTTTATCAAGCCAATAACTCAAGTGTGCGCAGGTTCCTTCCTTACGTTTCGGAAAAAAATATATTATGTTGTTCTCCCCAGTAAACGCACACCCACACACACAACTCAGTATAATAATCATAGAAGAAGAGAAGAAAATTTAGGAATCCTAAAATTGAATTTTCCTTCTTTTTCTTCTCCCCCAATATACGAAAGGGAAAAAAAGGCATTTTCACTTGCTGTTTTGGTTGTGTGTTGGAAAGTACACATTTGCCACCCGAAACATTATGTGCCATGAAATGTTGAAGAAGGAAAGAAGAAGAAAAAAAAAGGAAGAAAAAAATCGAAAGTAATCCATCATTCTCTCTTGTGCTGATATCTAAGATTTATTTTCATACTAGCCAACCTAAGCCCGTTGCCATGACAGGAAATTTAATTAAAACTTTCTAATTTCGTATCACATGCCTGAAGGCGAATAATATTGTGATGATCTTTGCGCTTCGCATTTTAGGAGACGAGATTGCATATGAAGCTCTTATTTATCATTGATGCGGAATCAAATTACGAACTCTTATAAAAGTTGTCTTCAATGATGGATTACCAAGGCTCATGATACGTTAACAGTTTGTGTTTGCATGCTTTCATTTTTTTAGAGGATCACATTCATTCTCAACAGCTCAAGACCTTAATTTCCCATTTCATAAATTAAACATTGTTATGGCGTATCACTCGCATAATCCGCAATATTTTGACAGTTCTTGAAGCTCAATTCCAGTTTGGGAATGACAGATTGCCTCATCATGCGGTTGTCACTCTTATGTTGTTGTCGGAACAGAGTGTTGCCGATGGAAGGAAATTATCATATTTAAATTTAATTTATTTTTATCAAATATTTGAACAGGAGTGACAACGTTGAATGGTGTTCGGAGAAGTAAAATATTTGCTGTGATGATGGAAGATGATAATCCTAGAATATCCAAGGAACGAAATCAATAAAACTCTCGTCATCTATCGTTCTCGACGTGAACTTTATCTATGGTTTCTCGAGATGATTGATAGGAGAGAAAATTGGATTCAACTTTTACTTGTATCCTTCCCCATTTTATGTTGAAAAAAATATACAATTTATTCAAATATATGATACACCATGGCATAAACCTACCTTGTTGGATCTTGCTACTTAATGACGTTATCCCACTTATATTTTGTTGAAGTCCTCGAGCGCGTAGAACGACAAATTTTATTCCAAACAACAATTTATGAACGAAATTGCTTTCGCCATTCTTAAACCAAATTGTACGGAAATTCTATCAAGAAATCTCATTTTCAGCGTTCAACAATTTTCACATAATTCAATTTTATTTTCAATTTCCCATTGCTCGTAAAAAATTATGTTTTTTGGTAAAGTTTTGCGTGTGTGTTTGTCGTCGTCGTGAATAAATGTTAACTTTGCTTCAAGGGCTGTTAGTTAATACGTCGTTGAATTTTATGAGACAAATATTTTGGACTTTCATGTACGAAGAAATAAAACAAATGCTGATGTTAACAACAATGATGATAGTTTCTGTTACAAATATCTAGTAGACAATCATCAAGCACATTTAGAGCAAGTTCGTGCCTTAACACAACTTCACTGTAGGCAAAGAATCCTTTTTTTCTTCCTTTTTTATGGTTCAATAAATTAAACACGCAGCAAAGCAATCAAACACTATCATCACGAATACCAACTGCGACCTCATACAGCGAGCAAATAATTGTAAACCACAAAATTTAACCGCTGCAATAGAGACGCTTCACTCGTAAAATCCATTTAACTGCAACACACCAATTGTTTGCGATTACACCACAAATGAAACGTTCAATAATTCACAGGTTGAAGCAATACTTTTATTTTTCACTTTAAGCCTTTGAGATATTTTAGTCTCTTCACGCAATCGAAAAAAATGCAATCGAAGCGAAGCAAAGCAAATAAAATAATGATGAAAAGTGAAGAATTTCTGAGGTTTTTCCGAAGCTTTTACGCTCTTTCTTTTCTTTAATTCTCTCAGAGAAAATGTCTGTGGATATTTACACTCGTTACACTCACCATAAGCGCACAATATGTTTTTAAACGGGAATTTTACTCATCATCCCTGAATGCGAACATAAGTAGTGGAAAACATTTCTGGCTTAGTGTTGGTGATCAATTATTTTGATTATTCTTCAACATAGTCTTTAGTTACGCATAGGAAAGAAATGTTTTTCTAACTTTCTCATGCTTTTCCACCACTACAAATGTAAATGTTTTTGTAGAAAATGACGAGAGATAAATATAATTATGGTGTGAGAGGGAGCAATGCTTATGATTGGGACAAAATATTCCATTCAACTTAAAGCTCTGCAGACGGTCGCTTGTTTATAGGAAATAAATTTATAGCACTTTTTCAACTTCAACAGATACAATCGATTTATGAACCATGAAGGTCGATAAAAAATCTTTGCACTAAATTTAGATAAACGTTTTGTCATTCATTGTAATTATTCTGTCGAACAATAAACTTTGGGAAAAAATCTCAGTGTTGAGAATTCAATCAACATCAAACCATTTTAGATAAAAATGTTGGTAATTTAAATTTGTTGTCAAAGTTTAGAGCTTTTTTGACAGTTGTTGCTCGCACATTTTCATAGCTTTTTCTCAATGAGATAAACGTCAAGCCACACTCAGTCAAATTCTTGCCGCATTGTTATGCAGGCGAAAATATTTTTCGTCAAATTATTGACGAAATTCGCGAGAGTGTTTGATATTTTGTTTACATCGATAATTGTAGGGCCTTTAGTTGTGTGTTATTGGATGACAACATGGAAGATTTATGACACTTTTATTACTGTTGAAAATCCTTTAAAAAGTGCAACGATTTCCACATTGATTGGATTTTTTGGGCAATTTCTTCTCATGTTTTATCAAGATTTCTTATCGAAAGTGTTCAAGTTTGAAAAGTTTATGATAATGAGAATAATTGTCTCAAAATTTCATGCTCTCCTGATTGCTACGACATGTATCAGTTATTGGCGTGGTGTGTGGAAGTTTCTTGACATTGCTGCAACTATAAGTGAAACAAATCATGATATTCCAATAACACCACTGTTTGATATTGCTCAAAATTCAATTATTCTTATGATTTCTAAAACATTTGTCAATAACATGTCAGTGCCATTTGTGGTAATGACTGATCAATTGGAAAATTCTTTTCATATACCAACAATATTCAAGAGAAAACGAAATGATGGAACATTAAAATTCTTTTTCGATTGCCTTTACACAAATTTGATTCCATTCTTCATGATTTGCCTTTGGAGAAGTTTTTGGGTGATCATCGATGCAAATGTTTTTCCGAACAATCCCATGACATCGGCATACATTTCAATTGTAAGATTCACATGAACATTTCAATTATAATTTAATATTTACCTCAGTCACTATCTAGACGACTGGCTACACTTTGAGTTTGTTTTGTTTCATGAGCGAAAGTTTTATCGAGAATTTATACAACGAGAGATGTGACGAATATAAATTTTTTGTTCGTGACGTATTCACAGTTGTCTGTTTATTCGCATCAATTAACGTGTGGAGAGGTCTTTGGATTGTTTTTGATGCTTATATAGGTGAGAATTTATTTATGCATCGAAATGAATTTGATTAATGGAAATTATTAAACAGGAAACCGAAACGGAGTTTTGTTTCTTGTTAATGGGCTCGCTTGGAAGTTTCTTATGATTTTAAATTGCACAAGTTCTATTTCACCTAAAGGTGTATTAAAAGATGGAGAAGATTTAGGAAATGGTCCGATAAGATTACCAATTTTATATTTCCAGCAGATATTTAAAAGTGTTAAACTTCAAAGTGAATTTATTGACCAATCAAACTCGACTAAACTTTAATTAACTTATTTATTGAAATGAACAACAAATTTTGTAAACATGATTTCAACTTAAATAAATGAATTAATTTTATTAATTTACTTAATTAGCTGAAAGTTTGATTCCCCAGTTAGAAAATCTCTTTAGGGAATAATTTGCTGGTTTTTCATCACAAAAATTAATTTCAATGTTTTATGTGACAAGAAAAACTTTTAATTTCATTTTCAGTGTTGGAAAATTGTTTGAAATCATCAGATTAGAAGTCAAAATGCTGAATAAACTTTTTTTAATTGCGACTTTTGCATTGCTGAATCCAATTGAGTTTGAAAAAGTTTCAACTCGTAAATTTAAAATTAATCTTTTATTGTTGAATATTTTGCACAGTTCAGTGAGCATCGCTGCTAGTTTTTGTTTTTTGAAGACACAACAAACACAACTTAACTTGGGATGGATAATAAATTACATTGAAATGTTTGGTCTAATATTTTTGAGTATTTTCGTCGGAATTGACGTAATAAGAAAAAGGAAAATTTCTCAAAATTTAAAAGTAGTGAAAATGTTGAAGATCGATTTTAATAATGACGATTGCAGTGATCTGAAAATTGTTTTTTTCTTAAGATTATTGGCATTGCTACTTGTTAGAGGAGTGAAGATGTATAAGAATATTGCCATTAATAAGACGATTTACTCTGTCTGTATGTTCATTCCTGAACTTGTAACATCTTCGAGTGATTTCCTTTTCTCCTTCTATCTTGACGTCCTTACAAGACAAATGAAATTATTCAACATGCAATTGAAATACCAAAATTTGGACTCACAAACTTTGAAATTTTTTGAGACAAAAATCAGCGATTTTCAACAAATTTCTCGCATAATTTGTGATCTTTACTCAACTCGATTAGTTGCCAACACATTGTTTAATTTCATTCAAATTGTTGTTGGATTTCATTGGATATCTGTGAGGATTGTGTACGGACATTTGAAAGAATTGGGATACATATCATTTCTTTATCTAGTTCAACCATTTTTATGTATTTATGTGACCTGCAATTCCGCACAGAAATATTTAAATGAGGTAAGAAGATTCAACTAAAAGCAAAACTTTCTTATCAAAATTTTCATTCATTTCAGTTTAAAAAAACTTTGAATATTTTATTCAATAAAAAGAAATCTGAAGAAAAAGTAGCTTATAAAGTTTCAAACATTTTCATAAGACTTTTGCATAATAAAATTCAGGTAAACGCAATGAACATTATTGACTTTCAATCATCAACACTTCAAAAGGTAAAATTATTCTATCTTCATAATAATTTAAGTGTAATTCTAATTTATCAACAGATTACTGTCACCATTGCTGGTTATTTCGTATTAATTGCACAAACATTTCAAAAAGACATTTTTTATGACGTCTTCTAAACTAAAAATTAATTTATTACCTTAAGTAAGAATTGAAACAATTTCTAGTACATCTAAGTGAATATTTTATAAATGGCAAGACACAATCGTTCTATTAATAGTTGAATCATTTACAACAGCAACAAATATTCCGAACTAGAACGTTTCTTGGTTCTTTTTTAAGCACAAGTATAATAAACACAATGATTGAATGTAAACATTTCAATGCATCAGCAACGATGAATGCTATTCCAGGTTCAACAAGCTCCCATGTACAAATCTCAATCGACCAAGCTAAGCCAGTGGATAAGAAAAATATCAAAAAAATTTGAAATCTAAAAGATTAGAGAAAAAAATGTTAAGCATCATTAATTATATAAAATTATTCTATTTACCTTTGTTCTTGACATTCCAATCGTTTTCGTCCGAAATCAAGATTAATGCCAGTCATTTCATAAAATAATCTCGCAGAAAATATAAAACAAATTGCACACAATAGCAACTCGATTAGAAGCAGAATTAATGGGACAAAGAATTTATCATAAAAGACAATGATAAAGATGCTTGTAATGATTGTAGCAATAAAAACATAAATGCTGTAATGTTTGAATTTCCCTCCTGATGTAAATCGAAAGTTACTAAAAATGCAAAAACCATTTTAGACAAAAAATTGTTGCGTAAGTCAACTGAAAGTCTCACCTCAAAACCCACCAAACATCAAAAATCAAGACATTTATCCATAAAAACGCAACGATCAAGGCGATACTTGCAACAACAATGCCCAACGTTGAGAAATTTCGTGAAAATATATTTGCGATAATTAATGCAAATACGAAGCCGATCATACATTTTCCATTGAGATCTTTCAACTCGTTAATCAACGAATAAAGCAGAAAAATTAACAATAATATTCCAATAATAACTGAAAGAACTGCAATGAAGATTTGTGTGGATTAGAGAAACTTCACGTTAATAGAAGAAAAAAATATTTACTTATGATTCGAATCATCACTAACAACTCTTTGTTGTCATCACACACCATCAAGCTTAATCTGTTCTCTGAGCGGTTTTCAGTCTCTTCTTCACAGAGTTCGAGGTAATAGTTATGGATCGAGTAGGTAGTTTTCGTTGTAAAAATAGAACCGCTCTAAAGAAAAGAAATTTCACACTTTAAATGTTCGTGTCACTAAGTGAAGTACTCACCGATAAAAAATTCCATCGGCTTTGCTTGAAATCTTTCATTTTTTCGCAAGGCTTTTTGTTGAGATCTTTGATCTGACTTGTGATGTTGAATATCAATTCGTTGTTCTCCATGTCATCAATCGTTTCGTTAACTAGCTGACAAATCCTATAACACGGCGTTTCGGCATTGCATTCGACGCGTTTTTCATCACTTTCAGTTTTTCTTGTCACGGCAAACACGAAAAATAAAACGATCAAAGTAAGGAAACTTAAAATTAAAATGATCTTAAAGAAACTTCTTTTATTCATGTCAAATGATTAATTAATAAGTTTTAAAATTTTAATGAATATTCTCGTCTAACTCGTTATGATCCCTCAACGCGATATTTTCAGACTGATCGGAGAATACACAAAATATTGTGTTGAGCTGCTAAGACATCAAAAATCTCTTTTACAATCTTCACATCGAGAGATTCTCTAAATCTTTCATTGCATTACTTAACAACTTGATGAGAGAAATTTGTTAAAGCTTTTACTGAGATTATCATCGACAACGTGCAGAGAGTTTCAAAAAGCACAAAAGAAAACATTAAAATTTTATTTCCAATCAACATTCTTGTCTTTATTTTTTAATTCAATTTTTATTTACAAAAGTTAATTTGCCGGAGCTTTTTGATTTGTACATACATCAACAAAATTTTGTTTGTTTTTTTTTACCAATTAAAAGTAAATCTTACAGGTAGAAATTTTTTAAGTGACTTTTTATAGCATTGAAAAATTATAAATTCGAGATCTTACACTAATCTTATTAACAATAAACTTAAAAGAAGACGAAAAATGTTCACACTCAATATTTTTGATTATCAGGCACATTGGATTTTTGCGCAAGTGGCAAAAGTTCTTTATTTCTTCGATTTCGTCGTTCTGTTGATCTCGCTGATGTTGATGGCAGTTCATTGGGATCAACTTGCTTTTCTTGATCATGAAGAAGAATTGTTAATTGAATGATGCAAAAGAGTCCCATTGATTGAACGATGGCAGCACTTATAAGTACAATTGATACATAAAAGAGACGATCACGAATGGTGTCACTTAATATGTGCATGCAACCTCGTTGATAGAAAGATTTGCAAGCTGAATGATCAGGTTGAGTTGGAATTGTGCAGCAACTCCATGGCACTCCTGAGTGACTTCCGCCAGTTCGGAAGTAGTCACTTAGCTCGTATACGCCACAACATTGCAACTCGTATTGCAATTTATGCCAAACGTGTGTATGATCGCTGATCTTTTCTTTGAAGTCAGCATATGAAGTGTCCATTGGATGTTTTGCTGCTCCTGGAAGCTTCTCTCTTAACGCTAGAGACCATGCCGACAATACAAATTGTATACACACTAATATCACCAAAAGTGTCGTAAACTAAAAATAGAGAAGAAAGAAAATCATTTAAATTCTCTACTGGGAATTACCGTCATCATTTCTTACAATTTTCAAATAGTTACGGTTTCGTTTACTGACTGCATTCCATCCTAGCCAGCAAAGAAGATAAGTCACTGGTCCGAGACATAAAAGTATCGTTGAAGGCACCCAAAAATGATTTCCCAACACAAGTGAATAATTAAGATGATTCCAAGCAAACGTTGCGCCGAAAAAGATTTGTAAGCCGCCAGATAACTGCGAAAAAAAGATAAAGAAAATTCTTCAATCATAAGTGTTTTGTGACAAGTGTCAGATAAGAAATCATCAAGTTACACTCAGCTTATCAGTAATAAATCTGATTATTTTCTGAAGAACTTTCAGTCAAAAATATGATAAGAAACCTTCATCGTTCAAGTGGATGATGAAAAGAATGAACACGGAAATTACAAATGAAAAATTGCTTTCAATTTTTCACAATTTTTCATGTTTGCAAACTTACTAAATCTCCAGCAAAGAAGATGTAAAGCCACAGTTTGTTTCCCATCACGAGGCAAATTATCAAAATTAATTCAAGTGCGTAAAAAAATTGGAAACTTAATAAAAATTCTCTCTTGATTTAAATAAATAAATAGAGAAACGCCAATTGGCCTTCCACATCGCTGCTCGACTGGGTGAATAGTAAGAAAAGTAGGATTAGAAGCGTGTCTGTGGTTTTCGTTATTACCAATGAATGTAAACAGTTCTAATATTGTTTCTCAGGGATTGTGATTCTACAAAACATCATACAACAAAGCAAGAAGAGATTTGTTCGAATCCGCATCTGACAAGAAAAACGATTCAATTTGTGGAAAAGGCAAGCTAGGTAGTAATTTTGTGGCGAATGAAAACTCGCTGTTTAAGACCATGTGCAATCGAATCGTCATTTAAATGAACATATAACAAAGGAACTCGGTTGCCATGATTCACGTTTCGCTTTCTCATCAAAGGTGAATAAAAAGATCACAGAGGTGTTCGTCTTCTTAACTAAAACATTTTTCTTATTAGAAAAAATAAGCAACATAGACAGACATTCACTCATTGCACAATACAGTTGATTTGTTAATTTAATTAAAACAACGATCTATGTGTAAAGTCAAAGGAGAAAAATCTGAGGAAACAATTTTCACATCTCTCTGAAAAGTAAACAAAAGATTTCATTCGAAAATCGAGATTATAAATTGGGAAATGACGAAAATTATCTTTAAAAAGTAAACATGAGTCAGAGTAGTGAAGCATTGCACGACTAGTGATCATAAATAAACGTAAAGATTTTATGTACTCGAAGTATTACTTAGAGTTTTATTAAAAATAGTTCATGTGATTTAAAGCCAACATTTATTAGCTACTCCAATTAAAAGTTGAGAAATGAAGAAAGTTAACAATTCATAATTCTTAATAAATGTCACAGAAACTTCTACATTTCTTCTGTCTGTCGACAGTTTTAAACTTACAATGTACAAATGACAATGACACAAATATTTTCAATTCCAAAATCGAAAAAGATTCTTCATTGTCATTTACAAGAAACAAGCAGTTTGAACTTATGAAAAAACATTTTTCATTTACAACTTACTGTCCTAATTAGCACACATAAACATCAACATCTTTGATTATTTATTTAAAATTAATTCACTGCCGCTTTATTGACGTGAGATTTGTCGTTTTTCTTATTTGATTTATGTCATCATGTCAGAGAGATTTCTCCGAGTTAGAATGTTTAAAAATAAATAAAAATCCAAGAAGTTTTGACTTAGAAATCCCGCGTGAATTTGTGCAATTTTGATCATCGAGAAGCATTCATGTGATGAACTCAGACGCATGTTTCTTAAAAATAGTAACATTTATGTCTGAATTTTCATTTTTTATGTTCTCGTAGAATTAATGCTTTTCCTACTTTTCTGCTTTCCTTCTGTTGCTCAACCGTTCGCTAGAGACTCGAGTGTGTATCAAGAAAATGCAAGATCGTTAAATGAGCATAAGAAAGGCGACATTTTCACGCAAAGGCGACTGACTTTCTCGTAGTATGGAAAATTTATGATAATTTTCAATCTTGTTCTCGTCGGAAAATAAGAGAAGGAGAAAAATTAAGTAACGAAAGACGAACACATTTGTTTTACAAATTTTAATCGAAATTTATGTTTCGTGATCTTTATGCAAAGCAATTTTAATTAGGCTTATTTGAAATGACTCTTCTTCTGTTTTCCCCTCAATGCTTTATGTGAGAGAACAACGAAACAGCTTATGTTGGTCTCCATTTCATGTTTTAAGACTAAAAGTGTTCAGAATAAATTTTGTTACAAACTGATGACAATGAAGACAGATTTCAACCAGATGTTCCGGTGTGAGAAATGAGTCAGATGTGTTATCTAGCAACAAAAAACAGAGAAATGTGCTCGCGAAACGACGGAAAAGAATGTTACGCACATGTTGTCATTCCCTCACAAAAATTATTAATGCTCTCATAATATTTTTAATTATACGATCACTGCTTAGATCATCGATTTCTCAAGAAATTTTTATATTTGTTTATATGTAACCCGTGCGGCGATTCCCCGATACTCATTTCTATATCTGCGATGATTGATCGCTTATTTTGTTCATAGTCTATGAAAATCAGATGACTGTTAAAGGGTTTATATATTTGATGAATTTCCATCTCAAATAACTCTTTCTGTCAAAAAAACTTTCATAAGTTTGTAATTTTCCGTCTATGTAACATCAAATAAGTATGACAACTTTAAAGTTTAAAACATTTTGAGTCGTCTGATGAATTGACATTTTATAGATTTTTATGTTTTTTTAAGAAGATGAGAGATGAAACATAAATATTTGAACATTTTTCTGGTGCAGTGACACAATTTTCACAACAACACAAACATTCACTCTTAATGGCATGTTTCGTAATATTTTAGAGTTTTGTCTCGACCTGAGATCAACGCCTGGAGCTCGGGGAATTTATGAATTTACATCATATTCGGCCTTGTCTGCTGTGAAATTATTAATTTCTCTATGAAAGATTAATTAGGATGAGATAGTTTTACTAAGATACTGGCAATTAAAAAGCCACAGACAGAACTTTAACAGAAATCACAATAAATCAAAGTCATGACATCATGAATTATTAATCGCTAATTTCGTGTTTCATAACTTTTTATACTGTTTTGAAAATTAATTTAAGATATTTTAAATGATTCACTTTTATTTATTACATTCAAGCAAACTAAATTCGATTCTCATGAACATCGCCAAATTGGTTCAATCACTAATCAGGTTAATTAAATTTTTTTTAAATTTATTTGCAGTATTTTTAATTATTCTTTTGACTGTCGATTGTACAAACAACCGGCATGCTAATTATGGATTCATGAAAGTGACTTTTTGTTTATAATTTCAATGAATTAAAATTCAAATTACACCTTCAATGAAGTGTTGTGTGTAAGCTGAGAAATCAAGAGTTAAAGTGAGAATAGAAATGCTTGTATTGCTTAGTGTTTCACTTTATTTCAATTTAAATAAGCAAAACACGAAGCAATTTCATTACATGTGAGTTGTGTTGTTCTCACATGGCTTGTCTATTTTCTGTTGTTTGATTTGGAATTTCATACCTAAATACGAAACATGATCACAAAAAAGAAGAAGAAATTCAAGAAATAATGAATGTTGATTGTTTCAGCGAAGCTTTGCAGGGAAATTGAACATCAAAAATCATGACGCATTTGATGATACATCACGGAAAGGAAAAGAGATCAAAGTGATGATGGAGAACTCACTGTACGTATGAATGTTGAAAAAAGAAAAAAGAATCTTACCGCAAACACTGAAATACCTTAAACGCAATCAACTAATTCGAATTCAATTCTTTTTTATTGTTGATCTATGTTAGTATTATTTAAATGTTCACATCAGGTTTTTGACCCGTAGGTTTATAAATTAGGCATTCTGGAGTTAAATCGATTGAAGTATCTCATTCAGAACAGAAACAATAAATAAATAAATGTTATGAGAAAGTAGAAAACTTTACATTACAATCCCGTTAGTTGAAGTGAGACACGATCATTCAAATAACTCTCACATCCATCAAACCAACTAAAATGTCTTTATGATTCTCTTAAGTTTTCATACATTGATGTTGAGTAAATGATATCGTGTTAGTGTTCTATTCAAGACACGTTGCAACTCTTATGTAGATTAACTCAATATTTATCCGAGTATAATTCATTTTACGAAGAGATGTTGCAATAACTTGATCACCTTGAACGTAATAAGTCGCAAAAATTGTTTTAGATATTGTTGAAGGCAGCAAACTTACCGATAACAATACGACATAAAAATAAACTAATCCCTTAAAGCACTTTAACTCTGTGCTGCTTTGCATCATCACTGGCATCTTTAAATTATTTTTCTTTCAATTTCTTAAGTAAATCACTTTGATTCGATTTCTTTTGATATTTTTTGTTTCTTCTCTGCTTTACTTATTTCACCATAATTTCTAATTTTTCTGCTTTTATATGCTTCATTGACTTTTCTTTCGTCTCATTATGATTCTCAGCGCGTCTTAAATTATTCTCATGTAAGTTTAAATAAAACAACAACAAAATTTGCGGTAATGAAAGAAGAAAAAAAAACCTGTTGGTAGATGGAAAGTGTAATTTAAGCTTGTAACCGCGTTCAATGCTGTGGAATAACTGAGCGAATGAAACGAAAATGAAGTTCGAGTTGAGCTTAAGTTGAGAGAATCGTTTTTTATTTTCATTTCTCTCGCAAATTCAAACTTCAAAGCATGGAAAATAAAACGAATAAGAAAAGTAAAAAATGTGCTTTAAAAGATTTTCCATCATCTTGAACAATTTTATTATTTAGAAATTAAAAAAAAATGAACAAAATTATGATTCTCAAGAAATATTTTCAACAAAAACATAAAATTTTAACTACGGTATTAAACATAAAAAAAATTAATCAAATTTTCATTGAATATTAATCACAAATTCAGAAAGAATCTCGTTCGCTTAATATTTTGTGTGTTTGTTGCATGTAGTGAATAATTTTCTTGAGTCTTGGAGTTTGAATGCCTTTGGCAACATTATGACAAAGTTCAAAGGGATCTTGGATGACCATAGGCTTATGATTTGAAAAAAGATCTTCAACTTCATCAGCTTCTTCTATATCGATGGTTTCCATGTACTGTTTAAATCTTTCGAATACCGGAGGCAGCAAATGTTCCTTGCCATGATCAAAAATATCTTTTTTCACTGCAGTTCCAGTGAGAATGGAAATGACGTTTGTCTCATAATTGAAGTTAAATCCATAGAAATGAAAGAATCCCAGCAAATATTTTTTGAAATCAGTTGCCAAAGGTATTTTTAATCCTGACAGAGTAATCGTGGCAAAGTTGGCATTCCAACCGTCAATCAACACTGGACGCGAATACTCTTGAAGTGTCTGAACTGATGGCAGAACTTTCTCCTGTTGCAAATAAAAAATGACAAGCAAAGTATTGATATACGAATTAATTCCTAAATCAAGTTTTGATGTCCAGAATTTGATGAATGCTGTCAGTTTCTTGCACACAGGCTGCAACTCGACAAAGTATCCAATAAGTTGAGTGTTGCATGAACTGAGACCATTGCTGAAGCTTAGATCGCAATCAATTTTTTCAGAACGACAATATGCTCGTAAAATTGGCGTGCGAGCATGAATAACAGACTCAAGATCACTCCAGTGACGAGGATTTTGTTCTAAAGTAGATCGAGTTTTATGAATTGATTCTTTCATTTTACGTCTACTCAACTTATTATGAAAACAGTTCTCCGTATCGATAAAAATATCGAGATCACCACCGCTTCTTCCAAGTCCATAAATAACACTTCCAAATGGATAAAGAGCAACGTTAGGATAACGAAATGAAAGTTGTTGTCTCAATCGTTCACAAACTCTCGTATGACGTTGCGAATTCTTTATCTGAAGTCCCTCTGATAAAATATCGACTGTCAATCTATCTAAATCAGCTGATTTAAGGAACTCTGCCAATTTCTTAGGCATGTTAGAAAGCGGAGCAGGTTCTAATAAAGTTGGAAGCGAAGTCAAACGTTTCTTCTTTTCTTTGACATTTTTTACAGTCACTTCAATATTTTCAGCTGATCCTTTTACGCTTTTTTGCAATTTCTTCAAATGTTTAACTCCATGAAAATGCTCATCAAATGATTTCGATGATGCTTTTACTGATTGATTGCAAGGCTTGCAATAGTAATATCGGTGAGCTTGAAGAATTTCAAGTTCTATTGTAGGAATGATGGAGAAAACGTCTGATTTCTCATCACTGTCTTGAACTTCAGCGTCTTCTAAAAATTCTGATATTGCTTCGACAGCTGTCAACAAAACAGTTGCTAAATTTTTGTCGATTTTATTGTAGTTACTTTTGAAGTCTTTCAATTGTTTCGTCAGTAAATGTGTTTCCAAGCCTAAGAAATAAAGCTGAAAATAAAATTATGTTAATCGTTGATTAGAATAATCAGAAGCATTTTACTTTTTTATGCTCATTCTGTAAGTATTCTGTGCTGGTTTCTGCTCCATCATTTACTGGATTTTCCATTCCTTCGATCGTTGACTCCATAACCTTCAACTGCACTTATCTTCGCTCTTTTGAAATTGTCTTGGACTTTAAGTCATACAGTATTTTTCATACACTAGAAAGTTTGCAAATGTTTCTAGCTACAATTAAGCTTTGATTAAGTATTTTGAACTCTTAATTTCTTCTTTAAAACATTTATTTCAGGACAATTTACAAATTCGAAATTTTATTTGTTTTGATGTAAGGACGCTTAATAAAAAGTTTTGCAATTATATCTCAACTTTGCCTTTTGAAGGGTATTAAGCTACGACAAAATAATTTTTTTTTGTTTACATCCGAAATTTTTGAAATTTTCACTTTCATCTTTTACAATTTAATAAAATACGTAGAAAAAAGTAGTAAAGATTATAAATTATTGTAAACATGGATGCTGATATGGCAAAGAAAACTTGGGAGTTGGAAAACGAAATCGAAACCCTTCCTGCAAGTGATGAAATCTTCAGATATGATGCACAACAACAATCGGCTATTCAGTCAGCTCGTCCGTGGGAAAAAGATCCACATTACTTTAAGGATGTTAAAATCTCAGCTCTTGCTTTGCTTAAGATGGTAATGCACGCTCGATCAGGAGGTTCTCTTGAAATTATGGGCTTAATGTTGGGAAAAGTGGATGGAAATTCAATGATTATCATGGATGCTTTCGCTTTACCAGTTGAAGGAACTGAAACGAGAGTTAATGCTCAATCGCAAGCATATGAATACATGACACAATATATTGAGTCTGCTAAAGAAGTTGGTAAGTACATATAAAGAGTTTTTCGTGAATATTTTAAAATTAATAATTCTTGTTTAGGTCGTTTGGAGAATGCCATTGGTTGGTATCATTCACATCCTGGATATGGTTGTTGGTTGTCTGGAATTGATGTTTCTACACAAATGTTGAATCAAAATTATCAAGAACCGTTTGTTGCCATCGTCATTGATCCAGTTAGAACTGTTTCATCAGGAAAAGTAAATTTGGGAGCTTTTCGCACTTATCCAAAAGGTTACAAACCACCAAATGAAGAACCTTCTGAATATCAAACAATTCCATTGAATAAGATTGAAGATTTTGGTGTTCATTGTAAGCAGTACTATCAACTTGATGTCACTTATTTCAAATCATCATTGGATCGTAAGTTGTTAGATTCGTTGTGGAATAAATATTGGGTGAACACTTTGGGAAGTTCCGGTTTGTTAAGCAATGCTGAATACACAACTGGTCAGATCTTTGATCTGTCTGAGAAGTTGGAACAAAGTGAATCGAGCTTAAGCCGTGGATATTACTTAGCTGCTGAAGGAAGTGACAAAAGCAAAGAAGACAAGCTCACTAAAGCTACTCGCGATTGTTGTCGTGCTTCGATTGAGTTAATTCATGGATTAATGACTCAAATCGCTAAAGATAAACTTTTCAATACTGTAAATGAGAAGAAATAAGTTTTGCTTGAAATAAAAAAATACCTACATCAAACATTTTTATAAAAATAAAAATTAATTTTTTGATTTGGTGATGGAGAACGTTTAAAGAGAAACTTTTATTAAATTTGTTCTATTTCTTTGTGCAACTAAGTAGAGTTTTGTTCATAGGTCATGTCAAACATTCGTGCTGAGAATGAGATCGTTTAAGAAGTAAAGTTTAATGTCATTAACGAATTTTGTCTATAAAGTTTAAACATTTATTTTTGAACAAATCCTTTGACTTCCCTCAATTTTTCGAAGTTTGTCTTAAGATTGTCAAAAAAATCTGGTGGCGCTTCTTCATCATCGTTTTGTTTCTTTGGTGCTAAAAATTGATGAATTGCAATAACTACGATGACTGCAGTGATGACATAGTTGAGCTTGAAAATTGCGTCTTGACAATAAAGAACGGAAACAACAGCTGTAACATAGAGAAAATGTCCAACAGCTTTGTAGTAATATCTGAAAAAAATTCTTTAATCAATAAGCAAAAAAATTATTAAAAATTTCCTTCATTACAAATTTCTTGGTGTTGGCATTTGCCAGATAAATCCAAGAGCTGTTAAGATGCAAGTTGCTGGTATCAACATTGGATCGGGAGAAAGTTGCTTTGAATAATGATAATTACGTGCCCATGTCACCACTGAAGGCAGAGAAAACATCGCTGACATCAAGAGAAGATAAAAAATTGGTAAATGAAAGTTGATGTCACTTAAACCTTCAGTCAAGCTGTCATATTCTATTCGAGATGATGCTAATTCCTTATCACGTTTTGCTTTCTCTTCACGTTGCTTTTTCATTGCCTCTTCAAGTAATTGGCTGATCTTCTCTTCTTCCTCTTTATCTTCAGCTTCTGATTCAACTTCAGAAGTTACGATCGGCTTCTCAACTTCTTCTGATTTCTTTGGCTCTTCAATCACTTCAGAATTTTGTGATTTTCTTACACGTCCAAAAAGTTTCATTGCAATGAGTTTTGCTGTATTGAACACAAAATTTTCCAAATAATCTTCGTACATTTTAGAAAGCTGAAAAAAAATTAAAACTAACGATTTATAAATGAATAAAATTAAATAAAAACTTACCAAAATAAAATAAACGAAACATCCAACAATCAACGCAATTCCACCACATGATGAAAATGCCAAAGCAATCAACAAAGCAGCAACTGAAGCTGGAAATTTCTCAATAATTGATATGCAAGTGTCAGAGAGAATCGGAATTGGCAAATGAACAATTTTGAAGAGAATTTTGTGAGCGATTGAAGCACAAAATGTTATGCCGGTCCATATCAATCCTGTAAGAATCGTGAGAAGTGCTAATGCCGTTCCATGAATTATTATTGAAACTGTTAAAGAAGTTGGCAAAACTTCTGGCTTTGGCAAAATCTTCATCAACACGATGATCTTGAGAAATAATCTTGACACTGTCATGACAAAGAATGGAGTGCAAGTTCCCAATGCTTTATATAAAGAACCGCATTTAAATTTCTCTCCACTTGGCGTTAATCCAATTTGATGTTTAATCGATAAACAAATTAACGCTACAAGATGTGCTGGTAACCAATGCGAGAATTGTTGAACAATTTTTGACAACAATTGACCAAAAGATTGTTTTATTTCAATCGTATAACGACATGTTGGATCAAGAAATAATTCCAATTGAATTGGATAATTTGTTGTGTTATAATTTAATGGGCGTGTTTTTGGTGTCCATAAAATCATGTTTTTGTTATCTTCAAATTGATGATAGCGATCAAAGCCACTTATCCAAGGAATGCAAACCTTCCCGACTGTTATGTGCTTTGAACAATGCTTTGGTGTGACAATAATTTCAAGTGCTTGATGTTGTTCATCGAGGTCAGTAACATTGAATTGATAATAAGAAGCACCCAGCAATGTATCGTCGAGAATCTTGTAAGTGCTAAATGAATACCATTTTGGCATTGTGAACATAATTTGACGATCTGATGGGTTGTGAATGTCAACAGTGTATTGAAATGGTTCACGTGTTGGTGCAAAGCGAAGGAGAACGTGCGTCCATTTAGGATTCTTCGCTTTTAATTCATGAAGATTCAATAGAAAGTTTTCATGGTCTGGATATTGTGGTGGAATTTTTCTGACAATATTTGTCGGTAATAAAGTCGCATACGAACAAAATCTTGATGATGATGTCGTTTCAATTGCTTCACAACCATAAATCCATTCATTTGTTTCTCGATTTATGACATCAACACGAACTGAATGATATAAAAAGTTATCAACAAGACGAATCATTTGTATTCTTGTTCGATTGATGCCATTTTTAAATTGATGTGTAAAAATTCGTCGATTATCTTCAAGCCATTCAGCTTTTTCTGGTGAATCAATTTTACGAGTCTTTTCTTTGTTTGTGGGGATTGGTGGAAGGCCCAGAAAATATTGTTCTGCCTTTCTTAAACGAGCTTCTTTCTCCTCAATAAAACTGAGTCCCTTTGAAATTGGTCCTTTGTATTGTGTAGGCGCAATAATGCTATAGAGAAATCGATTGACAACCAGAACGAGTTGAAGACACCAAACAATACAAAGATGGTCACTTTCCACCCACACTTTAGATATTGCTGTGGTCATTGCATGAATATCACTGAATTTCGAGTCAGTTAATCCTGAATGAACGAGTAAATCTTTGTTTCCACCACCAATTGTGATTAAAAGTTTTTCGTCCAATTTTCTCTTCTCTTGATCGTTGCTTAACTTTTTCCGTCGTTTCACTCCACAAGTGCTGTTAAGTGGTTCATCAATAAATCGATTTTTAATCCAATAACCTTCAACAGATTTATAAAATGAGTCGATATGATGATCCAAATTCAAAACTGGCTTATCCATAGGTGATGCAAGTGTAATGACAGTGTTGATGAGCTCAGCTGTGTCAGGAGATGACAACAACTTCTGTGCAATTTTTCCAGCAATGGAATGAGCAACTATCACAATTTTCTTTGGTGGAAATGGCAAACGATTGTAAAGTTTAAGAATAGCGCTAATTGAATGCTCAATAAATTGAGTTTGATCATGTAGAACGCCGCCATAAAGCGCCGCATATTCTTCATTTAAATCAACAGTAAAATAATCTAAATGTCTGAACCAGTCGTTATCTATTCCTTTACGTAAGGCAACAGATGCAAGTGATCTAGCTTGCTTATAACTTCCACTATTTCCAGGTATGAACAATACAGGAGCTCCATTAAATATTAAATTTCTAGCATTCTCAGTCAACTGTCCTTCTGAATAAGCGTATAAGTTATACTTTGGAAAGCTTTCATTCTCTTCAAAGTCAATTTTCTGAAATGAAAAATTCATAAGATAAATTTAGCTCAAATTGTGGGAATTTAAACATCTTTAGAAATTGAAAAGTATAAAGAAGAAAAATAATTTTTAATTACAATTTACAAGACTAACTCACCACATAATTGGGATGTTCAAACATAAAAGTCATTTTACAGTCATTGTTACCATGATTTACTGAACTGAATGTTAGTAAAACACCATATAAGTAAAGGGTTATACAAACGAAGGAAAACAAGATAAAAATACTATTCGCAATCATCTTGAAAATGCCTCGAATGCAATTAAATTTACTCTTCACTATTTTTAACTTTTTTATTGTTAATGTCTGAGTGTCTTTTATTAACAAGCAACGAAGAAATACTGAAGAGATACCTCGTCGGTAAATTCTTCCGAACTACCAAGAAAATATTTTATGTTATGGAGGGAAAACAAATTGCACACAAATTCGTTTGGGTAACTGGGTGGCTGTAGAAAATATCTTCGATCAGCTGATTTCATGGAAGTGTTAGTGTAATCTAAAGGCAGTTTATTCTCATAAAAAGTAAAGTTTATTCCCATGAAGTGCAATATTATTTTTTATTTTTCCATATTAAATTTTCGACTAATGTAGGTAATTTGCAAGTTTTTTCAAAATTCAATGGAATTTGGTGTGATGAATAAGGATTTAACGGAAAATTATTTAAATCTCAAGGGGTAGGAAAAAACTAAAATTTTTCGAACATTTGCGAATGTAAACATTAACATGAGGTTGAAAGTTGCAATAAGTCAAATATAGATTTTTTAAAAATTACATAAAAACACGACTTATTTTGATATTAAATTCATTATAATTAAATAAAAATGTCATCTACAAAAAGCAGAAAATCAATTTCTGATCAAATCAATGATGTTTTGAAACCAAAAGAACTTGTTGAAGAAACTGATGAGAATGAAGCAAAAATTGAAGAATTCAGAGAGTTCTCAGATTCTACAAATAAAAATGTTCATTTGAGCAGTATAAGAAAACAATCAGCTAAGAATTTAAGTGAATTAGACAGTAAATATAAAGGAAAAATTGTGAGCAGGAAGGAATGGGAAGATGAATCTGTAGATTCTGATGAGCTTAAAGACAGCGAAGATGAATCTGAAAAGAATGATGAATGTGCTACTGATAGTGAAGACGAAAGTAACAATTCAGATGTGGACGATGAAAACGAATCTGCTGATGATGATATGGATGAAAGTGATGGAAATGAAGATGATTATGAAGATGACTTTGATATGCTAGGACTGAGCGAATATGGCGCTAACTCTTCAGAGCGTACTTCTAATGGAAAGACAGACATTCTCAAAAGTGTATCGCTGGACGACGAAATCAAAAAAGGTGTATGCGTTCAAAATCAATTGAAAATTTGGGAAAAATTACTCGAAGTTAGGATAAAGTCACAGAAGATGTTGATAACTGCTAACAGACTTCCAAACTTCACTGACCACCTTGAACTCTCAACAGTGGAAGATTCTCCATTTGCTGAGAAAGTTGATGAGACTTGTTCATCTATCCATTCACTTCTCGATAATCTTCTTGAACTTCAAAGAACTTTGGTCACCAGGTAAGCGTTTTTTTGTCTAAATTAGAAGTTTCCATCTAAAAATATTTAATTTTGTAGCTTTCCAGAATCGAAAGACATTCTCAAAACGAAAAAACGAAAGAAAGATGAAGATAATCAAAATGTTTTGAAGAGAACAAAACTGGCAGATTATTCAGAAGAGATTGGAGATGATTACGAAGCTTATAAAGAATTTCGTAATAAAACACTTGACAAGTGGCATGAAAGAACGAAAACTGTTAAAGATTTGAAGAATCCATTTGCTAATATAAACATCGTGTCAAAGATTGAAAATGCTTTGCTAGGAAAAAATGAAATGATTCGTAAAACTCAACTTTATCGTGGTGACTTCGAAGTCTTTGGTGGTTTGGAAACATTACAGCAGTCTGAAGATAACAACGATGAAGTTCATCTTCCGGAAATCTTCGATGACTCAGAATTCTATCATCAACTTCTTCGTGAACTTATCGAATATAAAAGCAACATCGATGAGAATCAATCGGAAATTACTAGAAAATTCGTCGAATTACAAAAAGTTCGAAACAAAATGAAGAAAAAAGTTGACACTCGAGCTTCGAAAGGAAGAAAAATTCGTTACATTGTTCACAATAAACTTGTCAACTTTATGCCACCAAAGGATGAAAGCGAAATGACTGATGAAGCTAGAACAGAATTATTCAATTCACTCTTTGGAATAAACAACAGCACAGCAGAAATTCTTTAATAAAAAATTTCAATTTATTTCTCTTTCTTATATGTAAAAACCTTTTTCTTATTCTTCTTGTTTTTGGCTAATTATAACATGAATTTAAAACTTTAATGATGTAACATTTCACCTTAGGATATAAAATGAATATTAAACAAAAGAAAACTTAACATTTGAGTTAAAAGAATTTTAGTTTTATCCAGCAAAGAGCTGGAATAAGTTACAAATCACCAGCAACTACAGCTAAATGAAATTTGTTAGAGTTTACAGGAGCGCAAACTTTTTTTTAAAAAATGTTTTATATAAAAAAGAAGGAAGTTTATTGAAGTTTAAAACTTTCGACATTCAAAGTTAAAGAAGTTTTGGTATCATTATACAATATATTTTGTGTGAAACTTCTAGTGAAATCTTAATCGTCATTTTAATTCTCGTTTGAATATCGACAGCCTTCAACTGAGCCACTTAATTAAATACAAAATATATCATTATTTAGGAAAGTCTTTAAAACGACTTGTTAGAGTGACTCAACTATTTTAATCACGCGAGACTTGAGCTCGAAACATATTGCGTTCATTGTTTGTTATATCACATTGAATGTTTATAATCGATCGTTGTTAAAGATGATGACAAAATGTTTTCTGAATCCTTAAAAATTCTTCTCTTAATAACTTTATTTGTTTGTTTTTTCTCTTCATCCAATCTCAACAATAAATAAACGTTCACTACTTGTTGATTTTCTTTCTTAAATAATGTTCATTAGAAATGAATAAATCTTAAAAGCAACTTTAGATGATGATGAAGTTTTAAGGGCTTGAAAATGAGATGAGACGAGAAGGAAAAAGGAAAGGCACATGGCAAGTTATTAATATCCATTTTCCGGTTCTTCTTTCAGCACCATCATTTCGTTTCCACTTGAACTTGTCACCATTCCATCGTACATTGGATTCTGATGATTTATGTTTTTATAAGGCGATGAGATCTTTCGACCGTTGTTGTTACCATTGCTATTGTTGTATTGATTCATGAGTCCACCTCCACCGTTGGTTGATCTTAAATGATGATGGTGATGGTGGTGATGATGATGGTGGGCTTGTTGATGTGCCATATTAAGGTCGTATGGTTGGACACGAGGACTTACGTGTGTCTGTTGCTGATGTTGCTGTGATTGCTGTTGATACATTTCCAAGTTGCTTTCTGGTACGAAATTTTGATTATTATCTTTCTGTTTATATTCATCACTACCGATCGTTTGAAGCTGCTGCTGTTGTTGTTGATGTGATTCAGATGACGCTGATGATGACTGAAGAAGATTTACATTGTTTAATGTTGGCTCTAAGTGACCTGTATCGTTATCTGTGTTGTTTCCATTTCCATTTGGATTTCCGCTGTTCAATAAACTTTCATTCTCACCAGCTGAAACATTTCCGTTTGATGTTGGACTGAAAGCTATTGGCGTTGAATCCATTGGTGGCGTTTCACCACCAAGAAGCATTTCTTGCAATAAATTATCGATATGTGCAACGCCAATCATCTTCGCAACTTCAATTTGTTGAATCATTTGCCATGTTATTGACTGAACAACTGGTAACAAGAGAAGAATTTCCCCAAAACGACCACGAGAGTCGTAAAGTTTATCACTTATATAATCTTCCAAGTTCTTAAGAATCTGATGACGAATTCCTTTAACACGTGATGGTTCTGTCAATCCTTTAGCGTCTATCAAGGAAAATGAGAATTTGTTAATTATTTATAAGTTATATATAAAGTTCAGATGACAATAAAACTTACTTGGATCAAAGAACACAAGAGCTTTAACACATGCTAGCTCTTCATCATCAAGTTGAATCTCTTTCATTGCACTTACAAGCTCGTCAATGATTCTTGCGCCAATCTTTGACATGTCTAAATTCGGTTCCATTCTGTTTTGTTCTGGTGATGTTTTCATGATGATACTGTGATTGCCTAACAATAAAACGCCCTGAAGATGCATCGAACGTCTTGACACACCCAACAACAAATGTTCTCCGGCGTGTCCACGTAACAAAGCAACTTGGTCGTCTAACTGTAGTTCAGCAAAAGCTGGAATCGATTTAGCCCATTCGACAAGAATCAAAAGTTGCTGCTTCATTGAATCACAAACATCGTGAATGCTCGCATATTGCTTATTACTCAAATCGTTGTCATTCGTGACATCATCAAGTGCTGCTGTAACTTGTCGTGATAACATTTCTGCCTTTAAAAGGAATTTCACTGACAATCCATTTCCAGCGTTTGATTCTTCTGTACTTGGTCGACGACAACTTATTCGATCACGTTCATTCTGCACAGCTTCCTTTTTCATTCCAGCTTTAAAGCATTTTCTCAGTCGGCAATAGCGACACTGATTTCGCTTATCCTTGTCGACAACACATTGTCGCGAAAAGCTAAACATGACGAAGAGAAATAATGAGCAATTTAGCTAAATTGTTTTTCACAGTTCATTTTACGGAAGCTGACTGACTAATTGCCAGCATTTATTTTATAACTAGCTTACATGTTCCACTTAAGGTTGCATGTTAATTTATATAAATGATGGTTTTTTAATAACTAAAAGATAAGCAATATTATTTTTAATAACTCACCGACATGAATATGTGTGATTCTTTCTAACACTTCGGCGAAAAAATCCTTTGCAACCATCACAACTTGCAGCACCGTAATGCTTACCAGTTGCACGATCACCACAAATTGCACAAACGTTACAATTACCATTGCTGTGTCCATTAGCCATTCCAATCAGTTGAAGATCCTTCACATCGTCCATCATTGTCGGTGACGATGTTTCATCCTCTGTGTCTGTAAAAGAAAGAACGAAAATACATTCATGAAAAAGAAATATTTTTGGAATCTTTTTTTTTGTTCTTTTTCCGTTGTTATCAGTCACTCGCAATGCTTCGATATTTTATTTTCATGTCTTAAGCTTCTTCTTATACAAACGGAAAATTTTTGTCGATACTAAAACGTTTTCGTTTTTTTCTTCTTACGGTTTGTGTTTTGTTATCATCAAGCCCGCTTTAAGACGTTTTTTTTTCTTTTCCTTCATTTATTCGTTCAGAGTTGTGATTAATGGATTGAAGGAAAGAGAAAGATAAGAGAAGACGATTGAACGAAGAGATTTTTCTGGTTAACAACGTCGTAGGTTGTCGTGAAAGTTGATTAGGTTTACGATTCACGTGACAAACAAAAAAAAAACAAAAAGAAATGAAAAGGAAAAACTTTGTGTGTGTGTAAGATGGGAAAAGAAAACGTCTCATCTATTTAATCTTGCTGAGCTCATTAATATTTCTTCTTTTTTTGTGTTTTGTTTTATCAACTATTGACCCAGACAATCGAACTGAAGAAATAATAAAATTGACATCATCATCGGTCATAATTTATGTTTAGAAGAAAGGAAGAAGAGAGCAAAGTTATCTCCATTGAATGAGTGACACATTCTAAATTAGTTTTCATGAATTTGTAAACATATTTTCATTATTTGCCTGTTTGACACATTCCCTTCTCTCCTCTCTCACTTCACAATTTGCTTACAAGGTAATTTCATTTAATTGTCTCATTTTCGTATCACTAAACTTTTTTTTCTCTTGCAAAAATATTTTTTGCCATTGTTATCAAAGAACAGCATTTGAAGTTTACAATTATCTTTAAATCTTCAAACAATAAAAATGGAATTAAATATTCTGCGTAGGTTTATTTTGTGACATCATCATCTTCATAAGCAAACACCAAAGTGGTTGGTTTTTGAGCTCATGATGCGTTTATCGTGACGCGAAAAGAATTAAAAGCTTTAAATATTCCTAGCTTACAAGTAGATAGATAAATTAATAATTGGAAAGAATAAAAAAATCACTTTAAGATCTGAATAGATCGAAATAGACAAAAAAAAATTATTTCCGACCTCCAACTTTTTAATCTTCTCATTAAGTAAGCTGGCGTTTTAAACTTCTCACTTTTTTAACTTTATCATCTTATCGCTTAAATAATCACACTGATATGATTTCTATGAGTGTTTGAAAACGGTAGACACGACAGAGGTTTTGTCTATTCATAATGTCAAAGGACAAATAAATGAAAAAAAAAGATTTGTGCATCGAATTGATTGCCATAAAAATCAATTAATAAAAATGTCATTTTCACTCGACAGACGTTTGTGATAAAACTTCAATTTCTTTCTTCTTGTTCTTGATTAAATGAAGGCAGATTATATCTATCAATGATGATAATGAAGGTCCGGGTTTATATGTTGTCAACGTACTCATGAATCACAAATAATTTTACTCTTTGCACTGTTGTCGATTCCCGTGGAATTTCAGAGGATTTCGGTTAAAAGCGGTGGCGATTAATGGACGAAAGATAAAACATATTTTTTAAGTGAAGTGTGCTGATAAGAAAACATTTATAGACGTTAACAAAACACGAATGTGTTATGAAACAAACCGTAAGTAAATTGCGAATCTTAAACTGCTTCGTCAAAGAGCAAAATTTGCCTCATCATGGTAAATAAGATAAATAGTTGGAGCAACTGTGTCGCAATTAAAAAAGATTTAACTACAAATGAGACTGACGGATCGAAGTGTTTTATAAATACATGATTGACTAGACAAAACAACTTTTGATTGATGTGATTTGATTTAAATAAATTATTTACGTAGAATATTCTCATTTTACTTGATTTAGTTAAAGACATTCAATGGAAATATTTCTTTCAGTCGTTCTTACCCAAAATACTGAAATGTGGTTGAAACAAGTGCTCCTCCAAAGGCAGTGCACTTGCACTAAGCAGATAGTCATGCCCGCCATAATTCAATATATCTAACTCACTCTTCATGTCCACCGTGTAATTTCTTTCCTTTTTCACCTTCATCAACAACACACAACGTCTCTTCGACAGACAGCAACTGAATGACTTTTTTTATTTCTTTTATTCTTAAAGAATATTTCTTCTTTCAAAAAAAGTTTTTTTGTTTTTTATCACAAGAAACTTATCACATATACACGTTGGAGGCTTGATTGGCAATGTTTATTCTTTTAGCCTTTTTTTTCTTCGTAGTCTTAGTTTTAGCTTTAGTCTTCAGACTCATAAACAAGAATATTGTGTAAAATCTACCAAAACTCTCAGTTATTATTATTAACTTTTAAAGTGCAAATCATTAACGTTTGTTTTGATTGTCGTGCTACAAGTGGAAATTAACTTTAATGACTCGTAGTCACATTTTGAGGGTGACCTATGACTTTGACCATAATTAAAATGCTTAAAACTGACAGAATAAACCAACACACATGTTTATCGATATTATTTCAAATTCAATTCTCTTGATTCACAACAACTTTGCCGAAAATGAATGACGTGAAAGAGAGAAAGTTCACAAATTTACTTTTCATTTTTTTATTGTTTTTGGAATTTGTTTTCTTTTCCTTTTTTTGGATTTTGAAAGAGAACGAACGAACAAACCCACGAAATCTCTTAATATAGTTACGAAATTAGGTGGCTTAGGATAGTTTATTGAAATTTTTAGGGCGAAAATTTTTCGAGAGAGACGAAGAAAAAAAAACACTTCAAACTTTTGAATTTATAAACAGTTCAGTCAACCGAGCACGTAAGAAAACCAACAGAACAGCTAATGAAAAGAGTCACACCGGGCGAGGAGTGAGCAGCACCGATTGCAGATTATTACTGACAAAACTCGAAACAAAAAAAAAACAGAATCGCCGCTCATAGCTTCTCAAATGGAGAAAAATAAGCAATAAAAGCTTCGAATGTAGTCGAGAGATGTTGAATTTTTTTTTTTTATTATATTATTTCTGTTTTCTTCTTCACTTTTTTTCCATTCCAATGCGATCATCAATGCAAGCGTGTTGGAGAGAATTATAAATTCGTAAAGCCGCGCACAAACACAAGAGCGTATTTTTCATTCCGATTATCTTATCAGCACCACAGCAATGGAATAAAAAAATTTGTTCGTTGATATATTTATTTACAAGGTTTAATGTGTAGTGTTCTGGAGATACTTAGATTATCATGATTTTATGATGGGAGATGGTAATGGAGTGAAGGGAAGGGGACACGTTTTAAGCAAGCATTTAAACAGTAATTAACTTTTATCAACCGAATGACAAGCTCGAAATTAAGAACCAAAGCATTTAAATATCTTTAATTATTTTTATGGTGAATCTCGTGATGATTTATGTCCGTCGTTCAACACATTTTCGGGACTGTTTTTTGTGATTATTTTTATTTTGGTAAACATGCGAAATAACATTGAAATGGATAAATACATAATAGGCGAATAATACGATGGAGAAGCTAATATTAACAACAATAATGACTTTGCTGTTTTTTCAATATTTCTACGATTTGCTTTTATTTTCCCCTGACGACAACAACAGAGGCTAACTTCGAAATGGAATTTGTTTGCTTGCTTGCGACAATCTCGATTTCATCTTCATCAACATCCGGGAATGTTTTTTTTTTCTTTTAATTTGGGGAATTTCGTAAGATTAATAAACGGTGGGGAGAAGATTCTTTTTTTAATTGACTACTCTTAGGATTTATTTATAGAAGAAGTTGAGAATCATTTATTCAAGCAGATTATAGAAAACATGTATGTATGTCTGACTTTGAGGGTTAAATTTATCCCAGGGCTAATCAGATTTGTCATGGAAAGAATCTTTAAAGGTCTTGTGGAGGTTTTAATGTATTTTTGGCATTTTATGATCGCGTCTTGTTGTCGACAAATCATAGAAAGGAATCTGATTAAACGAGCACAAAGATTTGCAATTAATTATTTCTCAAACACGAGGCTTTCTGTCAGTGACATCAATCAATAAGTTCATGTCTACATGCATACTTATTTACAAATAGAATCTCGTCTGTTCATCACGTATATTCATATTTTATTAAAAATATTAATATTTTCTTCTTCTTTTTCTTATTTCCCAATCCCAGCTGTTGAATTAAATATGGCTTTGCCCTCAAAACATTATCAAACATTTGATATTTATTTAACTACATTATGTTGTTGCTGTGAATGTGAAATGATGATTAAGCTCATGCAAATGAATATTCTTGTGATGATGGAAAATTCACAATCGTGTTTAATAATTTATATATTCAATGAGAAGTGCATGCATTTAATTTCATTGCGATATTTGCATCAGGGCCATTTTTTTATTACAAATAAATTTGAATAAATCGATTTAATTCTTGCACATTAGTGAAAATTGAATGACACGGAAATAATTGAAAGCACAATTACTATCAACATCTAACTCGTCATTCATTGAACTTTTCTTCACATCTCTAACGTTGTTGTCATGATGACGTGACACTTTCCCTTTCTTTCTTCCACTTCATTTCATTTCTAAGTGCTGTTAAAATAAGTGAAATATTTCTTCTTTTTCTTATGTATTTATTAGGACAAGCTTGACCCAAGCCACGAATAAGAGAGAAACAAATGTAAGACAAAAAATAAATAAAACTTGTTGACAATTATCAGCGATTAACAACAAAAAAAAATTGTAATGAAAAATACAGAAAGAGAACTGAGTGTAGACTTGTTTCGCAGACAAAACAACTCGCGCAACCAGCGTTTGTTGATCGCTGTTAAATGAGGCGCGTAAAGAGCACGTTGAGTGATAAGAATTATTGACCGCTTTTTTTCCCTGAACGATACTTTTTGATGATCAGTTAGATGAAATTCTTCACACTTCACCAAAAAAAAAAAGAAGCAAAATGTTTTCTCACAATTGAATCAGCAATTTCACGATCTAGTTTCACAGACACTTAGTTTACTAATGCTACGATAGATAATCCAGTGATCTTAACACAATTCACATCAGACAATCGCTAATCAACATTCTTTCCTAACACACGATTTGAAATATTTCATGATCAATTAAAATTAATTTCAGTTTCTTTTTAAATAATTTTAAAATTAAAACTAGTTTCACTCATCATGTTGTGATTACTTATGAACAAAGAGAAATAAAAAGTTTTCATTTATCATTGTATCAACTTCCGCATTTGTTCGCGACATAAGAACATGTGTTATTAAGCACTTTACATCCTTCTAAGGCACACTCACTTATGTGTGTGCAATCTGAGGAAGTTTACAGCAAAAAGTCAGTAATCACTTTTTTTACAATTTTGCAGTTATTCACGAGATTATTGACATTGTTTCCCTTTATATTCGACTACAAAATGTCATTGCTGGTCAACAAGGGCGATAAAAAATAACAAGGAAAGAACATCACAAGTTAAACGAGTGATCAATGTTAGCTTATAATCGTGCGACTAATTATATTTCTTCAACTCAACTCACCTTTCAACGGCATCTTCTCTGAGAATTGATTATTGATGTTGCTCATTTGACTTCACGTTTTAAACTCGCTGTTTTTGCAAACTAATTGTAGTCTTTTGATTGTCGTAAGTATATTCTATTTTTTTATAACGCGTGATGACGTCTAAGAATGGTTTAGTCTCCTTGAAGCCGGTTTAGATATTTTCTACCACATGACGTTCATAACAATGTTGTATCTACGTACTGAATCTATTGTTTGTCTATATATTACTGAATAATATTTCTGGACGAAGATGATGATAATGATGATGATCAACTTAAATGACGATGATAGCGTTGTCTAAAAGTTAATTATAAAAAAATACAAAAAAAAACATTAAATGCCTGCTTGTAGTTGTCAAAAAGTTTACAACATCTCATTCTTGTTCAGAAGAAACAATAACAAGTGTAATGCTGTTTTATTATTTAAAGAGATAAAAGAAAAATTGACGTCCACAGATTCAATAGACGCATTTAATGTCTTATTCCTTCTCATATTCACTTAGTCGCTCTTTCTCTTGTTTATTACGTCGGTGAGGCACGAAAAAAAATATGTGTATTTGGAACTTATATAATAACGAGACTTCGACGAGGTCATCACTTAAATTATAGTTTTTTTTTTCAATATGTTTATGCATGTCTTCGTCTTCTATTGAAAATCTTGTGTGTTCAATATTAGCTTCTCTCTTCACGTTGATTATTAATACATGGATACATCATTTATTTTCCAGCTACTTTGCAAGACCTCTTATTAAGGCAGGCAATTATATAAAAACAAGTGCTTAATTGCTATTGCCTGCTCAATTGCCGTATGTAGCAATGAAGGAAGGGGAAAAATCATTCAATTCATCATCTTTGCGATCAACTTTATTATTATTAGAGTGAGAATTGAAAAACTGATTCTGAATATGTCTAATTAACATGATACAAGCTAAGTGACACAATGAGAGTGACAGTAATATTATTGTCATTATTGACTGTGAACCAGTTCGTTTGCCTTCATTAATAAAACTTGATATTTATCAATCGACAAAGACATTTTTGCTCAATAATTTATCAACAATCAGAATTAATTCATCTACCTTCTGCTCTTATACAACACAATTCTTGATGCACAATACGCTGTTTACACTTTTGTTTACAATTAAAAGACAATGACTTTGTTCTAAATTAAATAAATTCCTTCAGACTTTATTCTTTACGAGAATATTTTATTATTATCATGTAGTTTTACGCCCTTCACAATTTTTCATAAAAATTTTCAGTTTCGATGAGTTTATTTAAACTCATATAGGGAAATTCTTCATACAACCAACGTCAAAGATTCGTTTAACTTGGAGAGGTTTTTATTTAAGCAGAGAAATAATTTATAAACAAACATTTTTTTTAAAGAAAATATATTGATAATCTCTAATATATTCAGTTAGTTGTCAAAGAAACTAAATTTTAATATGAGTAATGATCCAAGAAGAAAGGTTCTGAAAGAATCAGTGTGTTTGCTAGTATCTGAATCAGGATTCACAACAGCTACTGATGAATGTATTGAAACTCTTGTTGAAATGTTACAATCTCGTAAGTTTTAATTTTATGTTCAATATTTATGCTTCAAGTGACACCTTTTCTTTATCAGTTCTCAGTGAAACAGGGAATCAAACTAAAAACTTTGCTGAATTAGCTGGAAGAACACAACCAGTAGTTGGAGATGTTGTAATGGCCATGATCAACATGGGAATGAGTATAAAAGATTTGGATGTAAGTCGAAGTTACTCATATTTATTGAATGATTGTAATATTTCTATTATTCATTTCAGAAATATGCAACGAGAGAAGGACGACCATCAGCAAGAAATTTAAACCCAAGCAAAGCAAATAATCCACTGCAAATTTTGCAAGCTGGAACACGCCATGCTAATCCAGTGCACATTCCAAATTATTTGCCGCCACTACCCGATCCTCATGCCTATGTTCGAACGGCTACATATAAACAACCAGAAACAGAATATGAAGCAATAAGAGAAAAATCTGCTAATCAAAAACGCGATATTGAGAAGGCACTCACAAAATTTTTAGCAAGAACAAGTAAATTATGATTAAATAATTTATAAACTGTTAATAATATTATTTTCTTTTCTAGGTGCAGATACTCATAACTTGTTTGACGATGAAGAGAATCAAATGTTTCCATGTAACTTTTTAATTACCTCTCAATTAATTTTTATCTTACTTTTTTCTTTGTTATTACAGTAATTGCTTGTAAGCCTTCTTCTGTTCCAGCATATTTAAGTGCTTTGAATCCTTGCGATCAAATATTTGACTGGGAAGAGCTTGAATATTATTATCAAGTCGCAAATCGAAAGCCAACAGATGACTCAGAAAGTGAACCAGAGGAAATGGGAATCCAAGAAGAAATTGAAGTTTCACCAGCAAAGAAGCGTAAGAATAAAAAAGCGGTAAAGAAAGAACCAACTCCAGCTCCTGTTAAGGAAACAGCGCCAGTTGCCCAACCGGAACCAACACCGTTTATTGACAATCCCTTTCTTCGCTCTATTAAGAAAACCTCCTGAATGTTTACTGCTCTTCAAAGTAATAAATTTAAGCTATAAAAAGTTACAAAAAATAAAATCTTTTATAAACATTTCAAATTTTTACTTTTTTACAAAATAACATTTAACGGTCATATGAGATCCAAACAAACCGAAGTCAGCATAAGCGAAAACTGAACGAATTAATTTATGAAATAACGAAAGCTGAACGATTGTTTATTTTCAATTTAGTGGAAGATAAGAAAAAAAGAAAACAGCATCAGTTGATATAGAAACAATAAAAATTTGCTTCAATATTTATTCCATCCTTTTTAATAAGTCATTGGTTTCAACATAGAAATGTGCAGTGAATCAATAGTAAAATTTTAAAAGCTGACAAATTATTTGTGCCATGTTTTAAGCAAATCTGTAAAAACCCAATTTAATCGATTTGAATTGCGTGATAAGAAAACATAACTGAAAGAACAAAGAGCATAAGTTCAAGAAAATAATTCAGGTAATTTCAAACAAAGATATGTAGTTGGCTTTGTTATCCATGTACTATTCAAGGTCATTTTTCTATTCGTTTTCCTTCTAATTTCATTGTTTTCCTTATAGTAGACACAAACAAATTAATTAATTAGATAATTAAAAAAATAACTGCTAAATTTGTTTTCATTTAAATATCTATTTGCATAATTTTTCCGGTCTAATGACCCTTTATGTAATTTAAAGAAGTTCCCATGAAAATGGCATTTGTTGAAGTTTTAGTTTACGTGTTTGTTTTTAACCGGCAGACAAAATTATTAACATTCTCAAGAAGTGATTGGTCAGCTGAAGTTTTGTTGTCAATTCAATAATTTTACAAGTTTGTGGAAAATGATTCACAGTTCTTGATTTCTAAAGTAGAAAAGATTGTTAAGTTCTTAAGTAAATATTCTCAAGAATATTATTTTTTTTATCCCACAGAGTCTAGTCAGATGGTATTCGAAAGCACAAGAGCTCAAAGCTCTTAAAGTTATAAAACTTTCCAAGACCAATTTCATGGCAGAAGTATTTTTAAGGTGAGTCATTGAACTTTCCACTTTATTTAGTTCATACCAATTTTATTATTGATTTATTTTCTCATATATGAGAATTCGAGTTTCTAATATACATAAATTAGTTGTTATTACAAAAGCTTCCGGATAGTTTGCTCATTGTTAACATTAAACTCTATTTTATACATATGGACAAAGAATGTTCCCAAACATGTCCTTTAGAAGGCAACTTGGCTGTCTCATGTCTGTAATTATCATGTCAAAATAAATGAATTATAAAAGCAACGCTTTCATATTGTGCGAATTAAGTTTTTGTTGTTATTTTTAGCCACATGATGACATATGAAAAGGTGTTCATGAATACAAGAATAAAGAAAAAAGGAAAGAAAACATTGAAAGCAAATACCGTCAAAATTCAAATAAACATAAAAAAGACTTAAGGCTTAACATTTAAATTCAACTTCTTTTTCTTCTTTAACCATTAACGCTTCATATCAAACAAACAAATACCGCGGAGATCAGAGTTTATTTGCTTATGTTCTTTACGAGAACAAGCAAAGAATGAGAATTGGTTTGATCTCATTTCTACACTTTCAGAAGGTGTTAGCTTTATAATTTGTTCTTTTCATTAAATTTTCTTTTGAATTGAATCAATAATCAATAAGACTGATGAGTGGGATTTTCAGTCATTCTATTATTTATAACTAGCTATGAATAGATGAATCTCATGATAGTTTAAAAGGTAAAAAATTAACAATTGAGCCCTGATTGTGAACAAATCTTCAGAAAAGACGATTTTTTATTTCATTCTATCGGAAATATAAAATAATTTATGTGTCGAAGAACAAATGAGTCTTATTTGTTTTTCTGATCATTGATTTATTCAATGAAGACCGTCCAATAATCGGCTTTTTATTTTGTCGGCCATCTCATAGTAATTCCCTAATCTTCATGCTCAATTTGTGGCAATTCAAGCTTAAGCATGCGGTAGTTGATAATAAATATATCAGCACGACTCCCACTCAATTGCAAATAACTTGGCATCTCTGAAATTCTTCTCAACAACGACTCATTAAGAGAACAAAATTGTTTATTGCGACAGAAAATTTCATTTTTGACGTTTGGGCTCAACTCATGTTGTTTTTCTTTTCCTCCTTTTTTTATAAAACTTTTATGAATGAAAATATTTAAAAGACGTGAAGGTGAGCTAATGATTAATGTTGATCATTAACACTGTCACAGGAAGCTTCTTTACTCGAGATATTCACAATCGTTTTTGTGTCACTTTTCAAATCGTGACGATCGCGATGTTCCAAAATTATCATCACGTAAAACGAAAGTCGTCGTAAATTTTTTTAATATAAAATTATTCACCTCTAGGTTTTCTCTATGCAATGTCTAAAGCAAAGTTACATGATGATTAACTTACATCTCTATACACAAGATCACATTGCGTGCTGCTATCACAACACCGGCATGTTCATGTGTTTGTGCGAAGATGAGATCATCGATGACTTTTGCTTCTAATGTATAATTTTAAACTACGCTGGAAAATGTTCATGGAGAAAGCAATGTTTTCGAATTTTTCCTAAGAATATAACAAAAATTTCTCGCAAGTTTATTAAAGTTCTTGTTGTAGAAATCTATGCCGTGGAAACTCCACAAACAGAGAAAAAAAAATGCATTGCGTTTGTGTTAGTGATTAGCGATATCGTCATCCTCGTTTCTGCTTTTAATTCTCTTGTGCAATATTTTTATTTTCTTTATTATTTTCATTTAGCCGTTTCTCGTGTTGTTTGTATGTAGACAAAAACGGTTTCTGCCATCTCCACAGTTGTATTTTCTTCTTGAGTCTCGTACTCAAACACTATTTTATTTTAGTTTCGCTCTGTGTTTCTTTGCGATCGGTCGTGTCTTGATTATCAACCGTTAAAGTTTATTTCACTTAATTTTTTGATATTTTTTTTGTATATTTAACATTTTTCTTTCGTGCTGTTCATAATCTGAGTGTTATAAAAATAGAACTATTTACAAATTGATTTTCTGCTCGATTCTTGAAGCGCCGTAAAGAGCGTAATGCGATAAGAGATTAAAATATAAAATGAACATAAGACATTGAAGTAGAATCATTGTAAAAGCTTTCTGTCTCTGCATAATAACAGAAGACTACAAAACAAATGCAAACAGATTGTTGCTGTTCTAATTCAAAACTTATAAAATAAAAGAAAGCGTCAAGTGAATAAACTTTATAAAATTTAATTGAAATTTTCACGAAAATTAAATTTTCAATCATCTGAAGAGAAATTTTTCATTGATAGTTCAAGTGGAACAGAAAACATAATTTTACTTTTCACATCATCATCAACAACACCAAGAAAAGAAAAAAGCGTTAACACGACACGAAGAAGCTAACAAGACACAGTTGTGAATTTTTCTTCGATGAGCAAACGATTTAAAAATTAGTAAAGCAAAAAAATAAATAAATCGCTTAGGAAGCAGCGAAATATCAAGAAGAGAGGAAGAGATGTGCTGTTTATAAATAACATTTAGTGAAAGATTTAAAATTTCTTTCTCGTTTCATCATTTCTGTCAGTACTTAATTCGATCACATCTTTATCACAAAAGCTGCGATTAACTTTCAATCGATGTTTCCGATACTGATGAGACTTTAAGACGCTCATACTGATTCACTGTCAAGAACACAAAACATAATAAAATAAAACAATATAAACTGAAAAGAAACTTTAAAAGCTCTATTAAAAAGACATAAAAATTCAAGTTTTCCGCACAAATTAGTTACTGTTCGATGGTGTTAAAATAAAATTATGCTGATACAATTTTATTAGCGGATCGCTGATCTAATAATTGATTTAAAAACACCGTTTTGTGTCGAGTCGACTGCCAAGGGAGAAAAATTAAAAAAACATTTCTTGAAGTCATAAAATCTTCGTCTTCTAAAGACAGACTATAAAGTCATAAGAGTGGTTCGCACTGTTGGTTGTTCTGTTAAAGTTCAAAAGTAAAGTGAAAACCATAAACCATAAATCACAAAGCTGACCACACTGAAGTTTCATCGTGTCTGGGTGGAATCTTTTCGTTGTATCGATTTATTCACATGACATCATTATCAACGTCAGCTTGGAATTAATTTATTTCATACATAGAACTGAAACTTTATTTCAAAACAAATATAACAGCTGATCAGTGATTAAAACTAAAGGAAAATTTATGAGAGATTTAAAATTTCTGATTGCGTCATTATGGTGAACTTTCAATAAACTTTTGAAAACAAAACAAACAAAAAACATCGCTGACATTTTGCTGTGACCGAATTGTTGATAATCTTTCATCAATATGGAGAATGGATGCTTGAAAAGACCAACTCTGCTTCAGTTTGAACACATCAAACATCATCCACAATGTCATGAAGCTTATAACTTTATCAGGTAATTAAAAGATATTTTTTTGCAAAATGAAAATAAAATTCAAGACCAGCAGATATCAGATTAAAGTGAAACAAGTTTATCGAACTGCTCATGACGATCAGTGTCTACTAACAATCAGCATTTTAAGTAGCAATTTAGCAGAGAAAAAATGTGAAACAAGAATTCCTGAGACTTGTTCGAGGATATTTCAATTTAAATATCGCTCGAATTTGCGCAAATTTTATTTATTGTTCCATCTTATCAGTTTTTTTTTTGTCTTGTTCAGTGAGTGAACTCAGCACCTGCTGCAAACAAGATAAAAAATGATCACACAACAAATATCTACTTTTCGCTTGTAAAGAATAAATATCATGAAAAAAAAAGAAGAAGCTTTAAAGAAACTCCGCGAGCCATTAATCATTGTGCTAAACGAAAATTATTCGAAAAACATTAATTGACTGTTAACATGAAATGTCCATTTTGAATTGTCCACACAAAAGTGACGCAAGATTAAATTGAAATCTCTTTCCATCATTTTACCATACACCATGACATGACAAGTCGTTCAAGGTTAAGCTTCGCTCTTGAACTTGGGTTTTCAACTCGATTCTTGTCTGTCTTCGATTCACATCGGATTACTTTGTGTGCAAGCTTACAGGAAGTTTCAATTAAATTCCATGCGATTGATTCCGGCATCGGAAAGACTTTGATGCATTGAACAGCATTGAAACTTCGACGAATGTCAGCTGTAAATTCGTTTGTCACCCAATTGAAAAGTAAGTAAATAAGCTCTCTGACTAAAATGAGTATAAGGAAGAGAAAAAAGATATTACGCGTGAATCGTTTTATTTTACTATGCCGAGAATGATCTCGACAATTTGCATATAAATCGACACAATATTTACTCGTCATTCCAATGATTCTTGTCTTTTGATCAGAGATGGAATTTGAATGAATTCTTATCAATTTGTTTGTCACATTAATTGTAAGTTTTCATATTAAAACAATTTTCAAGCCAAGATTATGAAGATGGGAAAAGAAGACGCGAAATTATGAAGACAACGAATTAAGAAATGAAACTAAAGAATGAGTTAACCATTGATCGTATTACGTCATTTTTTAAAATAATATCTTTAGATAGATCGACTGTTGGACTTCGCCACATGTTTCGATTCTCAAACAAACATTGTTTGAGCACATGTTCTGTTTGAGAATGCTTACTTTGAATAAATATGATGACGAACTTTTATTCAATGATCAATATAACACGCAGATACGAGTATTTATGGAGTTGTTATGAATCTTTATAGAAATCTTTTTAGTCACTTAATCCAACATTTCAAAAATGCCGACGATCGAAGAAAAAAAAAACTTTAAAACTCCATTCAGAGAAGAAAAGCAAGAAAAATAAAATAAGACTGGCCAAGTTAAAACGACATGACAAAATAAAAATCCTACTAATCTTGAGCTTTCGTAAATTCTTATTAATAGATTGTCGCAATTGGTTCATTATTTGTTGCCACATTTCCTCGTGTCAAAGCATATTTTACCTTTCCAAAGATAAAGTGTCAAAAGAATTATGAATATCAGCTTGTCATATGTCATTTATAATAACTTAGCGGCATGTGAACGTTTAAGTAGTTGCCTTGTCTTCTTTTTAATTCGTCGAATGTAACTTGAAACTAGAAATATTCTAACATGAACTAAAAAACGCCATTTATGAGCATAAATAACTGATTTGATCATGTTGGGTGGATCTACATAGCTTGGTTAGCTTATTTAATGAATGATCTAATTATTATGAAGTCATTTTAGAGACGAAAATAATTTTTTTACGAGAAAGCCAAGATCATTGTGCGAGGCTTGAAATGAAACAAAAACTTAATTAAGGTCGTTAAGCTTTTTAATGCGATGACACTTGATACGCCCATTTATCATTGACGACGATCGAACGAACCTCTGACTCCCTAATTATTTGCATTTTATTCCAAGAATGAAATTCTAGACATATTTATTGGTTGTAAATGTTAATCTCAACTTTAATTCATCGATCGATCGGTCGACCGAACAACGATCATGAATGAGGTAACATCCTGAATTAAACACTAACAAACTTATGTGAATTTTTAAATATTTCTACGTCCAAGCCAGATTGCTTCTTGAATAAAGTTCTTATGTGTGATTTATGTTGACCATTTTACATTTTGATTATCAGCTCATTATTGGCGATGAACCTTACAGATTATAATTATTTAAAAACATATGAGGCTAGCTGAAAGAACTTGTTTTACTTCTTGTTACTTATCTTTCGATGTCGCTGCCGTTGTCGTCTGTTGCGCATAAATTCTTTGATTAGTGGCAATGGCCATTGAAGAAACGAAAACACAAAGAATATGTAAAAAGAAGAGTTCATTCCCACGAAGTCTGTCGAGTATCGTAGCTGATGTAATTTCCAGCGAGAAAATAAAAAGAAACTTTGCAAAGTCGAACGTTAATTTGATGTTAAATATTAAATAAGTAAGAGAAGAAAAAAGCATTATAAAATCTTTCGCTTCAACTCATTGTTGAACTAATAGAGAATCATGTTAAGTCTTCCATTGTTCTGATTTCTATCTCTTGTTCATTATAAAACGATCACAAAGCTTACGATGATGATGACGATGCTGTTTACTTAAAGCAACGTTCTGCCTTGTCTACGTCTCTGGAAACCTTAAAACTTGTTGAAAATGTTTAGAGAAGAAAAAAAAATTGTAATGAATGAGGCAATTGATGAAGATTTTCTGGAAGATCATCGTTGTGGGTTACTTACTGATCATCTTGTTGTGTCTTTGTTCAATCACCCTTTAAAAATCCCCTAAAGAATATGAAAGATACTGCGATCATACAAAGCTTAGACAAATAAATAATGATGAAAAAAAACAAAACTTTTCCGTCTTATTCTTCTTCTCACTTCCTTTCTTAAATATCTACTCCAAACACGTAAACACCGATGAGTTTTTTTTCTGTGTGAGATGTTTTAGATCTTAATTTACAATATAGCAGAAAATCGTTTACTTCTTTCCTTTCTGAAAAGTTCAAGCACGTGTCCATCGAGATTTGAATAGTAGAAGAGAAAAGAAAAACAACAATATGGAGGTGTATGATGCGATCACCGATGAACAATCGACGGCGGCAGCTTGAAAGCGAAACATAACGGAAACAAATGGATCGAGTTGAACGAGATTCTTTCATCACAAAATCAATGAACTTCTCATTTAGACACATATTTAATCTTCTTGTTTCGTTTCATCGATGAAGTCATTCGATTTATTTATTTATATTTTGTAAAACCTTTTCAGCAATTAGCACAATTTAAATTGAGGAAATTGTTGACCAGAAACACAACACAACACAAATCGAACAATCAACAGCTTAAGAAGCGTATGATTTCATTTCGTTTTATAAATTTGATTCGGTTTTAAATAAATGATGTCATGCGATCTGTTTAAGCATTGAATCGACGATGAATGATTGATGGTTTCATACTTCTTTTCATTTATCTAAATAGAAACGTTTGAGAAGAAGTCATTGAGTAAATGCGTGGGAATATGATGAATAGGCATCATAATTAGGCAATTCACCCTATCGCATCATTTAAGTGATGAATTTTATCTTGAAAATCGGTGAAACATTCAATGAATCAACATGATCATGTCTGAGGGATGGAATCATCAAGTAAACATTAAACAATTGGCTTGTGCGAAAAAAATTAATTACTTGATTATGTGCTCTTGGATGATTGTTAGCAGAGAAGTCGTTTCACCAACTGTTGAAAAGAATTAAACTCGTTGCAACAATTTTGAGTACTCCACTGAACATTAAACTGAATAAATATTTTCATCGAGAATGTTTATTCCATTTTTACGCTTTTAATATGCGATAAGTTTATCTAATGTGAGTTTGGAGATGAAATCTATGATTCCTTTTATAATTTTTTAAGCAACTTAATTCATGGAAAAATATTCTCTGTCATTGAAAATGATGTCACAGTTTCGTGATGATATCATCGACAATGTAACATTTTAGTTGATCAGCAGCCATTTCATTGATTTATAATTCAGAAGAAAATTTATGAAGAATGAGAAATGATTTAAAGTACTTTGTATGATGACAATGAATAAATTTAATAAGTTGAATCATGTCCTTGCTTTTGAGTTTAACGAAAGTACTTCCTTGCGGAATGCGATGACAAGTTGAAGCCATAAACAAAGGTTTTGAAAGTTCCTGAAGGAATTAAAAACTCGTTCACAGTATCGTGCTTGTAATTAACCAAGTCGGTTGTGTGTACGGAAGAGAAATAAATAATTCATGTATGTAAGTTGTTCTCATTGTAAATAAGCAACAAGATATTTGAGAAGCGGCATTGTGTAAGGTCAAAGCATTCAGAAGAAATTCTGTCAAAGTCCTCGAGCTTATACCATAAACCGAATAAAGACATGAATGGTGTGGGAAAGGAAAAGTAATTCGCGTGGTTGACCTTATTTAAAATTTAAGCAAGCCAAAATAAGTTGTTCATCGCGAAATATTTGTTGCCTTATTGAGACCTTAAGCAAATAAAGTTATCTAAGTAAATTAAGGTATCATAAATTTTGCTTTTGAATGTTTCTCGCCTCGAGTATGCATACCGAGAGATAATAAAAAATGATCAAAATCGGTAGTAAAATGAATGCTGAGTGTAGTAAACATGTTAGTTCTGTAAATCTGTGCGTAATTCATCGTGTCGTAAAAATGTTTCGTTGCAAATTTTACACTACATGACAAAATCGTAAACAAAGACATTTGCAATAATATTAAATATATTTAGTCGTCGATACATTTCTGTGGGCAGAAAATTTTGTTGACAAATTGTTGGAATTGAGTGTAAACGATTCAGAGAAACAAATGTAAAGATGACGTCAAACTTTCGTTTTTACTTTTTGTAATGTGAAAGTTCTTTTTATCAGCACACGTTTAAATGTCACGAAATTGAATTAATTTTATTTATATAAATTTGGTAAGTGCCTGGTGGTGAACTGTCAACATTAATCGATTTACATTTCTTTGCAAAAGACTTTCAAAAATATTCTGCAATAATGTATTGGAGATTGTACAAATTCACACTTAAGAAATCTTCTTCAATGTTGTTGACAGATGCAAATCTATTAAAAAGGCATTTAAATTCACGTTAATGACATCACTTGGATTGAAAAATCTCTTCCAATGCAAATTAAATTGAAATAAGCGAATGCCACATTCGTTTACTTTTCGCCATATGGAAGCAAACAACAAAAGAAATGCTTATTTATGTGAGCTGACGATGATTTAATAATAAACCGATAAAATTTTCTTCTTCACTTTGAATTTATTTATTAGCGAAAAAAAAAGTTCTAAATCTTCTTCTTCGTCTTTAATTCATTTTTGTGAGTCGTCTTTTGTACTTCTTTCCACTCTCATAAACAGAAATTTTGATTGTCGACATCAGCCGAGGTTAAAGTTTTTTTTTGTTCGAAATTCATTAACGAAATAAATATAAATATGATGTCATTTGCCCCACCGCGCTCTTTCTCCGTGTGCGCGATTTTTTTTGTATCGTTTGTTTGTTTTCATTCAGCAACGTTGTAGGCACAAATTTCGATTCGCCTTTTCAAATGATAAATATTATGATTTAGATTTGTCATGCTCCGAAAGAAATGAGAAATGAGAAATTTGTAATGGGATTAATTTAAGAATTCTTTTTATTTGATAAAATCGACTAATGATACTTAAATAACTGCTTATTGACTGTTCTTCTTATCTTTTGCACCTACACACACATTTGAGAAATTAAATATCACATGAGATAACTTCATAATATTTGTCTACGTTTGTTTTACGATAAAACAGAACACGTCACTTTTGTGTGTGAAATTGAGAAGAAAAAAAGGCTTGATAAAGTTGCTTTAGATAAAAAGAAGAATAAAAAGTTGTCTACTTAAAGCTTCACTCACATGTAAAGGTCAGACAATTGTCAGCGAACGTACTTGAGCTACATGCTTTGTGTACAAAAATTTAAATTTCTTAAAGCATTGTCAGCGAAAGAGTTAGTAGTGAAACGTGAAAGCAGCTTTGATGCTTCGAAATTTATATGAACACATAAAGAAATCGCCGAGAACAACGAATGATGCGACATTTGACGACGATGAATAGGAATTATTTTCTCATCTATTATTTCGTTATTATTGCTACTAAATATGTGTAAACAAAGAGACGATGACGTGATTGCAATGAGGTTTATAAATAAATCTAAGAGATCAAATTAAGTAGATAAAAATCAAAAAACCTAATAAGATGCAAACTGTTCGTGTTAATAATCAATAATCTTGTCAATTGAATCAACTTACGTCAATTTTCAAAGTAGAATGATGTCACTTTTTCAATTGAATAAGTTCTCACTATAAATATCCAGCAAACACTTATAAGTCACGCTCCAAAACCAATTTAAAATTGATGTGAGATCATTTTATTTCTCCAATTTCTATTCTAATAATGTAGACACAAATAGGTTCCATTATTGCCCTTTTTGTAAACTGAAAGTACAAAAGCAAACACAATGGACGAAAACACGAGTCATGATGACATGATTGCATGCATGAACGCAAAAATATGCAAAATTGGAATTCTATTCATGTAACATCATCAACGTTACAATCGGATATTATAATGTCACAGATCCGAAAATAAAACAATCGCGTAAATGGACATAACGAGCTGATTTTCCTAAACGGTATTTTACGCGTATTTTTGTCTCCATCCCACATACATTCTTCCAGCGTAAAACTTCTTCTTTCATACTTGGAACTGATTTGCAAAAAAATTGCGATAAAGAAAAACATTGCCGCGCAAAACTATTTTCAGAGATGGAAATAAGTTATTTCGGACTCATACTCAAGGTGGATGACTTGTGAATTGGGAACTTTTTAAAATAAATGTCGAACCACCCTCGCATTGAAACATTTTTTTCTTCCAATTTTGCATTTTTAAGTGTAAAAGAAAAAGTCAGAAAAGAGCGCGAAATTGTGAAGTGTAAGATGAGATGTGAATGCATCTGTTGGTGTTGTAAAATGTCATCCGAAATTGTCGATGTTGAAAGAGTTGAGAGAGTTGACACAGTTAAAATTTTCTTATCATTATGCGTGGTGTCAGACAATCCCATTTATTATATTCCTTGTATGACTAATAACAAATGCCAATGTTGATGTTTGCGAAAATTTAAAAACTTTTATTGCTCGGATTAAGAAACTTAAAGAGTTTACCCTGAAGCGACATGACCTTTGGTAAATTGATTATAAATCGTGCAGACATGACTTGTCTGTTGTTTCCTATTAGATCATCGAAAACTTTGATAGTTTATATGATGATCATAAGTTATTATAATAACTGTTATTTTACAACTCACAATGCTTGCTCGAATCAAGCGTTAAATCGACATTAATCATGCCGCCTCAATATTTCTGTTAAACAATTTTGTGTAGCGTTCGTTTGAGTGGCCAATTATTGGTTGTTTTATCCGTGATCTTATCCAATCAGACTGAGTTCATATGTACTAAAAAAATGAAAGAAACAACTCATTGATGCAATGCGATGAAAACTTTTTTCACTCAACTCAAATTAATCATGAAATATTAAGAATTAACAAATGTTTAAGTGATGTTGTCACAAAATATTGAGCTCGTGTGTGGGCTTTATGTAAGTGCTTTTGTAACACAATTTTGGGATGAAGTGAAATGACAGACGTAAAGAATTGAAAGACTCCATTGCGTGATGATTCTCCTTAATTCAATTGTTGAAGCGAAACGATGATCACACTCTTAATTTATTATAATTACATGTGACGATCCTTGTCAGCAACGTCAGTTCTTATTGTTCCTGTTATGAACATTGAGTAGCTTAAAGACAGTTGCGACTGTTTCTGTCTTACTGAAACATCTTATCGCGATGTCGTGGTTGCTGTTGTTTGATGATGTCATGTAATCGTTAGGATTGCGTGCTCGCTGCTCAACTTGAACTCGTTTTTTGGGTGGTTCTCCAATTCTCGATTAATTATAAAACAAATCTCTAACGATGCTGATTTAGAATACATTCCGATTTGGTCATTAAAATAAGTTTTTAAAAGCAACTCTTTGATATCCACCCACATTTCGATTTTACATTTTGCTTCTGATTTTTTATGCTGCTGTGAAAAAAAATTTAACTTGTCATGGTAAACAACATTAAGTATGACATCTGGAAAATTAAATTTATAGTATGAACACCTACAGAATGCAGTCAATGTTCTAGAATTGTCGTGCATGTAACGAGCAACTTTGACATGTTAATTTGTTGGACAATCAATTCACGCATGAAATTAAATTTTCTTCTTTTTACGCCAACATTGACCACTTGAAATGTTAACAAATTGTGGAAATTTATTGCCACAGAGAATTGGTTTTTCTTCTTTCTTTCCTTTTTCATCAACAGATTAATGAAGCATGCGAAAATGTATGAAATAAATTAAAAGTCAACAAATTCCACATCTGCCTACGATACTCTCATACGTCCGTGAATCGTTCTCAAATGAATTTCGATGTGTGAATATCACGGCATGATATCCTATGAAATTAAATTTTCTTGATTCTCTCTTTCGAATTTAATCTCGTAAGCTTTTGCTACAAAGCCGCTAGTCTAATTAATTGACAAATTAATCTCCATCTCTTGTCAGTTATTAAAGATTTAAAAAATTTTAAAATTCCTTCCTCCTCTGATGTTCACAGTTTGAGTTTCTTTTGTTACAACGAACAACTAAGAATGGGTTTTTTTTATTTCTTCTAACTTCACACTCTGCGAGATTTCAATATTGATCGACTGTCGTTGTTGTTGTCACTCTGTGTGTTATTAATAAAAGATTTATTGACAGACTTTTTAACTGAAGTCAATTAAGCAGATCACTCGGTGACAACATGAACATAGTTTTGTTTTCTTTCTCTTGTAATTCGATCAATCACCTAATTAACTTCCTTTAAAAGCTGCTTACATCAACCAACCAACCAACAAGCTAACCAGCTTCAGATGATGTCATTGTTGAAACATTTTTATTTTACTTTTCGATTCAAGCACAACAGGCAGTCGCATTCGTAACTTATTTAATCGAAATCTCATTGAAATGCAAAGCAAAAAAAAAAGTTATCGCTGCTGGTTGTAAATTGGTGCTTATGTTGATAATCTTAATCACTTTAAAAAATAATTATTTATATAAACAAACATTAATCATTTATCTCATTCAAAGATTGAATTCTTTTAAAACTTAATTACTTAAATTATGAGTCGCAATTCGAAGTCGAATCAAAAAGCTTCATTTAAAATAGAAACAGAAATCACGTATTGAACGTCAAGCCAAGAAATTTTAATCCTTTTCATTCTCACACAAAATTGCAACGCGATTCTTTTAAATTGCAGATGTTATCATCTGAATAAACACATTTGTTAATTATCGATAATATTTCTGATGTGAATTGCCAGTATCATATTTTTCCTTCTCAATATAAACACAAAAGCGTTTTAGCTTGTTTATGCCTGTTGCAAGGCTTGTTGTTGCTAACTTACTAAACACTTGAAATCGTTAAAGCAAGCAGGAAATATTTATTAATACTTAAAGATATCTCCGAAAGTGAAAGAAAGTAAACACAGACAACTTTATTGCCTTCAAATTATTTTGAATATCAAAACGTGCGACGTCGGTAAAATGCAATTCGTGATGCTAAGTATAATGTCAATGGCTTGCTGCGATGTGACGACTGAAGTGAAGCTTCTCTTTCGTCTTGTAGAGTGTCGTGAAGAGAGCATCAACGCCGTTTTATTCCGATACATTTCCTGTTTGATTTCTTTTGCAAATAAATAAATAAACTTGAAGTATCGCAGCATGACATGATAAAATATCTGGTAAAAGGGATCGCGGTTCACCAGAAAGAAGAACCTTTAAGTCGAACATCACCCACAGCAAAAGTAATAAATCAACACAACCACAATTCGCTCTCTCACATAGCTCTGCATTTACTCACGAAAACTTTTTCTTCTTTCATTTTTAATTCGTTGCCTTCTCTTGTCTGTTTTCGCGCGATTTATTCTTAGTCGGATGAGATCATCATCAGACACTCTCACGAGCTTAGACTTCTACTACAAGAAGAATAAAAGAAATTACGGGAACGAACAAAAAAACGATTTTCGTTCCTCACGATTCGGATGCGTAGCAAAATTTTGTTTACATTTGTCAAAAAAAAAGTTTAGCGATTGAGAAATAATTTTTTATGCGATTTAAATTAGATTTGTGGAGAATACTTCAAAATTTATTTCATATATCGAGTAGTAAAATGTTTCGGAAGAATACGTGAAGGCTTTGCTTGCGAATTTCTAACTTGTTTATTTACATGAAGGTTGAACTAGTTTACGAGATTCCGTTTTCCAAAGAAATCGACGCTGAATACGCCGAACTTAACGATTATTTCAACGCCTACATTCGAGATATCTCTTAAATTATGCTACAATATTTCTTTCCGTGCGAATATTTTTAATTTCGGATTTGCGGAAATTCATTCATTTCTCCATGAAGATTCTTCCTTGTCATACTTCTGCGGATAATCTTTTAAGTTGTTTCTTCTCAAATGAATATCCCACCTTCGTTCAAAGTGGTGGTCTGACGGTTTCAAACAATTCGCACGCGATCGATTGAAGATTTTTTTTTCCTTTTTCATTCTTTTTTAAGATGAAATCATTGCTTTTATTACCATTTTGAACACCGACAGCTTAAGCAGTTTACAATAGGAGCATGACGAATTGTTACTTCGCCATGCATCATACTCAACATTTAAATCAGGTTCTTTGTGATTTATTGTGCAATAATAAGAAATGTAAAGCAAAGCAGAATTATATTTACGATATTTATTTATGATCGCAACTAACTCACTAACTAAATAACTTAGGACTCGTGAAATTGAATAAAAATGAATTTCTTGGTAAATTATCATACTGAGTCAGCTTTTTTTGCTTTCAAACATTTTGCAGTCGGTCAAGCTTAGGTCATGAGATTAATTACATCGCGTTGGTCACAATTTTGCTATTATTGCTATTTTTACTGAATAAATATCCGTCAGAAAGAGTTGTTGACCGCTGTCGATGTTCTGTTTGGTGATCTAATAAGCGAAGTTATTGTGTAGATGAAGTGAAGTGAAGCGAAGAGTGGCGCTGGTGCTTGTGCTGGAAAAACATCCTTCTCTACATTTTGCTGATGATGTCAGTTCTATTCGCAATTCATCTCCCCTAGAAGGTTATTTGAAGCGTTTAAAATTCCCAATTAACAGCACATTAAACTTTGAAGGTTGAAAAGTGATTGAGATTATGAAGAAACTTGTGAAGAAAGTTGATTAATTTAACATCACCCAAAACGAACTTGAATTGTTGTTGTTACTTTTATTATTCACTTTGTCTTGTTATTTTTTTGCGCAACGCCTTCATTTATTTTGACTGCTGACTTCATACAATTGAAACACATGAGCTTCGCAATTGAAAGTTTTCATACATATGTCTGTTAATTGTTGACTTTTTGAGGGTCGCAAAACACCAGAAAATCATTGAGAAAATGAAGTAAAAAATTTTCGCACATGAGCCGAATCAGCTTGCGGTTTTGCATTTCAATGAAGCGAATTAAATTAATTAATGAGAAGAAGGGTAAAGTTCGCATTTATGGGCATGCAATTGCAATTGTTATTTATTCTGAGCACAGTTATTTAATTGATTTAAATTGGAAATCCACTCGAGAGTTTAATCCAAAGTTGTATACAATTAATCATTATTAGATTACGACATAAATTTATTTTTATGTCTTCCATGCAATCTGATTTGTCGCGTTAAAGTCAAGCAATTATCATTTAAATTAATTGCTTTCAATTAAAATATTTATTTTTGTTTGAAATTCTAGGGAAGCGTCAGGAGTTTGGAATACTTCGTCCAAGTTGGGACTTGTGGCAGATGGACTCGTGCAAGATCTCTTCCATCAAATCAATCTTAATCCGACAAAAGAGCAAAGTAAGTTTGAGATTAGATTAAAAAATATTAAGTTTGTTAATTAATTATTTAAAACCGAGTGACGAAGCGTTATGAAGTCATCGCAGAAGATTCTGACATTTTGTTTGAATATTTTAAATGTTTTTTTACGCTTATCAACTCAAGGCTGGTCAGTAACTCATGTTTAAGTATTTTAAATGGATCGCAATTGTGAATTATCGCGTGATTTCTTATGAGAATTTAATTTCTGTGGTTTTGATTTGAAGCTGACGAGATTGAGTGAAATTATCGCGCCTTTCTAATTATAAAATAATCTTTCATATTTAATTAAGCATTCAAGAGACTTTCGATCACAAAATAAAAACAGTCGATGATGTTTTTGAAATTTCTTCTTTTAATTATTCCACGTGAAATTCCTTTTTTATTGCTTTTGAGATTTTTCCTTCAAAACGTAATTTAATTTAATATCTAATAAATTTTATTTATTTATTTCTTCTTAATTCAGTTAATGACATGCTTCGTAATGCCAAATTATATTCATCAAACATCCGTTTTTGCAATGGACTTTCGTTCGGAGAATTCTCAATTTTAGCTGCAGATTTCCGCAGATTCAGGTGAGAAGTTTTAGATATGAAAATGTCATCAAAAATTAATTATTCAATAGTTCCAGAACTAATCCAAATGGACAACCATCATTCCAAATTACCTCGCTTTCACCGAAAAGCTCGCTTCGAATAAAGAAACAACTTATGCTTGATCAATTGGCTTCTCAAACACAATCCGACAGTGCCGGAACAAGTTCAAATGAAGAGTCAGTTGTTGAAGCTCCCGAAGTATTTCTCGGTGGTTCATGCAATCCTACGACATGGCGTGCTGACGTCGCTATGCCTGAATTAAAGAAATTAGGAATTTCCTTTTATAATCCTGTAAGTAATTTATTATTTCCGCTTTCTATTCATGCTTTTGAATGAAACATTTTACCTTTCAACTAATAGCAAGTCTCACAATGGACGCCAGATCTCATAGCTCTCGAGCACCGAGCAAAGGAGAAGGCTCGCGTATTATTCTTCGTCATGGATTCAGAAACGCGTGCATCTGCCGGTGCCATTGAAGCGGCTCACATTGCGGGACAAAATCAAAAGCCTCTCATTCTCGTTCTCCATCCATATAAAAGAAATCAAAAGATTCTCAATGAGTCCATTTCGGAAGAGTGAGAAATGATTTGATTAATAAAAAGTTTCATTATTTTATGTTTTGATAATCTTACAGAGAATATCTTGATTTGTCACGAAATCAAAAGTTGTTGAAGCAGCTGGTGACACGTCGTGGACTTCCGGTACTTGACAGTATACTCACTGGCCTTCAGAAGATCAAAGGAATTATTGCTGGAGAGGGTCCTTGTGCCTTACCACAATCTGTTGGTTCACGATTAATGTAAGTAGAATTTCATTTACTTCAACAGCAATTTTAATTATCTGACAATGTCATCACAGCTCTGTTCGACGTTCATATGATCGTGCAATTAATAATGACGCTGGTCTAACATTAGCACAATGTCGTCAAGTGCTTTCAACTCTCGGATATCGAAAGGACCTCATAACAAGTGACAACTTAAGACGAATCTTAAGCTTAGTACGCGATGTCTTAAACAATCGACATGAGTCATCACCAGCGACAAGCTCGTCATCAACAGAATCAACTGAATCAGTTGACGTGAATGTTGTTGACATGCCGTGTATAAACTTTGAAGAGTTTTGTGTAATTTCATCGTATTTGTCAGTTCTACAGCAAGAAATTGAAGACAATTGTTGTGTGTCACCGATCAAAGGAACGAATCTTCCACCACCACCAATATTCCTTACAAATGCACCAGGCATGTTGATAACCGAGATTTATTTTTCAAACTTTTTTTATTTAAATGTTTCTCACTTTATCTAGAAATGATCTTAAATCAATATCAAAAGCAATGTTCACAATCATCTGATGAGAACACAGTCATCAATATTTGTCATCAACAACGTCATATTTTAAATAGAAGCTTTACAATTGATGGAACACCAGCGACATCAGCAACAAATGAAGAACGACATTCGGTGGTGATAATGTCGAATGGTCCTCGAAGCGATAGCAGTCGAGATTCGGGTACGTCATCGCCACAACCGAATGAAATAATCGGAAAATTATTGAATGGTAATAGTAGCAGTTCGTTGCACACTAAAATGTCCATTCATGTCCACCACACAGATATTGGAAGTGGAACAACAAAGACAACAACTGATGATGATGACGATGTTGATAGCGATTCAAATGATTCAGTGTTTAGCACGAGTAGTTCACTTGATGAAGATTCAATGCCATCGGCATTCGATGAACGCAAACAATATGATGCAAGAGACATTTATCTTGGTGGCAGTTGCATGTTGCGAACAAAATGGCGACGTGATATTGCGTTGCCATATCTCAAAGAGAAACAAATCACTTACTCCCTGCCAACACTTCATGAGAATCTGACGCTAAAACAGATGAAAAAGCTTAAGAATGGAACCGAGGAAAGTCAACAATTGCTGATACAAGAAGTTGAAGATAGTGATGGAAACGGGTCACTGATGTACAATCCAAGGATCTTGGATTCAAGTCGAGTCCTTTTGTTTGTAATAACAAATGAGACTCGGTCACTTGCACCAATGACTCTTGCCGCTCATTACATTGGATTGGGTTACAATGTTGTGTTATGCGTTCAGATGTTGCCAGATAACTGCAAGATTGGCCATGACCTTGTAAGAATTCATTGATAAGTCTAAACGATTTTATAACAGTTTTAAATTTGTTTGTTATAAGACCGTTAAAACACAATAAAAATGTATAATTTATTTTTTTATATTCACAGCTAACACCATCAGCAATCAAAGACTATAATCGTGGTCGATCTTATTTATCAGATCTAGCGAAACGACAAAACATCCCCGTATTCAGTGAGATTAAACCAGCAATTGACTGTGCAATTGAAAAAGTTAAATTTTCAAAGCCTCGATGTTCTGTTTAAAACTTTAAAGCTTGAAAATTAATGTCTCAATAGATGAAGAGTGGGTGGGGAAAGAAAAATTAAATTAATTCACTAAAATTCTCTGTTTATTTCGCCTTTCGGAAATATAATTTATCTCTCTTTTTCGGTTTTGTTATTTTAATTAATGCAAATTGACAAATAAAATAACTTATTTTAATGAAAAAAAATCATTGCACCTACAACAAAACAAACACACAAATAAACATTAAAAACATCTATGTAACTTTTCTTCACTTACTTAAATATTTATTATGAATTTATGATACGTGTAAATGTTTTAGCTGTAAATTATTATTGTCATGTCGTCTTTAGTTGAATAAGTTAAATCAAGTTAAACTAAAGAAAGAAATACACTTCATTTAGATTTTATTATGCATAATTAATTTTTCTGTATAGTTGAATTTATGAAAAGATAAAAAAAATTAACTTTTAAAACATGAAAATTGTGTTTAATGTGTAAATGATCATCTGTTTAACATTTGATTCACCTTTGAGTATGCCTGCAATTTATAGCTTTCGTCTTGAAATCTTTAAATAAGTTGTTAAATGGTTTTCCAGCCCAGAAATTGCATTTTATTTCAATTGAGTTGTAGGTTCAACAAATCGTCTGATTATTTGTTTTGAAGAAAAGAAATTCAATCTGAATTGATTCTCGTAATAATCATCAAAGGCAGTGTCAATGTCAATTATAAAAAATCCCACAAATTTTTAAAAACGAAGAAAATCTAAATAAAAGTAATGAGTAAGTTTCACTGAGGTTTTTGACTTAAACAGCGTTGGTGTAAAAAGAAAGAGAAATATTTATTCAAAATAAATTTATGTAGATGATTTCAAGGTCTGGGTAGAAAAATTCTTAGTCAAAGTTATTCACCGATTTGAGATTCTCAAGATTTCCTTCTAATGGGGGTGGAAAGTTTATATGATGAATATAAAGAAATTACCTATGTTTGCTATTTCTTTTACTTTTATTTTGATAAGAAGTAAAAAACATTTTTATTTACAATTAAATTTAAGAGGGAAATAAATTATTTCTGGTAATTTATTGCTCGTCTTCGCAAAGCTCCGCCTCTTCGTAATACTCTTCATTGTTGTCAATTTTAATGTCTTCATATTCAATCGCTGCATTATCTTCATCAGCCATTTCCAACTCAAAGACTGTGTCACCTTCGACTTGTCCTACAATCACCTGATGTGCGTTGGTCGGCTTTTGTCGTTCAAGAATAAATTGACTGACATCGAGTGAAGGTGGCTGGAATTTCTTTATTTTTTCCATGACATCATCAAATTCTTGCTCAGTCATGTGAGATTTATGATGACTGATGACATGAGCTATGTAAAATTTTAAACGATAATATTTATGAGTAAGTTTTTATTTAACATTCGAACACTTCATAAATTACCTTTATAAGTTTCTTTTCTTACGAAATCACTCGTACAAAAATCACATTTCATGAGACGAAGTTTAAGCTGTTTCAAGTGAATGAAAATAAAATGTTTAGCTTCGAGAATAGAAAAAAATAATGTTTTATTAACTCACATGAACATTCTGGATGTGACGCTTCAAATGTGATGTTTTGTAGTATTTACTGTGACATAGCGAACATGTAAAATTCTTCTCTCCAGTGTGATACTGCATATGCATTTTCAAGTATGATTTATTAACAAAGCTCTTGTCACATGCCGGACATTTAACTTTGACTTCCGGTTGATGATAGCAAACTGTGTGGAACTTCAGTGAGCGTTGAGTTTTGAAACTCTGATTGCAAAATGAGCACGAATATGGTTTTTCTGTACTGTGTGTGTCCTTAAAAAACATAACTAAATTGCAATAAATGAAATGAAAAGAATTTAAATTTTCTTACCAAATGTTTTTGAAGATTTGATGACATCGAGAAACATCGATTACAAATCTGACATTCAAAAGGCTAATAAAAATAAATTAAATTAAATAATTATCAATTGAATGGACATTTATGATTCTAACTTTTTCTCCAGTGTGAGATCGTGTATGTAAAATCAGCTGATATCGATTCTTAAAAGCTTTGGAGCAAGTGTCACACACAAAGGTTTTCTCATCATTCAAGTGAGCAGCATTCAAATGATCACGAGCTTCCTTTTTTGAGGAAAATTTTTCATCACATTTTCGACATTTGTAGCGCGCTTCCTTTTCATGTTGCAACATATGATTTTCATGTTCTTCTTGTGATATGTTTATTTTTCCACATATATCACATTGGCAAAGAAGGCGAGAGTTTGTACTCAATTTCCCGTCTTCTTCAAGCTGTCCGGATTCTTCAAGGGCCTGTTTTAGATGCGACCGTCGAAAATGTTTTTTGTAATTTTCCTTTTGATCTGTAAAGTAAACATAATTTATATTGATCTCGGAACAACGTTTAATAAATTTACCGAAAGTTTTTGGACACATTTCGCAAGAAAAATTTTGTCTCTCTACGACTATTTCCTCTTCTTCATCCATTTTATGTTGTTTTTCATTTTCTTCATATTTAGACTCGAAATCTTCATTCGTATCTTCATCATTTGTTTCTTCAATATGCTCTTCGATATAATCTTGACTATAAACTTCCCAGGAATCATCTTTGCACTCGTATTCCTCTTCTTCTGGAAATAATCATTAGACAAATTTCACTTGTAAACATTAAAAATTACCTTCAACTGCCGAATAAATTTTTTCTGATTCCAAACATTTCTTTTGAAACAAATATGAACACTTCAAGTCACCTAAGCATTCAGAACATATTTTAGAATTGTCTTCTTCATCCTGCTCTATTGGAATTGATGTTATAAATGTAAAACAGTGCCCAATTTTAACGAATTCTTGATTTGACATGGGAGCCTCGTTCATGGCCACTTCCGAACTGAATTCATACAATGTATTATCTCCGCCAGCCTCTAGTAAGCAGCAACGACATGTCTTTTCTTTATTCACCATTTTATACAAGTTTTACAACAATCAAATCGGAAATTTATTGAAGTTTTTGTCTCAAAACAAAGCTTTATTGGTCGTTATACAGTCAGTTGAAATTTCTAAACACACTCGCAAACTGAAATTGACTGAACGATGACTTTATGAACAGCTTTTGTGTTTATAACGTGCGATATTGAACTTCGTAAATCTTTTTAATTTAACAAAGAAAATATGAAGCAGCCAAATATTCTTGTAACTGGCACACCAGGAGCCGGGAAAACTTATTTTGCGAAAGCAATTGCTGATAAATATGATCTGAATTTTATAGAAGTCAGTAGAATTGTTCAGGAACATCATTTTACAGATGGATTCGATGAAACTTTAGACTGCCCTATATTAGATGAAGATAAGGTGTGTTGTTTGTAAAGAATGTCACGAGTTACTCGAACTTTTTTTTCTCCACTTAGCTTTTAGATTTTCTTGAGCCGATAATGAAAGAAGGTGGAAACGTTGTCGAGTATCATTCTTCTGAATTCTTTCCTGAACGCTGGTTTCACGCCGTTTATGTCGTTCGATGTGACACAGATGTGCTTTTCAAACGTCTGGAAGAACGTGGATATAATGCAAAGAAAATACAAAACAACATCGAATGTGAGATTTTTCAAATGGCCATGGACGAAGCAAAAACTTCATATAAGTCTAATATCATCACTGAAGTTCGAGGAGAAAAGCAAGAAGATCTTCAAAAAGGCTTGGAACATGTCGGAATTTTTTTGGATGAATATAAGGAGTGATTTTTAATTATTGTAAGGCTGAAAAAAGAACAATCAGTAGCATTTATACCACTATACATTATATTTATAAAATTATCATCGTTATATCACATTTTTAATCATTCTTTCGTCAATTGCGAAATAAAATCTGTTGAAATTATTTTAGTCATTCAAAAATTATTGAAATTGCATTTTTTTCTGTAAATTCATTTTTTACAGTAAATTGTTTTATTGTTTTTCTAACAAAATAACATATAATGATAGTTAACAGATAATGCATAATCATTCTCAGAGTCATTAAATTATTGTCGTGCTTTGACAGAAGTTTCGAATTGTAGATGAACAGTTCATAAAGGAAAGTTCGTTTCAAACGAAACTTGATCACACATCCACAAATCATATGATTCGGAACGAGTATGAATCACATTCGTAAACATTTGTTTATTCCGTGGCGAAAATATAAAAATCAACTTAATTATCGTCTTATTAATTTCGATAATAAAAATAAGAGCTTAACCATGAATGAAGTTTATTTTAAGCATCTTGTGGAAGAACAAAAAATTGCCATAAGCTTTCGATTTGTGCAAACAATAAACTCGTTTAAAATTGACCGTATTTTTAATTTTGTACGTGATTTAACAGAGAATATTGATGTCTCGTTAAATCGAATTAAAAATAATGTAGAAAGGGAGGTGACAAAAAAGATAAGCAAAAAGAAAAAGAAAAGCAAAGACGGTTCTGAAGGAAGCAACGCAGAAAATTTTACGGTGAGGTTATTCAATGTTTTTATAAGAGTGAAAAGTGTTAACCATTGTCATACTTTTTAGATATCAGCTGAATTTTGCGATTCAAATGGAACGATTACAAATAAAAGCTTTCAAGACCTATTAGGAGATTTTGAAAATAGCGAGTTTCAATTGAAGCTTCACCAAATTCCGTTTACTGTCAAGTTTAATTGGCCCTGGATTAATACAATCACACTTCCCACCTCAATTCTCGCCGGTTTTTATGTTTATCCATCAAAGTTAGAAATAGATTTTGCTGATCGACATGCAACTGAGTTTATTTGGTATCGCGGTGAATTGCCAGCAAATGAAAGAGAAAACGAAATTGAATGGGAAGAAATTGGTAAAGGATTTACATTTTTAGTTCGACCTGAAGATATTGGCTACAGATTGAAAGTAAGTGCAACACCTAAATCAATTGATAGTCTTAAAATTGGTCCAACGGTTGAAGCAATCGGCAAGAATGAAGTTCAAGCTGGGCCTGGATATTGTCCCTTCGAAGCTCGTCATTTATTTACAGTGGAACGTCTTAGTGGAAAATCTATCAGAGTCGCATCTTACAATCTTCTCGCTGATTATTATGCTGACTCCGAAGATGGACGTACAAAACTATTCTCATATTGTCCTGGATATGCGATTACAATTGATTATCGTAAACAATTGTTATTGAAAGAGATAGTTGGGTACAATGCTGACATTTTCTGCATGCAAGAGGTTGACTTTAAAATCTTTGACGGTGACATGATTCCATTGTTATTAGAACAAAATATGACAGGAGTTCACAACAAAAAAGGAACAACACCCGAAGGTGTTGCAACATTCTATCGACAAGATCGATTTGAACTTATCGAGAATTATGTTTTCAACATTGGCGAGACTGTGAAAAGCCATTCAGCATGTCAAGAATTATTTGGAAAACTTCAATATAATGAGAAATTGGTAGAAAGACTCACCGATCTAGGCACAACACTACAGGTTCTTGTATTGAGATCAAAGGAATTTCCAGAAAAGTTTTTCACAGTTGCAAACACTCATTTGTATTTTCATCCAGATGCTGATCACATAAGGTTGCTACAAATTGGATTTTCAATGAAGATTGTTGAAGATATTGTAGAAAGATTAAAAGAAAAGTCAAGTGATGTGTCGTTGATATTTTGTGGTGATTTCAATTCAGTTCCTGAGTGTGGAATTTATAAACTTATGACACAAAAATCTGTTCCTGAAAATTTCATTGATTGGAAGAGTAATCAAGAACAAGAAGTAAAGAATGTCAGTCTTTCTCAACCTTTTCAAATGAAATCAGCTTGTGGAACGCCAACATTCACAAATTACACAATTGGATTCCAAGCTTGTCTCGATTACATTTTCTACCAAACCGACAAATTTCATGTAACGAAAGTTGTTGAAATGCCAGACGAAGAGGAATTAAAATCACATATTGCAATACCTTCAGTTGTGTTTCCTTCTGATCACATTGCAATTATAGCAGATCTTGAAATGACTTGAATTTTAGTCTTTATTTGAATAAAAGTTTGTTTACATTAAATCACTTAATTCTTTTACATTATCATCATCATCATCCCAATCCATTGATTCAAGTTGTGAAAGTTCCATTTCAATTTGTGCTTTTTCTTTTGATTTCAATTCAGCCATTCGTTGTTCTTCCTGTTCCGATAACTTCCACAACTCTTCATCGTAATCATGTTCAGCTTTAACACGAGCTTCAAGTTTACGTTTGAAGTTTTGCTGTTGTGTCATTGCATGTTGCCGACGTTGATTTTGTTGAGACATTTGCGGCGTTTTTGATTTAGGTTCACGATTTTCCATTAAAATTTGACTGTTCTCAAAATATCCATTCGGATGACTGATTCCTTCATCGAGCTTCGTGTTGTGTGTGAGTTCAAAGTAGCGACTGCATGCAATCTGAAAATGACCTTTCGTTGCTAAGCTAATGACATCTTGTACATTCACTGGATTTATTCCATAGTTAACTAATCTCGTTCGCAGTTCACTGGCATCCCAAAGTTTGAAAGGACATCCACAAGCATCTTGCGATGTTCCTTGTGTGTTGATAACTTTCATACAAGAATGAGGCGACCAATTTGTGCGTGAACCTTCTTTTCCGTAATTATAACGAATTCCATAAGCGTAACTTTTATCAAACTTATCTGGTTCGATTGTCTTCGTGAATTCTTCACGCCAAAATCGAAGCGAATCTTCAAGAGTCACGCCAATGCCTTTTAAAAACAAACCATATTGAAGACGACCAAAATGTTTCAAATGATGAGTAGAACGAAGGAAATCATGACACATTCTCATGCATGGTGGATAAGATTTAAGTGAAAGTTGATCCAAACTTTCAATTGGAATGTCAGCATCTTTGTTGATTGTGTAATCTTTTCCAATGTAAGAAGTGTGTAAACCTTTAATAATTCCGACAATTCTTTCATCATTTTCGAATTCAGGAAGCAGTTTTAAATGTGCTGCAAGTCCTTTATCAATGAAGTTCAGATGATGATTGCCAATGATCGAACTAAAATCCATGGAACTGACATAAGCAAATCCATTCTTTAAGAAGCATTTTCGTTGTCGAACAAGATCAAGAACAGCTAAAAAGCTCACTTTGTAGAAATCAATTCCGTCGATGTTATGTAAAACTGAGCTTTGCAACTCTTGACGAACTTCTTGTTTTTGATCTTCGCTTATAGGTCGATAGCCCATCTCATAAAGTTCAACATATTCTTTGACTTCTTTAGAGCTGAGTGAACTGAATTTAAACCGAAACAATTCCATTTCTCGAGCAATGAACCATCTATAAATTAAGCAATATTAGTTATATTCAAAATATACTTTCTTCTTTCTACCTTCTTAAATCTTCACTTCGACAATATGCAAATCTAAGAATAAAATGTGACAAATAATCACGACGACGAGCGTTCATATCCTGTTCAGTATTTCCATTTCCTCGCAACAATCTAACGAAATATTTCAATCCAGCAATGTTCAATTCATTAATGACATGTTCCTTCCATTCATCTGATAAAATTTTGGGATGTTTCACTCCCGCTTGCTCCAAAATACGAAGAAGTTTTAATCTTTCAATAGCTAAATCTTCGAAATCTTTTAAACTAACATCGATCATAGGTGGAAGAATGTAGAATAAACAATTGTGTGGTAATAATGTATCCAAAGATTGTTCGTCAGGACTCTTAAGCACTTTAATTTTACTTTTCTTTGGGAAATCCATTTTTTACAATTTTTGTGTCCTCAAAACAATCAATTTTCCGCCAAAACCACATGAATACGTTCAGAAAAATTTGAGTTCACTTCGGTTTGGCGCCAAAAATAATTTTTTTGTGGAAGCAATTTACTCTCTTAAAATTATTTCTTTGTGCATTTTTACTACTTATAATTATTAAAATAAAATAAATTCAGTGTTGTAAGAATGTCGCAACGCAATGTAAGTTGAATTTCATCGTGATTTAACAATAATTTTAATGATATCTTTGAAATTAAAGACACACAACGATGACAACATTGATTCTCCTGCTCCTTCGACACCATACGACTCCAATTCAATAATATCGCCACGTTCAAACCGTGAAGCATCACCAGTTGGAGATTTTGAGCCTTTTGAGAATGAAGCTGAAATTTTAGGGGAGATTGAGACAGCAGATGAAGAATCTGATGGCGAAGATTTGTTTGGTGGTAACATGGAGCGGTAAATTATTTTCCTTGTACATTGAACAATTTTTCATCATGTCATTTCTTATATGCAGTGATTACCTTCCAAATCAACGTCTCGATCGTTATGATCCAAACATGTTGGACGATGAGGATAATTTCAGTGACATTAGTCAATCAGAACGACTGGCAGCTGAAAGAGAAATGAATCAAAGAGATCGTGCAGCTGGAATTGATCGTGAAGGACGTGATGAATTGTTTTACGATAAAAGTGATGATGAAGGTGACGATTTCAATCGTAAACGTCGTCATGCTGAGAAAGCTATCGAAGGTGTTGAAGAAGATATGGAAATGGTTGAATCGATTGAAAATCTGGAAGATACGAAAGGACATACAATCAAGGAATGGGTGTCATTACTCGGCCCACGAACTGAAATTTCTAATCGCTTCAAGAACTTTCTGAGAACATATGTTGATGATAAAGGTCATTATGTCTATAATGATCGCATACGAAGAATGTGTGAACAAAACAAATCAAGTTTCACTGTCATCTTCACAGAACTTGTTCACCATCAACACATTCTCGCTTACTTTTTACCAGAAGCTCCACATCAAATGTTAGAAATCTTTGATAAAGTCGCAAAAGAAATGGTTCTTTCCATCTTCCCAACATATGAACGAGTAACAACAGAAATTCACGTTCGAATTGCTGAATTGCCATTGATTGAAGAACTTCGAACATTCCGTAAACTGCACTTGAATCAACTTGTTCGTACCATGGGGGTTGTTTCCGCAATGACTGGTGTCTTACCTCAACTATCTGTCGTTAAATACGATTGTGTTAAATGCGGTTACATCATTGGCCCATTTGTACAAAATCAGAATGCTGAAGTCAAGCCTGGATCTTGCCCTGAATGTCAATCTGGTGGACCTTTCTCCATTAACATGGAACAAACTTTGTATCGAAATTATCAAAAAATCACTTTACAAGAAAGTCCTGGTCGAATTCCAGCTGGTCGCATTCCACGAAGTAAAGATTGCATTCTATTGTCAGATTTATGCGATCAATGCAAGCCTGGCGATGAAATTGAAGTGACGGGAATTTATACCAACAATTATGATGGATCATTGAACACCGATAATGGTTTTCCTGTCTTTGCAACAGTCATCATTGCTAATCACATTTTAGTGAAAGACAGCAAACAAGTTGTTTCGTCTCTGACTGATGAAGACATCGCAACAATTCAACGTTTAAGTAAAGAACCAGATGTTGCCAAAAGAATCTTCAACAGCATGGCTCCATCTATTTATGGTCACGATTTTATTAAACAAAGTCTTGCATTGTCGTTATTTGGTGGTGAATCAAAGAATCCTGGTGAAAAGCATAAACTTCGTGGTGACATTAACATTTTGGTTTGTGGTGACGCTGGAATGGCAAAATCTCAATTTTTGAAATATGTTGAGAAGATTGCGCCAAGAGCTGTTTTCACGACTGGTCAAGGTGCAAGTGCTGTCGGTTTAACAGCTTATGTTCGTCGTAATCCAATTTCCAAAGAATGGACATTAGAAGCTGGCGCTTTAGTCCTTGCTGATCAAGGAATTTGTTTAATTGATGAGTTTGATAAGATGAATGATCAAGATCGAACATCAATTCATGAAGCAATGGAACAACAATCAATCAGTATAAGTAAAGCTGGAATCATCACATCATTACAAGCACGTTGTGCTGTCATTGCAGCATCAAATCCAATTGGAGGACGTTACGATCCAAGCATGACATTCTCAGAAAATGTCAACCTTTCAGAGCCAATCTTGTCACGTTTCGACATTCTTTGTGTTGTTAAAGATGAATACGACCCAATGCTTGACAAACGTTTAGCTGAGTTTGTTGTTGCTTCACATATTCGTCATCATCCTTCAAATCTTAAAGATGGTGAAAATGTGATTTCAGATATCAATGAACTGGAATTGCCACAAGATTTACTCAAAAAGTATATCGTATATTCGAAGGAGAATGTCAGACCAAAGCTTTCGGTACACAAAGATTCATTTTCATTCAATATTTTTATTAAAAATCTTTTTCTATCATTTCAGAACATGGATCAAGATAAGATTGCACAAATGTATTCACAATTACGTCAAGAGTCGCTTGCAACTGGTTCATTACCAATCACTGTTCGTCATATTGAAAGTGTCATCAGAATGTCAGAAGCACACGCACGAATGCATTTGCGTGACACGGTTCAAGATGTTGACGTCAACTTGGCTATTCGAATGATGCTTGAAAGTTTCATATCAGCACAAAAATTCTCAGTTATGAAGAAGATGCAAGTGACATTCCAAAAATATTTGTTATTCCAAAAGGATTCATCGGAATTGCTGTTCTTCATTCTCAGACAACTGACATTGGATCAACTTTCATACATGCGAATCAAACATGGAGCTAAAGCAACTCATGTGGAAGTCCTGGAAAAGGATTTGTTGGAACGTGCTAAACAAATCAATATTCACAACATTGGAAAGTTTTATGAAAGTGAAATTTTTAAATCGAACGGATTCTCTCACGATCCAAAACGAAAAACTATTCTACAAGTTGTCCCGGAAGCTGCTACAGTTTAAATCTTCATTTTTGGCTAAAATTAATTATTTTATTAACTAAACATAAAAGTTTTCATTTCGTTTGTTATTGATGTAAGCAAACCAGTAATCTCACAAGAACAAGTAAAATTATCACAAAAATTAAATTAGCTACATTCATTAAAAGTTATGATTAATAAAAAATGTTGATTTTATGATTATATTGAAATATTTTAATTCTCTTTTCAAGTTGCAATGATACTGAACTGTTATTTAATTTAGTAAGAAATATCTAAGTACCTAGGTAACATGCAATTTCGGAAATATGTAAGGACCTATGTAGATAACAATATCAAGAATTTCATTCTGAATAACTGAACGCATTCATCAATCTTTTTTTTCTTCTGAAATAAAAAGTAAACAAAGTTTGCATAACAGCAACAAAATTTTACAAAAAGAAATGTAAAAACAAAGAAATCGACAAATTATTATAAAAATCAAAATGTTTCCTGAAAAACTTAAATTGTTGTGTTGGAAGAACTTTACACTTCAAAAACGTCACCCAATAGCCGGAATTCTTGAGATTCTTTTTCCGATTTTAGTTGTTTTGCTTTTATCATATGCTCGTGATAATGTTGATGTGAAAAATATCAAAGAGAAGAGATATGATGAGTTTCAGCCAACAAAGTACTCAGGATGCGAAAATACGAAACATCCTTTTAGTGTTACAAACATAAAGCCAACAATTGGTGTGTCACCGAATGGAAATCCCGCTCTAATCAATCTTGTGAAATCTATGATTGGAAAACGACTGCCAATAGAAACGTTTGAAAATGCGTCGAAACTTCAAGAATATCTAAAGAATGATAACAATTCTCTATATGGAATAGAATTCGAGGACAAATTATCTGTAAGATGTCAATTTACATTAAACATTTCTCGCTGAAAAAATTTCAAGGTCAACTCATAATTTTTACTTTTATAGGAATTCGAAGAACTTCCAAAACATCTTAAATATGCTATTCGCCTTCCTGAAGAACATTCAAACTGGAATACGGATCAATTATATCGGATGGCATTTGATAAAACGCAAGAAGATGCCCAATCAGATGCTCCACAGTGGCCTCCGTATGATTCAAGTTGTTTCTTAAAATTACAAAATGATCTCGAACGTGCCTTCATTAAATCATTCTCTAATGCATCATTAGAACTTCCTATAACTGCACTCAAACGTTTTCCATACCCAAGTTTCTCTTACGATGGATTCGTATTAATTGCTGCATCATTCTTTCCACTTTTAATCGTTTTCTGTTTAATGCTCTCATCAAAGAATATCATTAAGGTAAGTTTCATGAACTTGAATTATCTTAAGCTGAAAATTAAAATTATTACAGAATATAACAGTTGAACGTGAAAGTCAAATAAAGGAAACGATGAAGATTATGGGACTTTCTTCGGGACTTCATTGGCTTGGATGGTTCATAAAAAGTTTAGTGATGATGGAAATTTCATTTATTTTCATGCTCATCCTGATGTGCACATCAGTTATCAGTGAACGACCAATATTTGCCGAGAGCAATCCAATTTTAATTTGGATATTTTTCAACATTTATGCAACATCTGTCATCACATTTTGCTTTCTCATAAGCGTCATTTTCAAGAAATCATCAACAGCTACTAACGTCGGAACAATTCTCTTCTTTGCAACTCTCATTCCATTCACACAATTAGCAGAATTCTTCCACACTTTCAATTATTTCTTCAAGATACTTTATTGTTTCGCTGTCAATTCTGGAATGGCGCAAGGAATTCAAATGCTTTTGATTGCTGAAGGGGAAAATGCTGGACTACATTTTGGCAATCTTTTCTCACGGAGCATTATGGAAAGTTTGTCATTTGGTGAATTATTAGTGATAATGATAATTGGAGCATTTATTCAACTTGAAATCACTCTTTATATTGAGAAAGTTTTCCCGGGTGACATTGGAATACCTGAGCCGTGGTATTTTCCATTCATTCCCTGCATTTCTTACTTAAAGAATAAAATGGGATACGACACATTAAATAACGATTTGTTATTGGGACAACATCGAATATCTGGAGGTGATTATGAAGAAGAACCAACAAATCTCAAAGTTGGCATAAAAACTCAAGATTTAAGTAAAACTTTTGACAACAAAGTTGCTGTTAATAAATTGAATCTCAACATGTATGAAGATCAAATAACAGTTTTACTCGGTCATAATGGAGCTGGCAAAACGACAACAATTTCAATGTTAACAGGAATGTTTCCACCCACATCTGGCACAGCTTTTATCAATGGAAAAGATATTCACAGTGAAATTGATGAAGCTCGAAAATCTCTCGGAATTTGCCCTCAACATAATATTTTATTTGATGAATTGACTGTGAAGGAACATCTTGAATTCTTTATTAGATTGAAAGGTGTTAAGGGAAAGGAAGTTGTCAATGAAGAAATTCAACGATACATAAATTTACTTGATTTAAAGGACAAATGTGATGCTCAAAGTCAAACACTTTCTGGTGGAATGAAACGAAAACTTTCAATTGGAATTGCACTTTGTGGTGGCTCAAAAATTGTTTTGTGTGATGAGCCAAGTTCTGGAATGGATCCAGCAAGTAGACGATCTTTATGGGATTTTTTAATTGCTGAGAAAAAAGGAAAAACGATTCTTTTGACGACACACAACATGGATGAAGCTGACATTTTAGGCGATCGAATTGCAATCATGGCTGAAGGGAAACTTCGAACTGTCGGTTCGTCATTCTTCTTGAAGAAAAGATTTGGCACTGGATACAAATTGACATGTGTCAAGAAGACCGACTGTGACATAAATTCAATTCTTAGAGTTCTTCGTGAATATGCTGATGACGTCTTCGTTGAATCTGATTCTCAATCAGAAGTCGTATTCATAATTAGCGAGAAATATTTACCAGCTTTTGAACATATTTTCAAGAAGCTTGAAGACAATTCAGATGAACTTGGAATCTCATCATTTGGATGTAATCTTTCGACACTTGAAGAAGTTTTTCTTAAACTTGGAACAGATTCTTATCACGATGAGAGTCACGCGATTGATCAAACTGATACCAGTAATCTTGGCTCAGCGACAATGTTGTATGACAACTCAATGTCGTCTCAGAAAATCCAAGGATTTCAATCAATTCTTTACCAATTTCAAGCAATGTTCCTTAAAAAGTTTCACTACCAAAGACGTAATTATAAATCTGCACTTATCATGCTTTTGATCAGTATTTGGTTAACAATTGTATTCATGTCATCACCAAATATTTCAATTCTATCAGCACCACCGCTTGACATTAGTAAGTTTAACTTTTTTTTTAATTTAATTTTATTAACTCTTACAAATTTTTCTCTTCTTAAAATAGCTTTTGAAAGTTATGATAAAACAATAACTGTTATCGAACATGACAATACGAAATCATCTAAGAATTATTTGGACATTTTCCAAAATGAAATATTTCAAGGAAAGGATCAAATCAAATTGCTGGAAAATAATTTTGAAGATTTTATCTTAAAGAAAACAAATGAATCGCTTTATGAAATGAGAAGAAATTATTTGATTGGAATGACAATAACGGAGACTAAATTTACAGCATGGTTTAACAATCATCCTTATCATTCTTTACCATTAGTATTGAATACTGTTAATCGAGGAATGTTGAAGAGATTTGCAGGCAAAGAATTTGATATTTCTTTAACTAATAAGCCTTACGTTTGGGTGGACAATTCAAACTATAACATCCCAGACTTTGAAGAAGATTCAAATATAATTTCAATTTTTGTTCTTTGCTTCTTCTTGTTGACAAACTGGCCAACAATTTTCATCGGTTTTTACATCAAGGAACGAGAATCGCGCTCAAAGTTACTTCAATACATTAGCGGAACAAATCGATTTGTATTCTGGGCAAGTGCATTTATATTTGATTTTTTGCTCTTCATCATCATCTGTTGTGGATTGATTGGCGGAATTGCTTTATATCAGAGGCCTAACTTCTCAACTGCAAATGAATTGTCGTCATATTTTCTGATTTTTACAGTTTATGGAATTTCAATGATTCCATTTTTATTCTTCTTCTCATATTTGTTTAAAAAGTATTCAACTGGCGAGTCAATGGTTGCTTTTATTGCAATGATATGTAAGTTGATTATCTTAAATTGTTAATTATGGGTAGAAAGCTGATTTGAGAAACTTTTCAAACTGTCTCGAAATTGGAGTTTTACCCTTAAAATATTTTCACTTATTATCAGACATTTTAACCATTTTTTATACGTTTAGTTGCTGCTCTTTACGGATGCTCTCTTTTGCTGATATTTGCTAAAAAAGAATATTACAAGTTTCTTGGGAAGTTCCTGTACTGGTTTGGCTTATTATTTGGACCATTTTCTCTAGTCGACATTTTTAAGAAGATTGCTTTGATGCTAAATTTACCAGGTCAGTAAATTAAGTTTTATTTACTCATTTAAGTCCAAGACAATCGAAGGATTGAATTTAATTTCAAATGTTCCATCTAGGAGGGTTCGATAACGTCTTTACGTTTAAAGAGACTGGAATTGGCTGGAATCTTGTTATGATGATCATCGGTGGCGTACTTTTCATGACAATTTGTTTGTTAAAAGATCACATGCTGATTGAATGGTTCATATATAAATATATCAAGTTTTTGAAGAAACCACCGCCACTTGATCGTGAAAATCTTGACGCTGATGTGAAATGTGAAATTGAAATGATTGAAAATATGACAAATCAAGAAATTGCAAACACAAATCTGGCTTTAAAAGGACTTTCAAAATATTACGGTAGTCATTTGGCAGTGAATCAATTAAATTTAACAGTGGGAGCTTCTGAATGTTTTGGACTTCTTGGTATTAACGGCGCTGGAAAAACTTCAACATTTAAGATGATGACAGGTGATGAAATTATCTCACAAGGCGATGTTTTCATCCTAGGCTACAGCATGAAGAATCAAATGTGGAAAGCTCATCAATTTATTGGATATTGTCCACAATTTGATGGATTGCTGATGGATTTAACAGTGAGAGAAACTTTGAAGATTTTCGCTTTAATTCGAGGCATCCCACGATATCACATCCCATCGATTATTTGTGACTATTCACTTGAACTTGGGTTTAATAGTCATTTGGATAAAAAAGTCAAAGAATTGAGTGGTGGAAACAAAAGGAAACTAAGCACCGCTTTGGCTTTAATTGGAGATCCAACTTTGATATTTCTTGATGAACCGACCACGGGAATAGATCCAGGAGCGCGACGACAGTTGTGGAATATTATTAACAAAATACGAGATCTGGGACGATCTGTGGTCATCACAAGTCATTCAATGGAAGAATGTGAAGCGCTTTGCACAAAATTAGCGATAATGGTGAATGGAGAGTTTAAATGTCTCGGTTCGACACAACATCTTAAAAATAAATTCTCCAAGGGACTCATTTTGACAGTCAAGTATGGAAGAGAAGATGATGAAGCGATGGAAGTCATTAAAGGTCGAATTGTTGAAGCTTTTCCATCAGCTCAACTTAAAGAGCAGTATTTAGATTTCATGACTTTTTATGCTGCTGAAACTGACCTTAAATGGTCCGAAGTATTTGCAACGATGGCAAATATCAAAAACGATGTTGGACTTGCTGATTATGCTTTATCGCAAACATCACTTGAACAAGTTTTCTTATTTTTCACGAAAAGTAGTCAAAAGATTCAAAGTGAACCAAATTCTCCAAGTAAAAGGAAGTCACCCTAAGCAGGGATTATTTTGCCTTTAATGCCTTAATCAATTTAACATGAATTAATTGTATTTTAGATGTATTATCGTCTATTTACCTCTTATTTACCTCATGTACTTAGATGTACTTAGAAATTTCATTAATGTTGCAGTTTAACCGACAATCTTTAAAATCTTACAAAAAATTTGTAACTTAACTATTCGAATTTTTAATTTTTTCTTTAATCTAATTTATATAAAACAAGAATTTAACTATAGTAAAATAGAAAATTCACCTCAGATCTTATAATGAGTATTTAGTATACTAGAAACATATAAAAATTAAAACATTTTAGATGGCAAATATTTAGCTGCCTTGTTCCTTGGTGTCTTAACATTTAATTAAGTGCTTTATAATGTTATTAAAACAACGCTATTAAAACAAAAAAACAATAATCTACTAAATCAATGTTCTCAAAAGTTTAAAAGTTGAACCAAATTGACAATACCTACATAAAATACTANTTAAATGATCAGTCCCTATAATTTCTTAACAAATCAAGAATATTCATGATGGATAATTTCAAGATATCTGATTATTTCTCCATATATTTTTCAAAGTTTTAAAATTCCACATCACTCTTTTAACATTGTGGAATTAACTTATTAAATAAATGTTCGAAAAATAATATTGCTAATTGATTTTTAACATTATTTTTCAAGTATGTTTTCAACCCTATTTTCTAAGGGATTATTCAAAATTAAAAATTTTAATTGAAACGCTTGCCTTTCTCTGGAACAAAATGCTTAAATACATTGTTGCTGCACTCTACAACATCCAAGAAGTGGAATATTGCACATTCATAACAAAAATGTGGGATTTTCCAACTTTTAAAATTTGTATGGAAAAATGAGGTTCAAAAGCTGGCCTGCGCAGGCCAGCATGTTGGCAAATATGTTGGCCTCTGCTGGCCTCTGCAGGCCTATGCAGGTTGGTGAAACCCTAGAAAATTCACCTCAGATCTTATAATGAGTATTTAGTATACTAGAAACATATAAAAATTAAAACATTTTAGATGGCAAATATTTAGCTGCCTTGTTCCTTGGTGTCTTAACATTTAATTAAGTGCTTTATAATGTTATTAAAACAAAAAAACAATAATCTACTAAATCAATGTTCTCAAAAGTTTAAAAGTTGAACCAAATTGACAATACCTACATAAAATACTAAATTCCATTTTAAAGCATTCAATTCGTTAAAAAATAAAACAGTTAGATAAAAGATTTCATAACTAGCTAATCTACAAAATACGACAATTTACTGTAATTTACACTTAAATGCAATTGACTCAGGATTATCTAGAATAGAATGAAACGAATTTGAAAAGTTTGATATAATTTTTGAGAATATTTTTTCGCTATTGCTGCTTACAATTGAAAAAACGAAATTTAAAATCTTAAACTCTATGCGAGGCCTTTAATAATATCTACAATGATATTTACTTGATTATTTTGGAAAGCCATGAAAATGAAAAATTAGAAATTATTAAAAAATTATGAATGTTAACAAAACGCTTGTTTGATTCTTGGCAGCCCAAAAAGTTCTAATAAATGATGTAAAGATGGAAATCAAAATGCACTTGTCAATTTATTTACTTAAAAATTCTTTTTTTTCTGGTAATTTCACTCATACAAAGAAATTTAATTACATAGCAATCATAAAAGTGTAAATGAAAGAGTTCATCGCTTTGCATATATTTTCTTTAAATTTTTGTTATTTCAGATTGGACATTAAATCTTAATGCATTAATATTTGACATTTAAGTCTGTGAACATCATCGGTATAAATTAACAGAGGAATTAAAATGTTCTTAATTATTTTGGTTTTTTTTATTGTTGCTTTCGTTGTTTGGTACCAGTTCAAGTATGGCCATCGTGTCAAACTTTTAGCGAAGATTCCATCACCGAAGAAGCATCCACTTGTTCATAATTCCTTAGAACTATACGGCAAATCACTGAAAGAGGTTTTTGAATGGTTGGAAAACACGAAATCTACACTCGGATCTGTTTATCATTTGACTTTCCATCCATTCGACTATTGTGACATTATCATAGTGTCAGACGTGAAAATAGTTGAAGATTTTCTATCAAGCCAAAAGATTCTGAAAAAGGCGAGTTTTTACGACTTCATGAATTCCTGGTTGGGTGACGGTCTTCTAATATCATCTGGCAAGAAATGGTTCCAACGACGTAAAATCATAACTCCAGCTTTCCACTTCCAAATTCTTGAACGATTCGTCGAGACTATGGATGAACAAGGAAAAGTTCTCATTGAAGTTTTAAACAAATTTAATGGTGAAGACATCAACATTTATCCATTCATCAATTTGTATGCATTAGACGTGATTTGTGGTCTGAATTTGTGAAAATTTGGAATCATTTGCGATGGTTAATTAATTTCCAAATATTTCCAGAATCGGCGATGGGATGTAAAATTAATGCGCAACAAAAAAAAGATTGCGAATATGTCACTGCAGTTAAAGAGTGAGATGATTTTATGTCGAATCTCATTAAAGTATTAAGAAAATTTCTTATCTAGTATTTCAGAAATAATTTTTCAAAGGGTATTTGACCCAGTATTCAAAATTCCTTTCCTTTATCAACTTACAAATTTATATAAGAAAGAGAAAAAAAGTTTGAAGATCTTACACAGCTTCACTGACGGTGTCATCAAAGCCCGAAGAGAAGAATTGTTGAATAAGAACGAAAATGAAAATTCTGGTGAAGGTTTCGGAATCAAAAGGAAAATGGCACTTCTCGATCTCCTTCTTCAATCAGCTGTGGATGGGAAACCTTTGACGAATGCCGACATTCGAGAAGAAGTCGATACATTCATGTTCGAGGGACATGACACGACCACCAGTGGAATATCTTTTTGTCTTTACAACATTGCAAAATATCCCGAAGTTCAGAAGAGAATTCTTGAAGAAATCAATTCTGAAGCAATCGACGATGACGAAGTGCTTTCTCTGCAAATATTGAACCGACTTCAATATCTTGAACTCGTCATCAAAGAGTCGCTTCGATTGTATCCATCAGGTGACTAATATCGAAATGTTTATAGTTCAGGAACTAACTCCACTAATTAATTTCTTAGTTCCATATTTTTCGCGAAAGTTGACTGAAGATCATACAGTTGGCGCTCACACATTTCCAAAAGGTTGCAGCGTTACAATTTCCCCTTATCTGATGGGTCGTGATGAGAAATTATTTCCAGATCCATTGAAGTTTTCACCAGAAAGATTCAGTGTCGAAACGACTGTCGAGAAGGTCAATCCATTTGCTTATATTCCTTTTTCTGCAGGTAAGTTTGAATTCCTTCTAATAATAATTTCATCCAAACATAATTCAACACACTTCAAGGACCGCGGAACTGCATCGGACAGAAATTCGCTATGTACGAACTAAAATCAAGCATCTGCAAAGTTGTTAAAAACTTCGAGTTGACAATTCCCAAGGGTAAAGAAGAATTGAACATTTTTACTGATCTGGTATTGAAGACAACTGACGGCATCACCTTGAACATCCGAAAGCGTAAATTTGATGAAAACAGAAACTTTGAAAAACATCCTAATACAAAATATAACGATGATTTGTATAAGTTTGTGTAATTGATAAGTTTGAATGACAAATTGAACTTTAATTATTCTAAATATAGCGAAGGATTTATTAATAAACTTATTAAATCCGTGTACATATGCAAAACGGTCCACAGAGTTAAGGGCGCACTTTATATTTCTTGATACTCTCCAGTGGCTGTTGTTGATACAAATATTTTTATAATCATATTTTAAAGGTTTTTTGTTCTACTTATAATTCATTACAAAAATTTATTTTAATAATTTGAACACGATACAAACTAAACATCTTAATCCGATATACGTTTAAGAAAGTTACATAGTCTGCAATAAATGAGTCTATGATGGTTCTTTAAGAATTAAAAAAATCAAAATTGGCGAGTTTAAATTTCATGCTCGTATAAAAAGATTTGCACTGAAATATCTACTTCAAAATTCATTCTGACACCAAAATTGGTATAAAATAAGAAATGAATAAAATCATAATAAAACCATAACAAAATCATAACAAAATCAAGGAAGAACTTTCGTAATAAAATTAAATTTCCTATGCAATACATGAGAGCTTCACTTCAATGCGAAAGCTTTGAAAAAAAATAATTAATCACAAGACAAATCTCGTTGCTTAAACATTCACGCAAATTGATACAATGTAATTAACGCATACAAAGATGATAATTAATGAGATTATCAATTAAAAATTTTCAAATAAATACTACTTAGTTATAGAATAAGTCACTTTGTAATTTTCTTTTCTTATACTCAGAGTAGAAAAATAATCTTAGAGCATTAATTTTTGACATTTCGATCCGTGAACATCTTTCAAGTCGCTTGAAAAAAGAATCGAAATGATTTTAACAATTTTAGTTGTATTAATTGCGTTGAGTGTTGCTTTTGCTGTTTGGTACCAGTTCAAGTATGGCCATCGTAACAAACTGTTTGCCAAGATTCCATCACCGAAGAAGCATCCAATATTTCATAGTTCGTTGGAACTTTACGGCAAATCATTAAAAGAACTTTTCGATTGGTTGGAAAACATGAAATCTCGGTTGGGACCAGTTTACCATATTAGTTTCCATCTATTTGACGATGGTCACATTATGATGGCAGATGCAGAAATGGCTGAAGATATTCTATCGAGTCACAAATTTTTGACTAAAGTGGGAATATATGATTTGATGAGACCGTGGCTTGGGGACGGTCTTCTCTTATCATCTGGCAAGAAATGGTTCCAACGACGAAAGATTATGACTCCAGCCTTCCACTTTCGTATTCTCGAAAAGTTTGTTGAAGTTATGGATGAACAAGGAAAAGTTCTCATTGAAGTTTTAAACAAATTTAATGGTGAAGACATCAACATTTATCCGTTCATCAATTTGTATGCATTAGACGTGATTTGTGGTCTGAATTTGTGAAAACTTGGAATCATTTTCGATAGTTAAATAATGTTTAAATATTTCCAGAATCAGCGATGGGATGTAAAATTAATGCACAGAAAGAAGATTGCGAATATGTCACTGCAGTTAAAGAGTGAGATGATTTTATGTCGAATCTCATTAAAGTATTTTTATAAAGAGTTTTTAGTATTTCAGACATCATTTTTCAAAGATTTTTCGATCCGATTAAACAGATTCCTTTCTTCTATCAGTTTATGGATTTATACAAGAAAGAGAAGAAAAGTTTGAAGATCTTACACAGCTTCACTGACGGTGTCATCAAAGCCCGAAGAGAAGAATTGTTGAATAAGAACGAAAATGAAAATTCTGGTGAAGGTTTCGGAATCAAAAGAAAAATGGCACTTCTCGATCTCCTTCTTCAATCAGCTGTGGATGGGAAACCTTTGACGAATGCCGACATTCGAGAAGAAGTCGATACATTCATGTTTGAGGGACATGACACGACCACCAGTGGAATTTCTTTTTGTCTTTACAACATTGCAAAATATCCCGAAGTTCAGAAGAAAATTCTTGAAGAAATCAATTCTGAAGCAATCGACGATGACGAAGTGCTTTCTCTGCAAATATTGAACAGACTTCAATATCTTGAACTCGTCATCAAAGAGTCGCTTCGATTGTATCCATCAGGTGATTAATATGAATGCTGTGAAACTTAAATAAATTCTCAGATTTTAACACTTTCAGTTCCACTTATTTCGAGAAAGTTGCCTGAAGATTGTACAGTTGGCGGTTACACGTTCCCGAAAGATGCCAGTGTTATAATTTCCCCTTATTTAATGGGTCGTGATGAGAAATTATTTCCAGATCCAATGAGATTTGCACCTGAGAGATTTAACGTTGAAACGACTGTGGAAAAGCTCAATCCATTTGCTTATGTTCCTTTTTCTGCTGGTGAGTTTGACTTACTACAAATAATAATTTTGTGATCTTAATTTTATCCACTTCAAGGACCGCGGAACTGCATCGGACAGAAATTCGCTATGTACGAACTAAAATCAAGCATCTGCAAAGTTGTTAAAAACTTCGAGTTGACCATTCCCAAGGGCAAAGAAGAATTGAAAATTTCTGGTGATTTAGTGTTGAAGACAACTGATGGCATCACCTTGAACATCCGAAAGCGTGCATCTTAATGGAATCAGAAGCATGTCCAGAAGATTCTCGATGACGTACTGAATTTCAAAAATTTGTTTATTAATAATCAAAATGTGAATAAAGTCGCTGAATCTATTTTTAAAAAATACAAACATGCGTTGATAATGAAAAGCGTTAAATTGTAAACAAAATCGCGTGTTGATTATGCTGCTTAACTTTACGAAAAGTGATTGTAAACTTCTGTAATTTGAACTCTCTGATGCACAGAAAATCCTTTCTGAAAAAGAAAAAAATTAGTTTGTACCTCTTAACAGATGTCTTAACTTTATAATATTTAAATTTAAATTAGCTATTTGACTCCCAAACATCATTTTCCGAGTGATGTTCGTGCCTTATCTCACTCACACAAAGAACGAAATTAAATATCAAATTGGAAACCTATAAATGAAAAGGTTTATCTAAAGATTATTTTTACTGGGCATACAAAATTAATTCATTATTATTTGACTTTTAGACTCGGGAACGTCTTCCAAAATAGTGGAAAAAATTTAAAAATGATTTTGATTATTTTAGTTATTTTAATAGTTTCATTCATTGGATGGTACCAACTTAAGTATGGTCGTCGCAATGAACTTTTAGCGAAGATTCCATCACCGAAGAAACACCCAATTTTTCATAATACTCTAGAATTTTACGGTAAGTCTGGAAATATTTTGTGTCTGGCTTTGATAGGAATTTCACATAAAATACTGGAAATAATTCATGCATTATTCGCAATGCATGTTACGAACCTTTCATTGAATTTGCAGATAAATCGCATAAAGAAATTTTTGAATGGTTGGAAAATGCGAGGATGACATTGGGGCATGTTTATCATATAACTTCCGATCCATTCAGCAATGGTGACATTATTGTGTCAGATGTGAAAATTGCAGAGAATATTCTATCAAGCCAAAAGATTCTGAAAAAGGCGAATGACTATGATTTGATGAGATCATGGCTGGGTGACGGTCTTCTAATATCATCTGGCAAGAAATGGTTCCAACGACGTAAAATCATAACTCCAGCTTTCCACTTCCAAATTCTTGAACGATTCGTCGAGACTATGGATGAACAAGGAAAAGTTCTCATTGAAGTTTTAAACAAATTTAATGGTGAAGACATCAACATTTATCCGTTCATCAATTTGTATGCATTAGACGTGATTTGTGGTCTGAATTTGTGAAAATTTGGAATCATTTGCGATGGTTAATTAATTTCCAAATATTTCCAGAATCGGCGATGGGATGTAAAATTAATGCGCAACAAAAAAAAGATTGCGAATATGTCACTGCAGTTAAAGAGTGAGATGATTTTATGTCGAATCTCATTAAAGTATTGAATTAAAATGAAAATTTCTTATCCAGAATTTCAGAAAACATTTTTCAAAGGATGTTCGATATAACAAGCAAAATTCCTTTCCTTTGTCGGTTCACCGATTTATATCAGAAAGAGAAGAAAAGTTTGAAGATCTTACACATCTTCACTGACGGTGTCATCAAAGCCCGAAGAGAAGAATTGTTGAATAAGAACGAAAATGAAAATTCTGGTGAAGGTTTCGGAATCAAAAGAAAAATGGCACTTCTCGATCTCCTTCTTCAATCAGCTGTGGATGGGAAACCTTTGACGAATGCCGACATTCGAGAAGAAGTCGATACATTCATGTTTGAGGGACATGACACGACCACCAGTGGAATTTCTTTTTGTCTTTACAACATTGCAAAATATCCCGAAGTTCAGAAGAGAATTCTTGAAGAAATCATTCTGAAGCAATCGACGATGACGAAGTGCTTTCTCTGCAAATATTGAACCGACTTCAATATCTTGAACTCGTCATCAAAGAGTCGCTTCGATTGTATCCATCAGGTGACTAATATCGAAATGTTTATAGTTCAGGAACTAACTCCACTAATTAATTTCTTAGTTCCATATTTTTCGCGAAAGTTGACTGAAGATCATACAGTTGGCGGTTACACATTTCCAAAAGGTTGCAGCGTTATAATTTCTCCTTATCTGATGGGTCGTGATGAGAAATTATTTCCATATCCATTGAAGTTTTCACCAGAAAGATTCAGTGTTGAAACGACTGTCGAGAAGGTCAATCCATTTGCTTATGTTCCTTTTTCAGCTGGTAAGTTTAATTCCTTCTAATAATAATTTCATCCAAATATAATTTTATTCACTTCAAGGACCGCGGAACTGCATCGGACAGAAATTCGCTATGTACGAACTAAAATCAAGCATCTGCAAAGTTGTTAAAAACTTCGAGTTGACCATTCCCAAGGGCAAAGAAGAATTGAAAATTTTCGGTGATTTAGTGTTGAAGACAACTGACGGCATCACCTTGAACATCCGAAAGCGTGCATCTTAATGAAATCGTACACTCCATTAAAAAAAGTTTAATGCTACTTAAATATGACGATGAGTTGTCCGAATTGACAGGTTTTGATGACGAATTAAATTTTAATTAGGCATCTTAAATAATATAAAATCCGAATAAAGTCACTGAACCTGTTCTATTTTAATTACAGTTTTGTTATTAAATTCTTGTGTCTTGATAATCTAAACTATTAATACGTAACTTCGTATTTATCAACATTACAAATATCATAGAAGCAAGAAATTTAAGTTCATTTGAATCTAATGAATAAAAGATTAGTTTTGGGAAAAAAAGTTTTTTTGCTTCAAAGTTTGAAGGAGTCGCTTCACATTAAGAGAGACGAAAAAAAAATTAAATCTGCATTTGCTATTACAATTAACTCCCATCTCTTAATTCCTAAAAGCTACAAAGTATTTTAAGTGACGAAAAAAGAGAAAAAACTTAAATGTGTTCAGCATCTTGCTCCACAAACCAGTTTTGGTTTTGGTCTATGTTCATTCGTACAACTACTGAAAAACGCGTTCGCTCACTGAAGACACATCTAGTGGACTTTTTATCACACTCAAAAATGATATAAAAGAAACAAATAAATAAATATCATCAGTTCTTCTGTTGACATCAATTTCAGTGGACGTAGAACGAGATGAAGCTGTTAATTTTCGTGAGTTCGGTTTTGTGAATAAATTTAAAAAGCTTGAAATTCATTTCAAAAGAAAAAATAAATCTTAGGCATTTCTGGTGTGCTTTGCAGTTTGTGTTTTAGCAACACCAGGAGAAGATGAGACAGTTGGATCTTTTGATTCCTCAGCAAATTCTTACGATCCAAGACATGAAGCTGAATTCATCAAAACGATCTTGAAACTCAAGAAAAAATTGATTGGTTGAAACCAACTCAATAATGTTATCAAATAAATCAACATCTTTATAACTCATTTGTCATCTTACAACTTCAAGATATTTGAGTCAGAACACCAACATCACATTTTTTATTGGCCAGTTTGCGTTTTCCACAACATCGGTAACCGTGAACAAAAAAACTCTTTCTTAATGTTAAGAATTTTCTGTTAAGATTTCTTTTCTTTTGTAAATATTCATATTTTATTTTTTTAATAAACTTTATTTTTACGTTAGGAGGTTAATTAAAGTGTTTTATTACAACTCACAGTGACACAACTGAAAATTTCCATATTTTAATGTGTTTCATAATTTTATGACTGTTGCAGTGACTAAGAAAAGTTAAAAGAAACAATTTTACTGTCAGTGATTAATATTTATTTATTTATTTGTATTTTTTCCTGATAAACACCGATAATTACTTTTTATATCATAATTATGTTTTTTAATTCTACATAGAAGATAATCCTATTGGAAGTGTTAAAAATTGATGCACTTAAATATTATTTAATGATGTTTAAAGTTATCGAAAATGGAATGCGAAGAAATCACAAAAGAATATTTTTAAGTATTTATTTACTTTGCTTCATGACTAACGATAAGCAAAGAATTGTTGAGGAAAATAAATCACAGAAAAGCAATTTAAGCTAAAGATGATTGATTAGAGTTAAGTAAGAACATTTTCACGTGAAATTGTTGCTACAACGATCAGACCTTCGATGTTCTTATAAAGTGGAATAGAAAATTACTTCAACACGCTAAAATTGGACGAAACATTTCTTTTAAAATTATTTAAGATTTTAGATGAAACTTGTGAGTTTTTGAACGCGCTTTGCGTTACAATTTTTACACAAAACATGATCGTCAAGTGGAAAGCATCCGCGACCTTCAGCTTCCGATGAAAGAAGTAAACCACAATCCTGTTTATAAAAACGACATTATGAATATTAATTATGCTAAGTTGACATGATTATGTACCTCGCATTTGTAGCAGTTTATGTGGAAACTCCGATCTAAAGCAACAACACGAATTGTCTCATCTTGACCCGGTTCTGGCATTATCGGCTTTTGACAAACACAACATCGTGGTGCAAATTTTCTAGAAATTTATAGATTAATTAACAATCCCTTACATGAATCTTTTAACTTACTTATGAAAATCTTCAATACAATGAATCTGATTTGTTGCATCGACTGTAAATGGAATTCCATCTAAACTTTTACCACAAACAACGCAAGTGAAGCATTGTGGATGGTAAGGTTTTCCCGTTGCTCTCAAGATTCTCTCAAGAATTGGCTCGAGACAAACTGAACACTTCTCCAAAGTATTCAAATAATCTTCTTCACAGAATGGCTTTCCATCAAGAGCATAAAATGGTTTTCCTTGTAAATTAATTTGACATTGATGGCAAGTAAAGCAAGTTATGTGATAAATTTTCTCCATTGCAGTACAACCAGAAGTTTCACTTACAGCACCACAACATTTAACGCATGTCCCATAATTATCAGATTCAGGATTCGCTTGATGCATTGATTGAACCAGTAAATCAGTTAAAGCATCAACTTCTGATTCCTGATTGATAATCGGGAGCCTTTGCATCGATGAACTATTGCTGCACATCCCATCAACATATGGCGCATAAAGAGAATAATTTGAGCGTGAAGACATTTGTGATGGTGGACGAGGATTGATAGGCTCATAAATCGACTCGTAAGTCGTTGAATTTTGTGATGATGGACCGTAAATTCCGTAATCGTTTGAATATGTTTGGTTTTTAATTTGATGATGATGATTCGTTGTTACGTTTCCAATTCGATATTGATGATTGATTGGTGGTGGCATGATTGTTGTGGCATATCCATTAGATCCGTTGTTATCAGTCGCACGACGAAGTTCACTATAAGATGAACTTACGGGACTTGGTGGTGGTGGAAACTCTTCATCATCTTGTTCTGGATGTACATTTACATCCAATGGTGGCGGTGGTGGAATTATGTTTGAGTAAATCAATTTACTCGGCTGATGGGCTTCATTTTGACTAACATTTTCGTAAAACTTTTGCCCATTAGCATACAAATTCTTATTGTATTCTAAAATCTTCTTTCGATGTTCGAGAGCTTCCTTCTTTAATTGAAGTTGAACTGCATCATCTAATGTAGTCTTGTTGAGTTTCCCTTCATATTGGGAGTTTGCGTAAATATGAGGATCGTCAGATGAAGGTCCAATCAGTGATGCATATGAAGGCTTACAAATCTTGTTTATATTTTGACTTCGTGGAACAAGCGGTGCACTTCCTTCACTTGATGATACATCGTGCTGAAAAATAAATTATTATTTTTATCATTTGTCAACTAAGCTAATTCTAAAGAATTTAAAAACGGAACAATGAGTGTTTCCACAAACAGACATAAATTCATAATAAATGACTCACCTTTTTCGGTTTTGGTGGAACCACTGAAATTATTTTGTTGTTTAATAAACATTGCAATAAGAAACGGAAAAAATTTAAAGTTCAATGCAATTAAATGATTTACTTACTTGGACCTTGCTTTTTGGATACATTGCCTGTATCATAAATTGATGTTTTGTTCAAGTCTTTGTTTTGATCAAATTTAGATCGAATCATGTTAAGTTTTTGTAAATTTTCAGTCAATTCATCCATTTGTCCTTATTTATTTATAGTATTAAAGAACTGGAACAAGTTTTAGTTTGCTCAATTAAGTCACTTAGTTGAGATGTTACACTTTCCTTAATTGATGTTACGATTTTATTTCTATTACTGCTGATCCAATATTATAATGTTTTATCAGACAATGATTTAAATGTGATGAGAATTTTGATATATTTTCGAATCTTTTATCATTCACAATGAGTGAGTCACGATAATAAGGTTCTTTACTTTTTTTTCTTGAACGTAACTTTATTAGTTTGATACAGCTTATGACAGAAAATATTAAAAATTCGCGACTATAAATTGAAAAAGAGGTTTCCGAACAAAAAATTACCAAACTCTGACATTCGAGAACTTTTTCAATTTCGAAAAAAGAATTTGAAAATGAAGGAACCGTTAGAATTTTTAAAAATCAGACTTGAAAGCTTTCATGATAATTTCGATCGAAAGCTTTTTGATATTTCATTTTTCCAATGATGGTGAAAGAAATGTTAACGTGTTATTTGAATGTAATAAAATTCATTAAACATTAATATATTCTTCACAATAGTACTTTTTTTTAAAAGGAAAGATTTTGAAATTTTCATCACATCGATAATTAAAATTATGTCATCGTAATTTCAACTACCATAACTTCTGTCCCAATTTGTTTACTTTCATTGAATTCATCCATTCATCATTTTATTTTTTCTCATATTTCATCTCAATAGTATGCTTACGGAACTTGGAGTAGTCTTAAAATAGTCAAATAGATCACCTTAATTCAATATTGAACAGAACATGACGATTTATTCGTATGTTCTATGATCTGAAATGTTTTTTAAAAAAACTCATGAGTGAGTTTTCTAATCGTCAAACATCCTTCTCGAACTCCATAGATGGAGAATCTAATGCTTACCTGTCCTTCGTTAAGTCTTATTCTACCCAACTAAATTTAATCTAAGAATGCTAAAAAATGAATTACATAAAACATTATTATAATAACTTCTCTCTAGTCAAGTATTAAGTTTAGGGGCTATCCCATAAATTTATTGTAAATTTCCTGATAGCAATAAAGAACTATGAGAAAGAACAATTTAAAGCTAATTTTAAATTCACATGAGTTCATTTTTTGGTCCCAACATCAAGTGGAAAGATTTGCTAATCATCTGTCAATAATCATTTATAGTCGCATTGTATGTGGTTACACGTGAGAATCATGAATTTTTTATTTGCTGTTTGATTTGACAAAATACACTTTGCGAGTTTCTTCAAATATTCTAATGATTTTTTATTTGAAAAGTGTCAATATGACGTGCCCAAATGACATGAGTATTTCAATCATTATGAATCGTAGAGAAAAAATGTCGCAAACTTATTTAGTACCTGCTTTGATTTACTGAGAGAACTTTTGTAATTGTCAACTGTGAAGCACTGAAAGCTACACTTAGATAGGACGTTTGTATCCTCAAACTCATTATTCTCGTCCACAAAGTCAAAAGACAATAAATATTTGTCTTTACATCACGATTTCCATAATATTAATATGTATATACCGAAAGAAGTTCGTTTCTTATTAGCACATTCTAAACGAGAATCTTTCGCTAGGAGTTCGGGAAGGGGCTAAGAGCAAGGTCGTTTTCCGAACTTCTAACGAAAGATTCCATTGAAAATGTGCTTACATAAAAACTTTTCGTAATATTTCGCGAAACTCTGTAAAGTATATAAGACTTGAGGGAAGGCTCGAACTATATCAGTTACAAAGGTGCCTTGAACTCGTTGCTAAAACAGCTTAAGTTTCCTAAAGTTGCTAATAAACTTTTAACACAAAATCCTCAAAAATCTTCAAAATGAAATTCATTGTTGCTGTAAGTAGAATGAAATTTCAACTTAATTTTGATTAAAAAAGTGTTTTAAATTTGAAGTTTTGACCATAAAATGAAGTGTTCTAACAGTTTATTGAAGATTATTGTTGATTTCTCGTGACTAGCATATTGTGATGCTGTTTTTGTTGAAAATCTATTAAATAATAAATTGTCGAGTCACTAAGTCACTCTTAAATGTGTTAAAATTTGACGCGTGCTAGCAATTGAATTCATTTTAAAGAGTTTTTTGTAAAGTGGTTTCAGTTTAAGGCATTAAAGATTCAAGATTTTTTATAATTTATTAAATTTAATTTATCATTTGTCTTGCCATTTAAAGCGTTAAAATTTAATTAAGTGCTATTTGAAACATGATGTTTTTATCCTCCTTTAAATTGCATTTTCTGATTTATATTTCTAGGCCATGTTTTTGTTTTTTGCCATCGTTCTTGTAGCCGCTGCACCAGCTCACGATGAGACAATTGTTGATGATGTTGCTAATGATGACAGCATCTTTGTCATATCTCACAATGATCCAAATTCGTTCTTGAAGCTTTTGAAACTCAAGAAATTGTTGCTTCTTGGTTAAGCGGATATTTGCTATGGATCAACATTACATCTACAATAAAATAGGGAAACAATTTGTTCAAAACTAAAAGCTCTTATTCAACAATTCAAAGACTATTTCGATGCAAACCCATTGCCCAGTACACAATAATGAAACGTACCCACTATGTAATAACTTTTTTTATAGAAACGCTGTAAATGGAATAAATCAATAAAATGCTCACGTAATTATGTAAATAAGACAATCTTTCTTTTGAACACTAAATCTAATTTTGAAACGCCTAACTTATTATCAACCTAATAAATACTAAGTATCATCAATGAAAAACCTTTTCAATGTTTATCCATTATATCGTCTTTAACTTCAATAAATTCAACATTCAGTTTGATCTTAGGTTCGATTACATTTCGATGATGTAACAGATCGATATTCGATACCAAATAAATCAATAAAATATATTCATCAATACGATTGACATACCATCAGCATATTTAATAAGCGGCATTAATTTTATCGTCATAAGTTTTGCACATCACAAGAAGTTCATACTGTTTGTTCAACAAAATGGAATATTGACACTAAAATGGAGTGAATCATTTGGACGCATCAAAAATTAAGTCAATTTAAAGAAACTGGATGAGATTCATCTCTGAGGTGTACCTCAGGTGTGCAAATAAGATCTAAGAAAATATTTTCAATAAGTAACAACGCAAAGTTTGCTTATTAGAAGCGTATATAAAAGCGATTGTCTTCAACAAGAAAGCATCATTCACTTTAAGTGATTCTCTCAAGTACTTTCAAAAAGTCCAAGTTTTAAAATTTGAAGTAAAAAAATGAACTCAATCGCTTTGGTAAGCATACGAACACCTCTCTTAACTTATCAACCATAACGACTCAACATTGCAAGCACTTACATCGAACATCATGAATAAATACTTTCAATGTGGTGTAAATTGCGGAATATCGAACTTGCTATAAAACGAAATGAAAAGAGCGTAGGCCGAGCGTGTTTTTCATTATATTAGGTGGAACAAAAATCATCCAAAGATTACAAGACGTTGTATCATTGAAATGACCATAAACATACATGTAGGGAATTTGATTATCATGTTGGAAAAGTGTTAACGATTCGAAGCGTATTCTAAATGCATGTCTATGTTACGAGAGTTCATATAAGCAAACGAAGATAAGACCATAAAATATAAATGAAGAAAAGTGACAGTGAGCGTTGAGCCATAACAAAAGCTTATGAAAATTATTAATGTAAATAAGCTTCGAACAGAGATTCAACTGTGCTTGTGAAATATGATCTTCACTTTATTGATAAATAAACGTTCGGAGTTGTCGTTAGCATACGAAAGAAGTGCGAGATGAAACTCAGTCGTTTTTTGACTCATTTGCGTGTCAATGTCATGGCCGTCGTGATGTTTCAAGACGTTGTTGTTTAAACAAATCTTTGAAAATGAACGTAATGAATTATTTTTTCTTTCACAGTTCATCGCTGTATTACTGATCGCGCTTGCTGTTGTCATGGCACTGCCACATGACGAAGCAGTTTTTGGGGAGAATTTTGATTCTGAAAATTTGAATCCGGAAGATACGCAACAAATATTTAAGCTGAAAAAGTTTAAAAAGCTGTTTTTGGGATAATTCACAAAACTTTATTTACCATATCATCAGTTGACAAACAACCATTCACTCCATATCTGTTGAACTGATTTATGAACCTTTAATTCTTGGTTTGATTAACATATTCAATCTTTTCATGAATTAAGGTGACAAATAAACTAAAAATCAATTTATAAAATTAAATTGTGATTCGTTCAAGCATCAATGTTTGATCACTAAATTCATTCAAGGTTTTATTTCAGGTTTATCTTTCATTGTCGCTGAAAATTCCGTTCTGGAAAATTTTTCAATACGCTGTCAAAGATTTATTCGACTTATCCATTAGCATAAATGTGTACTGACTTCCATAGTTGCAGACAAGCATATAGAAGGCATTATGTGACGCATAACAACTACAATAAGACAAGACAAAGCTTCAGTGGAAAATTTTGAAATCATTGACAAACATAAATAAATGAAAAAAGTTTTCTCAACATGAATTATCACTACGCATTGAATAAAAATACTTAATAAATATATTCGCGATCTTTCAGATAAAAAAAAATCGCAGTGACGTAAAATTTGTTCCACACACTTTTTAAAATTTCAAAATTCACTTCTGCATCATCTTTAAAAAACTCAAAGTTTTAAATTAAGCCATAAATTAATGAAATTTGCATCGAAGAATGGATAATGTCTGAATGGTAAAAAGACTTAAGACGAACTAGACTTTCTGACGTTCGAAACTCATTATTATGGATCAAACCAAGGAGTTTGATGAAAGTTTAAGAGTGACAAAAACACGATTTTTTATTTGTGGTACTTAAAAAGTTGTTTTTTGTATTTTATTTGGCGAATATTAGTTTGTATGCTTTTGCGTCTGTAGAGATTATAAACTTGGATAACATATTTATGAAGCCTTCTTCTTCTTACATTAAGTTTATAAAACCATGGAATGATAGCGAGTTTCATCTTGAATGACTTCAGGTTGTAAATATTTGGCTATATTAACGATCTTGTGATTATTAAAACTTGCAAACGAGTCGCCGATGAAATTTTTAGAGGAAGTCAAATATTAACTCACGTGAATTTCTCAAGCTCAAAGCTACTTTTCTAGATTCACCATTATAATTTTCCCAAAACAGCTCTTTTGGTTGCCGTCACAAAGCTTTGTATTTGCTATAAAAACCTCATCGTTTCCCAAAAAGTTATTCAGTTCTATTTCGCAATCTCAATCGAGTAGCAACAAATCAAAAGCATCATGAAATTAATCGTTATTGTAAGTTCTAAAATCACATTATTGAAGTGAATTGTTTAAATTGTGTCATGAATAAATCAAGAACATTTTAACAATTTATTGGAACAAAAAACAAATCTAAACATTGGAAAAGTGCTTAAAGTGAACTTTAATTTTTTCAGGCATTCTTGGTCATCGCCGTCATGTTGGTCATCGTCTCAGCCATTCCAGCTGATGAATCCATCTTAAGTGACAACGTTGACAACTTCCACCCAGCTGATGAAGCAGGCATCAAGAAGAAGTTGCTCCTCAAGAAAATCCTTCTCCTCAAGAAAAAGAAGTTGATCGGTTAAGCTGAACTAAGCTGAATCTGTCTGAAAATTAGTCAAATTTTATTTTCATTCCACTTATTATTTTATAAATCTTCTAGAAAAATAAAAACAACATGTTTTTCTAAACAAAAAATTAAAATCCAATATTTTAA